TCGTAATCGTTACAGGTCCGGGGTTGCTTACTATGTAATATTCGAGTACAACTCTGTACGCAGGCTGTAGAACTTCGAATTAAGAAGTTTGACATATCCAGCGGTACCAGTGGAGTAGGTACCTAGGTATCTAGGGGGTATCTAGTTATGTAGTAGGTACATATCGTACAATCGTAGTAGGTACTCACCGGCATGGGGTACATGCTAGTAACAGAAAGCCCTTACGTCACCTTATGCAGGCCGCCGCGCCCAGATTTACCCCAGGCCTATGAACTGAACTGAGCTCGCACTTACTAACATGGCGCACTTTTTGTTTGACTTGCTCGAATTCTTCTCTCGTTTAGGCCTTGCCACAACGTGGGTTTAATCTGCCTGGGAAACGCTAGTCGTCCCGGCACGTATCGCACGCCTCAGCACGCGGAAGACCCAATGGCCGCTAGGCCAATGTCCAACGCCCCAGCCTCAGCAATGATTGGGGGCATGCCATTCTGGCGGGCTGTACCTACCTAGGGTTCCAATCCCCCCCCCCTAATACGTAATTGTTGGTAGTCCTCCAGCTAGTGTAGTAGCCTCGAGTCCTGAGGTCTCCGGTAAGTCCGGTAGGTCACGTCCGCATTTGAGCATTTGCTTGACTCAGGTTCCCCTCAGGTTGTGCCCGGTTCCGGAAACCGTGATTCCCCCGTGATTCGGTATCTAGGTTGGGGGGTATCGTGACAAGGTGTGCGTGGTCACGTGACAAATGGTAAACTTGAAAGACGATGGTAAAGGTTCTGGGCTCCAATGTCCGAGCTCGCTGGAGGATCTGGGCCCACTGGCAGACCTAGGGTACTATATTTCAGCAGGTGTGGTTCAAGGAGTCCGATTTGCAGGGTCTGCTAGCTAGAGCAACACCAGCAGATTGCGTTCATCATTGAAGCCAGCCGCCGAAGAATGGCGTCCCTTCCGTGTCTGGTCGTGTTGCTATTGTCGTTGCTGGTGCAGCTGGGGACGAGCGCGGCGCTAGATCTGGCGCAAGCGCCGGCTGCCGCGCCTGAAAACTATTTCCGCCCCCCAGTGAGTCACACTTGGCTTCTTCTGGCCAAGATCTATCATTTGATGTATGGCTCTGATGCTGCGAAGTCTAGTGAGTGCAAGCTGCGAGGCCAAGTGAACAGAGACAGATCTGTGGCATTGGTGCTCGCGCTTTTTATCGTGTCCAGCAGAACGCGCTATCCAAGGCAATCTTGGGTTGGGAACTGGCCAAGAGGTAAGTGGTGCTCTGGTAAAGCCTAGGGGCCCTGGCGAAAGGTGCCTGTCCCTTTTTGCCTGGAGCCAAGGCGCTCTGGATCTGGTCTCTCCCCCCTTTGCCAGGTGCTTGGCGCTGCCCCTCATGCATTGCTGTGTGCCCCCCTGTGCAGCACCCCCTGACGCAGACCCCCATTGTGGGCATGCTCACTCTGCCCGTCACCGTGCCCCACCAGCTCAAGTACGGCAGCGCTAGCTTTGCTGCCTCGTACGTGCGCTGGATCGAAGCTGGCGGCGCACGGGTGGCGCCCATCCACTACGACTCATCACCGGAGGAGCTGTATGCGCTCCTGGGAAGGCAAGCCCCGGCCATCATCTTCAAATCTGTTGATCATGCCATCGCAACATGGTTGCTGGCAGCACTTGTTCATGTTAATCGCATTTGCAGTGCCCTCCCCATGTACCCCCCATCGTTGTATCCACCATCAGGTCTGCTGATCTTGGCAGCTTCTCCTGGGGGCCACTGCGAGCCCCGTTGGCTGAGCGTGGATAGTTGGTGGTGGTGCGTGCAGTGTGAACGGCGTGGTGTGGACGGGTGGCCTCGTGGACTTCAACCCCACCGTGGACGACCCCGAGGGCGGCAAGTACCTGGCCACCACGCAGGCAATCCTGGAGTATGTGCTGGCGCGCAACGAGGCCGGCACCTACTACCCCTTCTGGGCCACCTGCCTGGGATTTGAGCGCCTCACGCAGCTGCTGGCGCGTGACGTCAACAGCACCATCATCGACACAGTGGATGCGGAGAACCTGGACATCAACCTGAACCTGACGCCCGCGGGCTGGCTCAGCCGCATGCTGGGGGGCATGAGCTATGAGCTCTTCAAGGAGGTCAGCCCCGCTTTCCCTGGAGGCGCGCTTATCACATGGCTGTTGGTGATTTTGGGACACTGCTTGGCAGCGCCCCCCCCCCGCTTGCCCGAATGCCTGCCTTTCCCTGTGCCCACATGTGTGTGCTCTGTCCTGCCAGGTAGCCTCCCCGCTCGGCCATCTTGCATTTAACAACCACGGGCTGGGCATCACCCCCGCCAAGTTCCGCGGCAGCTCTGCGTACGAGTACCTCAAGATCCTGTCCATTGACAAGGACCGCAACGGCAAGGAGTTTGTGTCCACCGTGGAGGGCCGCTCCCTGCCCATCTACGGCACGCAGTGGCACCCCGAGAAGGCTGCGTGGGAGTGGGACACGCGCCTGCGCCTCTCGCACGTGGAGCATGTGAGGCAACACAGCCACGAGAGGGGGAAATATGCAAGGGCTCGCTTCCAGTACCAGGCTGTCAATTTCAACCACCAGAAGGTGGTGAATCTTGATACGGACCGTTGCACTGGGGGAGACTTTTGATATTGCATTGTCTCATCTTTGCCGTGCCTCTCCTTCATCGCCCCCATGGCAGCAGGCTGACCCTGGGACTGTGCCGTGCTTGCGTTGCAGGCCGTGGAGTTCTCGTCGTACCTGGGCAGCTACTTTGCGAATGAGTGCAAGTTCAACAACCACACGTTCGCCTCCCCTGAGGCGGAGGCCCGCGCCCTCATCTACAACTGGGTGCCGGTGCCCACGGGGCCCATCACAGGGATCAAGTCAGCGTACACCAACATTTACTTCTTCCCGGCGGATCACTCGAGCTGGTGGGCGAAGCATGCCAAAAAGGTCACCTTCTCGTTGGCCCGTGCTTTCGGGTTTGAGGAGGAACTTGACTCAGCAAGCGGCTGAGCAATGTGTAGGCAAGGGATAAGGTGGTCGGAGTGTCATACTAATCCAAATGTGTGTGGCTTACTGAGATAGCTATGATGCTCAAGCGGAGCTCAATTCACTCGTTTTAATATTTCCCTCAATTAGCGTTTAGATAAGCGTTTTGCTAGAAAGAGTTGGCATTTGCTTTGGTTTTAGGCCAGGCATACGGCTTCGTTCGAGCCTATTTGTACCATTCTTTGTGGGGATCCGACTGCTCCACTTAATAAGCTTATGGGGAAGGAACCATTTTGGAGCATCGAGTTGCAGGTCGTCAAGTCTCGCAGCCAGTCATAGACATGACAAGCTGCAATTTCTACGATGATTAACCTGCTTGGAAGAGCAACCTTTACAACTGGTGGTGCTGAGACGATCTTTTTGTATCTTTATTTACGTTGATCTAGGTTGACGTCGCGGCTATCTTCTTTTTCAAAATGCTTGGAGCTCAGCAAGGTTTAGAGGCTCAGCTGCGCAAGTACCTCACGTACATAACCATGCGTATGTAAGTTTTTTCAAAATTGGTCCACAGATATATCCCTAAGTGCATTTAATTGGAGTTTGAACATGACGTGCGTATATGCAGCGATCGACCTTGGAGCAAGCGTTCGTTCTCCTGCGATTCGCATCATCATGTAGCTGCTATAGCATTATGACGCATGTTACTACCTCCTTCCACAGGCCCTATTTTGATAATGCAACAAAGACATGCGAACATGCATGTGCAAAATGCATGAAATTTGGAGCAAAAGAAGCATGACGTCGACACGTTCATACCCTCGAGATCAGAGAGTTGGATCGTGTTCTTAGCTATAGAGTCCTCGTGATGGGTCATCATCCGGCCATGGCTGCCATTTGCGGCAGCTGCTGCATGTCGATATTAAAAGCTGCTCGTCTTGCATCAGCCAAGTGTACGATGAAAGCATGAGTTCAACGCGGCTTTTTGTAATGGACACACGCGCGTTCAATCGTAGCTTGCAGCATGCAGAGGAAATGGCTACATGACATGTATACTCATTAAATTGTCTCATTGCAACTAGGCACTGGAAACTTACGCATATATATAAGGATACAGTCCGTGTTGCATAATGCTTGTGACTCTCGCCAAACCTCCGAATAGCAAAGGCTTCTGTATTTTGGGAAATCCAAGTTTGAATATGGCTGCGTAAGGACAGAAACGTTTGAACTCAGCAAGTGTGTCCAGACTGTGAGGGGCCGGGACGGTTACGTGTCCTACTTGCCGTACAACTTCTTCAACCTGTCGATCGCTTCGACAATGTTCTTCCGGTGCCCGAAAGCGCTTGCGCGCACAAACCCTTCGCCCCCGGGCCCAAACCCGCTCCCCGGCGTAGTCACGATGTCCGCCTTGGTCAAGATCTCCTCGAACACGTCCCACGAGCTGCGCCCTGGGAACTGCACCCACACATACGGCGCATTGACGCCGCCATACGTCGAGAACCCCAGCTCCGTGAAGGTGGCCCGCAGCATGCGCGTGTTCTCCTTGTAGAACGCCACCAGCTCCTGCATCGCCGCCAGGCCCTCCGGAGACAGGCACGCCAGGCCGCCCGCCTGCACGGACACAGCGCCGTGGCACATTTTAAGCCGTCCGCACCATCAACAGTACGGCGTGGCCGGTACCCTGGGCGGCACGCTCCCTCAAACTTGACGACGTCTGCACTGTTTTCGTGAATGCCCTGAGACGATCTAACGCACCTGCAACTCCAAAAACAAACTTGGCCCTCTGAAATGTGCTTAGTAGCAAATCGAATTCACAACTTGCGTACTCTTATCAGAGGCGATGACTGGCGCTGGTGAGAGCTTCTTTTTCCACGCCGAAAAAGAATTCAGTGGGGAGCCGCTCGCGGTGCTGAGGGGCGTACCTGCGCGATGTTGGAGGCCCCGTTGAAGCAGGTGCACATGACGCGGTTGAAGTCGCGGATGACGGGGAAGCCGTCCTCGTATTGCAGCTCGTCCGGGACCACCGTCCAGCCCAGGCGCACCCCGGTGAAACCTGCGCGCGCACCCCCGCCCCCAGCGTCAAGCACACCGCATGGCCAGAGCGCGTAAGGCTGCGACAGCAGAAAGAAACGGCAGAGGCACTGGCAGCAGAGGCGGGACGAGCTCTTGCTTGATTGTCCAGCCCGTCCTCGTCGTTGATGAAAACAAACTGTGGGTGCCTCTACATCCGGCAAGACAGACAGGACACCGGCGAGCGAACGGCATCAACCTAGTGCCCGGATCAGCTTGTGGCCACCATAGTACATGAAAGCTGGTGGCATTGCAAGTGCTCACCGGCATACTTGGAGAAGGAGCCTGTTTCGATGGCCACCTCGCGGGCCCCCGGAATCTCGTAGATGGACTTGGGGCTGTCGTCCTCAACGTAGATGGCATATGCCGAGTCGTACACAATGATGGACCCGTTCTTGCGGGCAAAGGCCACTAGCTCCTCCAGCTGTGCGCGCGACGCGGTGTTGCCTGTGCAAGGATAGGGGGCAGCCTGAGGGTGAAGCAAGAGCGCGGCACCCGGAAGCCAGGCCGGACTGGGTGCCAAATCAGAGGAAAGAGTGTGCTTCTCTTCTGTTGTCCTCAGAAAGATAATGGGCATCGCTCAGCTATACGACTGCCATGCCTTTGACGAGTGATGAGCGCTCTGATGAACTTTCTGTTCCGATTAGCCATTTCAAGTATTGTGTGGCCACCTGATCAAGAGAGAAGATTGAAGTCACCGAGCTGAGTCAAAAAAGGCATCTTTCAATCAGGCCCGCAGCAAGGTCGAAATACCAACCTCCATGTGCAATCCCTTCAGCCTGATATGTTGGGAGCAATGGTAAAGGCAACTTCACGCAATCTGGTTTCGATGGCAGGAAGACCATATCCACCAATGATCATCCTCTCCGAGGACTTTCTATGAAGCCGAGGGCATGCCCCGTGTCTCAATCGCAGCAGGGCGCTGACCTGTGGGGTTGTTGGGGGAGCAGAAGAAGATGACATCGGTGCGCGGCGTAGCGGAGAGGTCGGGGAAGAAGTTGTTTTGCGGCGTGCAGGGCATGTACACGATGTTGCGGTACTGCTGCACGCCCGTGTCGTACTCGCCCGTCTGGCCCAGCATCACGCTGCTGTCCACGTAGGCCGGGTACGAGGGGTCTTGCACCGCCACGCTCAGCGCAGGCCCAAACATGAGCTGCAGCCGGCTGATGTCACACTTGGCGCCGTCTGACACAAAGATCTCGCTGTCCTTCACGCCCAGGCCCTTGTAGAAGGTGCTGGCCAGCGCCCCGCGCAGCGCCCCCTGCCCCTGCTCCGCGCCGTACCCGCTGTACCCCTCCAGCGTGGATAGCCCGCGCGCCGCCGCCTCCATCGCCTCAGCTATCACCTTGGGAATGGGCTCCGTCGTGTCCCCAATGCCCAGGCTGATGATGCGCGCATCGGGGTTCTGCGCCAGGTGTGCATTGCGCCGTCGAGCAATCTGGGCAGGCGAGGATGGCGAGCATTGTGATGCTGATCAACGCGGTAGAGCCCTGGGCAAGAGACAGCGCGCAAGGTGCATGCCCGAGGCCGCAACTGAACATGGAGATTCGAAATCTAGGAATTAATCTCCAATCGCTGATACAAATGGAGTACTCCCAAAGATTACTAAGATCATACCAGAGTGTCTGAACAGCAATATGATGACAAAATCTGCACAGCAGCGCCGAGCCGTACGCATTCCTTAAAGGGAGCCGATAACTACATTTGATGGCAGCGTGTGTACGGTTAAGACCACTGTGATTCTGATCACTCAGAATCACCCCTGGGTCGAGTATCTCGATGAATGTGCTGTGATTGGCTCAGTCACCAAGCACAGCTACGAACGTCAGTCAGATCAGAGGCCCCCTTGTTTGCCATTTTTGTCCCATCGTCAAGCAACTGCATTGCCTTGGAGTTCCACCACTTTCTTTTATGCCTTGCGTGCTCGGCCTGCTCACCTCTGGGAAGAGATAGCCTGCCTGCAGCTTGCCCAGGTTCACATTCCTCTTCACGCGCGTCCGCACCGCCTCCTTCTGGATTGGCTCCGCCACGCACCGGACGCGTGGCGCTGCCCGTCCCCGCGCTGCGACACCTTGAGAGACCAGCGCGGTGCTGCGGAAGGAGTGGTGGAGGAACGACGATGCGCGGAGCTCATCTGCACATGGCGCCGCAGACTGCTGGTGCTGCCCTCTGAGAGGGATTAGCGAGGAGGCCAACGAACGAGTCGCTCCGCATACAACATCGCTCGCCATTCTGCAATGCAAATCACTGATCAATGAAGCTGCAATGCAGGTTACCAGTGAAGCCAAGCTGAACAGCAAGGGTCCTTTTTAAGCGGAGCAATTCTTGGCTTTGGCTTTGCTCAGAATTGGTCTAGGAGGAGTGGTAATAAATAGTAGGAGTGGCAGGTGCGCCACCCTCTGTCCGTGCGGTAACGCCTTGCTGAGTCTGCCGCCGCGGTAATGGCCTGAGCTTCTCGGGAACCTGTGTTATTAAGCGTCCGATCGAGTACCGACGGTGACGATCAGCTTCCTGATTGTGAATCCTTGATAGGCAGCCGTTGGGCATCTCGTGCAAGGAACCTCGAACTTGGAAGAGTTCCTTTAACAGTGACGCAGGAATCGGCACCCAGATGTATGTACTAGCTACATATCGTAGTACACCGTGATACACCTGTACCTAATCGAGCTCCTTTCTTAGTGGGGACTCAAGTCTAGGTTCGTCCACTAGGCTGATGTCAGAACTCCATGCTCCATTGGAGGACCGTTCAGGAGCTCAAGAGGGTCTAGCTAGGGTGGGAGCTAGAAGACGGTGCAGGGCACCTTCGAGCTCCTTCTCAAGGTGCAGCAAGCTGCGGACAGGCTAGTTTCCCTTTGATCTATTGACGTCAATGAGTGAGTATAGCTGCCTGCTCATCCCTGCAGCCAGTCAGCAGCTTGCACGCTGTGCGTAATGCAGAGAATAGTGGCCACATGTGTGTGAACGGAGTTGCTATTAAGGAACGGTGCTGCAATATGCTAAGAGAAGCCCCCATCTCGTGAGCTTCTTGGCAGCGCACCGCGCGTGGGCAGCATGGGGGAGGGGGGCGGAGACGCGCGCATGGCCTGGCTGGAGGAGCGGGTGCGCTCCTCGCTGCATGCCAAGCCAGACAGGTTCCAGAGGATGCTCGCACAGGACGAGTCACGGTGAGCGATGCAGACCAGCAGCCAGAGCTGCCAGCCCAGGGGTGGACATTGGAAGAGACGGTGTGCCCTGGAGCTCAATCTGCTGCATTCCCTGTGCCTCTATCTGCTCTCTCCGCCTGTGATGGGAGCACCAGCGCAGCTTTCTTCTGAGCTGGGACTCGGCCCGTAATGCTTGCAGTGCGCAATTGGAGGAGTTCCTGGACAGCGTCGACTGCCGGCGGCTCCTCTTCTTTGAGGATGCTAAAGGCGAGCTGGTGGCATCGAAAGGGCCCCCCAGCAAGCTGCGCAAGAAGACGGTGTACTTCTTGAAGCTGGGCGGGGCGCCATTGACAGCAGAGACGCTGGGGCAGCAGCTGTGCGTGGGCGAGCTGGGGGAGGCGCCCCTGGAGCAGCTCTCGCAGACCGCGCAGGAGGTGCTCCTGCCGCTGCTCTGCAACCCGCGCAACCAGGTAAGACCGCTCACACATGACCACCGGCACGCCTGCACCTGCTGGCATGCAAGCTGTGTGCAACACCGGTGAATTATTGGAGCGCGGTGTGTGGTCGTAAGAGTGATGGTGGTGGTGGTGGTGCAGGACGGGTGGCCGGACATCATTGCCAAGGAGGTGACGGACAACCTCCACAAGTTCATTGCCAACATCTACGTCACCATCGGCCAAACCAAGGGCAAGACACTGCTCGCACTGCCGCCCACAGACGTGAGCACTGCCGGCCCTCCCTTCTTGCAAGGTTGCCTGAGCGGGGTCCATCGCAGTGCACTCTGTTGTGCTTAGTGCGTCATGGGTGAGAGCAGTGCCCCCTGGCTGAGCGCTGGTGCGGTGGTGTGTGTGCAGCAAGAGAGCGCCGCGCTGGGCAAGGACGAGCGCGCACTGCGGGACAAGGACCGCGTGCACGTGCTGGAGAGCGCAGTGGTCACGTGGACGCGCCAGATCAAGAACGTGCTCAAGCTGGACCCCGAGACCGTCCTCAAAGAGGCACGTCCCCAAAGCGCCTTCCGAGACTATTGCATGCATTGGTGCCCCCGTTTGAAGTGCAGCAGTGGTTGCTTCAAACTTTCTTGCACTGTGGGGATTGCCAAGAAGTGTGGGCTGTGTTTGATCCCACCCCTGCTTGCCTGCCCGCACTTGCCTTGTTCTCCAAGGGTTTTGGGGGGTGCGTGAGCCCCTGGCTGCTGGTGTGATGCAGGGGTCCAACCCTGGCCCGCTTGTGGAGCTCGACTTCTGGAAAACCAAAGCGGAGAACCTCAACTCCATCTATGAGCAGCTGCAAGGCGAGAAGGTTCAAAAGGTAACCATTCCAAAACGCGAACTCGAGGGAGCACAGATTGCTGCCAAGATCCCTTGTGCTTTGGATCTCATTAAATCACGTCTGTTATGCATGCCGTGAAAGAATGTTCAAACCAAATCTTGGGACTCTCGCGGCAGCAACGGTAACCTTGAGCGTATTGCGCCCCCGTGTGGCAGGTGGTGCGCATCCTGGAGGCGGCCAAGAGCACGTATCACCCCGCCTTCCAGCGCCTGTGCAAGGAGGTCGAGATGGGCCGGGACGAGGCCAACGACAGTAAGGCCCCCGCCTCGACGTGTTGCTGGCAACAGCCGCTTACCTGCCACCGTGCTGCTCTGCTCCAACCCGTTGCCCATTGCGCTCCCGTTTGCTTTTCCTGCGCTGCGGGCCAGGGCAGGAAGCAGGGCCGTTGCTTACCTGTTGCGCGTGTGTGCAGACGTGGTGTACCTGGCCCCGCTGCAGCGGTACCTGGAGCGGCTGAGCCTGGCGGACGACTTTGGCGCGCTGGCGGAGGTGTTCAAGCCGGTGATGCACACGGTGCTGCTCATCTGGAAGCACAGCCGGTACTACAACACGGCGGCGCGGCTGGTCATCCTGGTGCGCGAGGTGTGCAATGACATCATCGCGCAGGCGTGCAAGTACATGAACGGCGAGGAGATGTTCAAGGGCGAGCCGCAGGAGGCGGTGGAGAAGCTCAAGACGACGCTGCGCATCTGCGGCACCTTCAAGAGCCACTACTTCGACTACAAGGCCAAGTCCACGGCCGAGACGCCGGACAACCCGTGGCGCTTCCAGAACAGCGCGCTGTTTGCGCGGCTGGACAGCTTCCTGGAGCGGTGCCACGACATCCTGGACCTGACGCAGACGATCCTGCAGTTCACCAAGCTGGAGCGCGTGGAGATCGGCGGCAGCAAGGGCAAGACGCTGACGGTGAGCGTGCGCCAGATCTTCGCCGACTTCCAGGCCGCGGTGGCCAAGTTCCAGGCGGTGCAGTACAACATCCTGGACGTGGAGAGCAAGAGCTTCGACGACGACTTCTACGACTTCCGGTGCGTCATCAAGGAGCTGGAGCGGCGGCTGGGCAGCGTCATCATCCAGGCCTTCGACGACTGCACCACCGTCGCCGCGACGTTCAAGCTGCTGGACAGCTTCGAGGGCCTGCTGGAGCGCGAGATCATCCAGGCGGACCTGGAGAAGAAGCACGCGGACCTGCTGCGCGCGTACGCGCACGACCTGCGCGACGTGCAGGACGCGTTCCACCGGCAGCGCGACGCGCCGCCCACCACCAACAACAGCGCGCCCAACAGCGGCGCCGTCTACTGGGTGCGCTCCCTGCTGGGCCGCATCCGCGAGCCCATGGAGAAGCTGCGCCAGCTCAACAAGGCCGCCGCCGACTCCGAGGAGGCCAAGGACATCAACAAGCTCTACACGTGAGCCCCGCGCCGCCTCTGCCGGACGGGCGTCCGCGGCTGGTTGCTTCCCATTCCGTTTACGCGTGGCCGTGCGCTTCTCTAGCCGCCCCAGGCCGGCAATTCCCACTTGCCTGCTCGCTTGCTGACCCGCCACGTGGCGTCGCTGTGCTGCAGGTCCCTGGTGGGCACGCTGGAGGAGTACGAGGCGGCGGTGCTGAGCGCGTGGACGCGCGAGATCGAGGCGACGTCGGAGGACAAGCTGAAGCAGCCGCTGCTGCGCCGCGAGCGGCAGCCCATCCTGCGCCAGCAGCTCGGCTCCGCCGCCTCGCGCAGGACAAGCGGCGCGCGCTCGCGCTTCTCCACCTCGCCCGACGGCTCGCTGGTCAGTATGCATTAGCGGCTTGCCGCAAGCGGAAACAGATTGCGCTGCCCAGGCTGCAGATGGCTTCGCTTTACAAAAGCCCCCTTTCTGGATGCAACTACTATGGGGCCAGTGCGTGGCCAACGACATGAACTGCTGACGTGAAGGCCCGTCTCCGGCGGGTGTGTCCCCTTTTTCTGGGTCCCGACTGACTCCTCGCGTGGCCCGCTCTGCAGGTGGAGGCTGACGGCACGCTGAGCTCGTCGGCGTCGCTGCACCTGCAGTCGAGCCTGCTGTCGTGCCTGTCGTCGGTGGGCCCCAGCTTGCTGTCGCAGCTGGTGGAGGGCGAGGCGGCGCCGCTACTGCGCGTTAACTTCGACCCCATGCTCATCCGACTGCTGCGCGAGGTCAAATACTTTTTGCTGCTGGAGGCGCCCGTGCCCGACAGCGCGCTCAAGGTCTTCAAGCGCGCCGAGGTGTTCCGCCAGCAGACCGGCAACCTGGAGCTCATCGTCAACACCTACAACAACATCCTCGTGAGGCACCCCCGCGCAGACAAAATCTGTACGCCTTTTCTTGTACCTAATCGAGACCACGCTCGGCGGGCAACTCTCAACTCTGCTCCCTTCTGCTATTTGGTCATTCAACAACTCGTGAAGCCTCTGCCGGAGATGCGAGTAGTGGGAGTGAGAAGTTTTGCCGGTACCTGGAGCGCCGCATCACAATCCATGTCACGACGGGCAGTGCTTCTGTCGCGGCGCTCTATTTTGTTGTTGCGTACGGTGGTTGCTGACGCGGCCCGGGCCCCGCGCTGTTGCGGGTGTGCAGCTGACGGTGCTGGAGGTGGAGAAGCCGCTGGTGGAGCGCAAGCTGGCGAACGTGGACGCGGCGCTGGGCAAGGGACTGGGCACGCTCAACTGGAACAGCCACAAGATCGAGGAGTACGTGAACGAGGTGATGAGCATGGTCAAGGAGCTGGCCGCCAACCTGAGCACCATCAAGGGCCACGTGCGCAAGAGCGTGGGCATCCTGGAGCGGTGGGCCGTCAACCTGCTCTTTGAGCGCAAGGACGGCAAGACGTACTCCGCGGACGACCTGGCCGAGGCCGCGCGCGCGCTGGCCAGCCTGCGCAGCAACGAGATGGCGGAGGGCGGCGCGGAGATGGCCCGCCTACTGGCCGCCAGCAACCGCGTGCTGCACGTGTCCAAAGGCGCGCCCGCGTGGAAGGCGTACGTGGAGTACGTGCAGGGCATCCTGGTGGACGGGCTGGCCACCGCCGTGCTCAACAGCGCGAGCTACCTCTTCGCGCAGCTGGACCCGGAGAGCATCGCGCGGAGCGAGGCCAGCCCGCTGCTGGAGGTGAAAATGGAGCTGGTGGCGCCGGACATCGTGTGGGTGCCCGACCTGGGCACGCAGGGCGGCGGCGGCGTGCGCGACCTGGTCGACACCTGGCTCGCCAGCTTCGTCAACACGGCCACGCTCATGAAGCGGCTCGACACCGGCGAGGGGAACTACCTGCCCGAGATGGAGACGGACATGCGCATCACCTCCGTCTTCGACCAGATCCGGGCCACCGTGCGCGACAACGAAGTCAAGTGCCAGGCAAGCGCGCCCCGCACAGCCCGCGCCCCACCACTTGGCTTCTCTTGTTCCTGGAACAAAGAGTGGCGCGCAACAGACGAGATGCCTGTCTTGAAAGAAACGCAAAAGTCTGGGTTCTGGTTGTATGCATGCTCTGCTTGTCCTTCTCGCAAGATCTCCTACCGCCATACCGCTGATCACCTCCGCCTGTCGCGAGCGGTGATTGTCAGAGGACCTTGGAAGCTCTCCTGACTCGCTCCTCGTTCCCCTGGGCAGGCGTTCAAGGAGGGCTACCTCGCGTTTGAGTACCTGTGGCGTACCGACCTGGCCGCCTCTCTGGCGGAGTTCTTGGCGGGTGGCGCGGACGCGGGCGGCCCGTCGCTGGAGGCGTTCGACGGCGCGATCGCGCGGTTCAAGGGCGTGCAGGAGGCGGTGCAGGCGCTGCCGGCGGTGGCGACGGTGGGGTGGATCCGCGTGGACGCCAAGCCCATCAAGCAGGCGCTGTCCACGTGGGTCACCAAGTGGGTGTTCCTCTACACGCACCACCTCTCCTCCAAGGTCGTCGACTCCATGGACGACCTCTACGCCTTCATGCAGCAGGCCGACAAAACCGTGAGCAACAGCCGCCAGCCTGTCTCGCACACCATTTCCTAGTGTCGTTTCCCCTCCTTCGACTTGTAGCATTCTTGTGCACTGTATTCTGGCGGCACGTGCAGTCCACATGGCTGCTTTACAACCTCAGGAAGTTCTCTTGTTCTTTTTATGTCTATGTGCTTGGGGAAGAACCAGTCGACGATGAATATCGGTTTGCTCGACATGGTCTTGAAAGAGAAATCTTGACCGAAAAGCAATTCTGCTATGGAGAACCCTTTCCGTCGACGCAATAAATACCGAACTGCAAAAGCGATATTCAACGGTCTAAACTCACAATCTCAAATAGGTTCCGGAAGGAAGAGGAGGGCGTGCTTGCGATCTTTGTCCACACAGGACCTTTCTCATGCTGTCTGCTTGCTCGTTGATTGCAGCTGGACATGGAGGTGGAGAGCGGCGACGCGTCGCAGCTGCGGCTGGTGATGGGGTGCATGCGCGACATCCGCAACCGCACCGACAAGACGGACGCGTCCTTCGAGCCGCTGCGCAAGACGGTGCAGCTGCTCAAGAAGTACGGCATCATGCTGTCCGAGCTGACGCTGAAGAAGCTGGAGGAGGCGCCCATGGCGTGGGCCGCGCTGAAGAAGAAGATGTTCCAGAAGCGCGAGAAGATGGGCGCGCAGCAGCAGGCGGAGGCCGCCAAGATCCGGCAGGACAGCGAGACCTTCCGCGTCAAGGTCGACAACTTCCGCGCGCTCTTCAAGAAGAAGGCGCCCTTCGGGGTGAGCACCCGCGCAAGGCCTCCCCAAGCTAGGCAACCAGTTGACGGATTCCGTTGTGCCTACCTGTACAGGAACCAGACCAACACTGTGCTCATTGGCTCTATTGCTTTGAGGTGCACGTAGATTCGTGGAACCATTGTGAGCGACCATAGCAGGATGTCGTGCCTTTCCCGTTGCAGATCAGCGCGGACAGCCTGGCGCTGGAGCACGTGCCCCCGGCGTACGAAATTTTGGACGCGTTCCACCACGGCCCCGTGACCCCGGTGTACAAGTACGGCTCGCTGCTGTCCATCACCAAGGAGGCAGCCGAGTTGAACGAGGCGCAGGAGCTGTTCGAACTGGTAAGAGCTACACTCCATGCCTTGCGGGAGATGCCGGCATCCCTAAGCCCATGTCTCATAGCAATTTGACTAAAAAGTGCACTGCCAGCTTGCTTATCTTTCTAAACGCATCTGCATTGTAGCTCCGACGTGAATTGTTGAGCAGCACTTTTCCTTCCGTTCAGTGAATAGAAGCCTGCGTTGTCAAAGATGCGTTCTCGCCGTGGTGTCAGGTGGTGGTGGAGTACCGCGACCTCGCTCGCTGCTGCGAGGAGGTGGTGCTGCTGAAGGCGCTGTGGGACATGGTGGCTGTGGTGATGCACACCATCGACAGCTGGCGGCAGACGCCGTGGGAGCGCATCGACACCGACTTCCTCATGGACGAGGCCAAGCGGCTGGCGCGCGAGCTCAAGGGCCTGCACAAGGGCGTGCGCTCCTGGGACGTGGCCAAGCTGCTGGAGGACGCGGTGAAGGCGCTGCTCACCGCGCTGCCGCTGGTCGCGGACCTGCACGCGCCCGCCATGCGCGAGCGGCACTGGAAGCAGCTGATGCGCACCACGGGCGTCAGCTTCAACATGGACGACAAGTTCTGCCTGGGCAGCCTGCTGGGGCTGAAGCTGCACGAGCACGTGGAGGCGGTGAGCGAGATCGTGGACCGCGCGCAAAAGGAGCTCATCATCGAGAAGGCGCTCAAGAAGATCGACGAGACGTGGGTGCAGCTGCAGCTGGCCTTCGCGCCGCACGGCCGCACTGGCGTGCCCGCCATCGCGCTGGACGACGCCGTCACGGAGTGCCTGGAGTCGGACCAGCTGCAGCTGCAGACCATGGGCGCCGGCAAGTACGTCGCCGGCAACCCCAAGTTCCAGGAGGAGGTGCAAAAGTGGCAGAAGCGCCTCGGCGGGGTGGACACGTGCCTCGCCACGTGGACGGAGGTGCAGAAGAAGTGGAGCGCGCTGGAGGCCATCTTCGTGGGCAGCGACGACATCCGGGTGCAGCTGCCGGAGGACAGCAAGCGCTTCGACGCCATCGACGCGGACTGGAAGGACCTCATGAAGGTGAGAGCAACCCACACAGCGCCGCTCATTGCCGTTCCCACAACAGCCGCTGCACCGTCGCTGAGTTGCCCCGTTTCATTGTCAAATGACTGACCCTGAGAGAGTTCAGCACTCTTTTGAATTTTGTTGAGCAACGCCATGCTTTGCGTCTCTTTTTTGAAGTCCACTCGCAATCTAGAGTAACAAAGCCCTCAATTCAGATTGAACACTTTGAATCTGGTCACCTTCTTAGGCTCCGTATGGCCAAGATCTTGGTTCACAAGAGCCCTGCCCTCAATCTGGCGGCTGCTCGGTTCGTTCCAGGTGGCGGTGGAGACGCCGGTGGTGGTGGAGGCGTGCAATTTGGAGGGCCGTCCTGAGCGGCTGGAGAAGATGCTGGCGGGCCTGCAGCTGTGCGAGAAGGCGCTCGCGGATTACCTGGAGACGAAGCGCGTGGCGTTCCCGCGCTTCTACTTCGTGGCGCCGGGCGACCTGCTGGACATTTTGAGCAAGGGCAGCGACCCGCACGCCATCCTGCGCCACCTGTCCAAGTGCTTCGACAACACGCACAACCTGCAGTTCGCGCCGGGGGCCGACGGCGGCAAGAGCAAGACGGCGGTGGGCATGTTCAGCGGGGAGGGCGAGTACGTGCCGTGGCACGAGAGCTTTACGTGCGAGGGCGCCGTGGAGCACTGGCTGGCGGGCCTGCTGGAGGCCATGCGCGCCGCCATTAAGTACGCGCTCAAGGACGCGGCCGCCGCGTACGACGAGAAGCCGCGCGAGCGCTGGCTGCTGGAGCAGTGCGCGCAAGTGGTCACCGTCGTCACGCGCATCATCTTCACGCAGGACATCTTCGAGGCCTTCGAACAGGTGAAGCGACCACGGCCAGCGCAAAACACAGTAAAGCAACCTAGAGTGGCGCACAGAGTTCACCTGACCACTCTGTCATGAGAACTGCTGCCCCTGAACTCTATGTCTGACATGTCTGACTTTGCCAAGAATTCCTGATCACACTCGCTTCAGGGGGCGTACCGTGCCGCCTCTTAGTCTCCGGGGCCCTGCAGCGTTTAGTGTTGCTCACAAGTAGTCACTATTTAGTGTCTCTCTTGCTACAGGGTTTTACCTTTTCAAACGAAGCCTTTTGATGGATCCGTGTCGAAGACGTTCTCTTCTCAGTCCCGGCACTGAGAATCTGTAAGGATCAAATGATGAGGCACAATAGAAAGGACTAAAAGCTCGTCTTTATGATTTCAATGGAATATCCATTTCACAGTGATAACGTTCAGACCACAAGTTTAGGACAATCGTGACGGCGGACCATAGAGATCTCAACAATACAGATCGAACAGACTTTTGAGACCTCGTGGTCGTTTGTAGCCTTACGCGTGCTGTTCTGTGCTGCCCAGATGGAGGAGGGCAGCGAGAGCGCGCTGAAGGACTACTACCGGCAGTGCCAGGAGCAGCTGGACGAGCTGGTGAAGCTGACGGTGGGCGAGCTGAGCAAGGGCGACCGCAAGAAGGTGATCACGCTGTGCACCATCGACACGCACGCGCGTGACGTGGTGCAGAAGCTCATCGACGACAAGGTGGAGGCCGCCGCCGCCTTCCAGTGGCAGTCCCAGCTGCGCTACAGCTTCGACGAGGCCACCAAGGCCGTCCGCGGCTCCATCTGCGACTTCGACTTCCCGTACGCCTACGAGTACGTCGGCAACTGCGGCTGCCTGGTCATCACGCCGCTGACGGACCGGTGCTACATCACGCTCACCCAGGCGCAGCGCCTCGTGCTGGGCGGCGCGCCCGCGGGGCCCGCGGGGACGGGCAAGACGGAGACGGTCAAGGACCTGGGCCGCGCGCTGGGGGTCATGGTGTACGTCTTCAACTGCAGCGACCAGATGGACTACCGCATCATGGGCCAGATCTACAAGGGCCTCGCGCAAACAGGCACCTGGGGCTGCTTCGACGAGTTCAACCGCATCCCCGTCGAGGTGAGCCGCCCGCCGTCTTGGTTGTAAACTACGGAGATTCTGGCACATGACACGGGTCTCTGGAAGTCTGCTCGTTAGACTAGCGAGCCCAGTCCGTGCAGCCTGATCTTCAATTCGGAGTGCTTATCAATGTAACGATTTTCTCGTCAAAAGCGCATCTTGAGAAATCGTTTGTTCTTAATGCAAAAGTCCCACTTTTCACCGAAGAGTGTAACCACTGATTGGTGGTCAGAGTGCTGTACTTCAATGAAAGGCGATGTGGACCAGAATTCGATCCTATTTTAGTTGTCTCTAGTATATAATAGAGTCATCTCAGCACGTTCTTCCCCTGTTGCTGTCGGTAGGTGCTGTCCGTGTGCTCGACGCAGTACAAGACGGTGCTGGACGCGATCCGCGCGCGCAAGGAGCGGTTCGTGTTCGAGGAGGGCGAGATCGCGCTGGTGCGCACCATGTGCGCGTTCATCACGATGAACCCGGGGTACGCGGGCCGCGCGGAGCTGCCGGAGAGCCTGAAGGCGCTGTTCCGGCCCGTGAGCATGGCGGTGCCGGACCTGGTGCTCATCGCGGAGATCATGCTGCTGGGCGAGGGCTTCGTCGCGTCCAAGCTGCTCGCGCGCAAGTTCATCATCCTGTATACGCTCTGCGAGGACCTGCTCTCCAAGCAGGCGCACTACGACTGGAAGCTGCGCGCCATCAAGACCACGCTCAACGTCGCCGGCGGCATGAAGCGCGCCGCGCCCAACATGACCGAGGACAAGGTGCGCTGCCGGTCTTATGAATTTCCATACTTATCAAAGCTTTGGACAATGCTTTTAAAAGTCAGCACTTTTTGAGAAGCAGCAGATATTCCTTGGCAGCATAATCAGCCTAAACGCCTGTTGAAACGTACTCGTGTTCATCAAAGCGTTCCACACTGCGCTTGACCTTTAGCACTTTTTAAGAAGCCGCGAACAGTCCTCTGCAGCATGACTAGCTAGCATTACTCTCGAAGTCCCACAAGCTCCACGTATTTTTCGCAGTTCTTAATCTGATGATTTGAGAAGAGCCAAATTACCAACTGCTTGTTTACTGGCTCCCCAGATTTTGCTGCGCGCGCTGCGGGACTTCAACATCGGGAAGCTGGTGAACGACGACGTGCACGTGTTCATGGGCCTACTCAACGACCTGTTCCCCAAGACCGTGGACAGCGTGCCGCGCGCGCGCGACCTGGTGTTCGAGGAGCACATCAAGGCGGCCGCGGGCGAGGCGGGGCTGCAGCCGGAGAGCAAGTTCGTGCTCAAGGTGACGCAGCTGCGCGAGCTGCTCGAGGTGCGCTGGTCCGTCTTCGTGCTGGGGCCCGCCGGGTGCGGCAAGTCCACCGTCTGGCGCACCCTCGCGCGCGCGCAGGCGGCCGCGGGCGAGAAGACGGTGGTGAAGGCGCTGAACCCGAAGAGCGTGACGCGGCACGAGCTGTACGGGTACCTGCACCCGGCGACGCGCGAGTGGAAGGAGGGCCTCATCAGCGTCACCTTCCGCGACATGGCCAACACCGCGGGCGTGCCGCACCAGTGGATCGTCTTCGACGGCGACATCGACGCGGAGTGGATCGAGTCCATGAACACCGTCATGGACGACAACAAAATGCTCACGCTCGCCTCCAACGAGCGCATCCCGCTCACGCCATCCATGCGCCTCCTCTTCGAGGTGCGCCGCCTCGGCAAACTCGCACCGTCAACGGCGCCCCAACTAATTGCAAGGCCAAAAAGGCCTTGAATGTATTTGCCAAGGGCGATCTGCTCATATAAATGAGAAGTAATCTCCAATTATGTCTTCTTTTTTGAAATGAAGATTTGATAGCGGTGTTTGAGATTCTTTGTTGTTGAAAAGGAAGATTTGATAGCGGTGTTTGAGATTCTTGTAGACTTGGAGACAAGTTCGTTTTGAAGTCTGCTTATCTTAACTCCGTGCTTTCTGTTCAATACTGAAACTTCCGCTGACTACTCTGTATGTCTGCCTGCCCGCCAGATCTACACGATGAAGCAGGCGTCCCCCGCGACGGTGTCCCGCGGCGGCGTGATCTACCTGAACGCGGGCGACATCGGGTGGGAGCCTTTTGTGGAGACGTGGATCGAGGGGCGGCAGGACAAGAACGAGCGCGGCATCCTCACCGAGTTCTTCGGCCGCTACATGGAGAAGTCGCTGGACCACGTGGGGCGCAACTTCAAGCACATCGTCCCGCTCGTCGACATCAACCTCGTCTCCACCGTCTGCTACATCCTCGAGGGACTCCTCCCGGAGGTCAGCGCCCGCGGCCGCGCACGCTGATCTTTCCCTGGGCTTAAGGCATGATTTTGAAATCGAAACGCACGACAGGGCCCCTGAGCCTGAAGTACCGGCCCAGCTCCTTCCAGCTGTGATTCTTACGAACCTCTTTCGCTCAAAAAAGTTCAAAACGTTCTTATTTCGAAACACTTCAGAAATCTTGCTTCTACAGAGTTGTTGACAGGGAATCAACAAAACGAAGCCGTTCTTTCACTGATTGGAATTGAGCACTTCTCCTCAATAAAAAAACAGAACAGGTGAAAAACCATTGAGGTGTGCTTGCTGCATCCAGGTAACCCTTCTAGTGAACATGGAGAGTCTCGCCTTGATCGCTATTAAAGTCTGTCAGCAATGCTGCACGGAACGATCTTTGTTACTGGACCCGCGGCTGACCCGAGTGCGTGACTTTGCAGGAGGGCAAGGCCCGCGGCGCCGCGGTGGACAAGAAGGTGTACGAGAGCTACTTCGTGTTCGCGTGCCTGTGGGGCCTGGGCGGCGCGCTGCTGGTGGACAAGACCAAGGACTACCGCGCAGAGTTCAGCGCATGGTGGCGCTCCGAGTGGAAGGCCGTCGGCTTCCCGGACAAGGGCACCGTCTTCGACTACTACGTCAACCCGGAAGCCGCAGAGATGACGCCCTGGGCAGACAGGGTGAGCGCGCGCGGAATCAAGCCAGGGCTGCCATCAGATATTGACCAAAGTGGCAACTCTTGAGTTCGCAAATATTTCGGTGACGACAGGTTTGCTTATACACCCTATGCAACTTGCGGGACTGTTTCATTGCTAGCGTCTCCAACATTCTGTTGACTGTTGAAACTTATGAATAACAGAAGGGACCTGCCGGAAGCTTTCCATGTTTTCAAAAGCCATGCTTATGTTGTCAATGCAGCAGAGGTGTTGTTGCTCAAGGCCTTTCCTTTGGCTTCGGCCGACTTTTTCACAAATTGAAAGACCATCCTTTTGAAATGAGTTGGGCCTTTTCAAATTCGATGTTTTGAACGTCGAGAATCCCTCGAACCGTTCTTCCTTGCTAGAGAGACTCCGCTTTCCCTGTTTTGAGGCGGGAAGGGTGTTGTCCAATTCGTTTGAAGTTTCACTGTAAATACAAGCTTGCTACTTCGAACTGACGGCGTCAAAAGTGCTTGCTTTTCACTCTTTCTTGGCCAGAGTCTGGTCGCAAGGCGGCCCCTGCTCAGACGGTCCACCTTTTGCTGACCTTGTCAGATTTCTATTGTTTCAGGTGCCCGGCTTCACGTACGTGGACGACGGCAACTTCGGCGGCATTTTCGTGCCGACGGTGGAGACGGTGCGGCTGTCGTTCTTGCTGGACGGACTGGTGGAGCGGCGGCACGGCGTCATGCTGGTGGGCCCCGCGGGCACGGGCAAGACGAGCATCCTGCGCGACAAGCTGCGCGGGCTGGACCCCGAGGCGCTGCTGAGCTGCAGCATCAACCTCAACAGCTTCACCACCGCGGACCAGCTGCAAAACATCCTGGAGGCGCCGCTGGAAAAAAAGAGCGGCGCGCGGTTCGGCCCGCCGGGCGGGAAGCGGCTGATCTACTTCGTGGACGACCTGAACATGCCGTTCGTGGACAAGTACGGCACGCAGGCGCCCATCGCGCTGCTGCGCCAGGCGCTCGACTACGGCGGCTGGTACGACCGGAGCAAGGTGCTGCTCAAGGAGGTGGCCGCCACGCAGATGCTGGCCGCCATGAACCCCACCGCCGGCAGCTTCAGCATCAACCCGCGCATGCAGCGCCACTTCGCCACCTTCGCGGTGCAGATGCCGTCGGCCGACCAGCTGACCGCCATTTACAGTGCCATCGTGGGCGGCCACCTGGCGCCCTTCGACGGCGAGGTGGCCAAGCTGGGGGCCAAGGTGGCGGCCGCCACGGTGGAGCTGCACCAGATGGTCACCAACACGTTCCTGCCCACCGCCGTCAAGTTCCACTACCAGTTCAACCTGCGGGACCTCTCCAACGTCGCGCAGGTCAGCCCAGCGATTGCTCGCGCGCGCGCCAAAGTGCTCTTTTTTGTGCACTCATCGACCTCATCAGCAATCTAAGATGCTTGAGTGTTGTTTGAGTATTGAAGAAGTGCCTTTTCATGGCGATTTGTTGTCCTGGGAATGGGACTGCTTCGCCAACTGTGTTTCTCTTGTACGCCCAAAACGTGGTTGGTAATCGCCTATTGTCGGCTCATGTTTGCTGCTACTTTTGCAGGGCGTGTGCCGCGCGGTGCGCGAGTACTTCGGGAGCCCGGTGAAGGTGGCGCGCCTGTGGCTGCACGAGTGCGAGCGCGTGTTCGCGGACCGCATGATCAACGCCGCGGACGCGACGCGCTTCAGCGAGATGCTGGAGCACGCGCGCAAGAAGAACTTTGAGGACCTCGACGGCGACGCGCTCACCGCGCGGCCGCTCATCTTCACCTCCTTCACGCAGCAGACGCCCGACGGGCACCCCGTCTACACCGCCGTCGACGACTACACCAAGCTCAAGGTGAGACCATTGCCTTAATCTAGGCAAGACTTGCTCTGTCGGGTGACGCAAAATAGTTCATAATCGTATAGCTCTGTTTTCTGTAGGGTCTTTCCACTCATAATGAATGCCCTGATGTTTGTCGATTTCAATCGCAAGGCTTCCCCTCTTTTCCCTTGTTTGTTTCATGAGACTTTTGGTTAGACCTTGTCGAATGAGTCGGATTTCATATAGGCCCCCTTGGCTGACGGCGCCTGCTTGCTTCGGTGTGCAGGGCGTGCTGGAGGAGCGCTTGGCGGAGTACAACGAGAGCCACGCGGCGATGGACCTGGTGCTGTTCGAGCAGGCCATGGACCACGTCTGCAGGATCGCGCGCGTCCTCAACCTGCCGCGTGGCAACGCCATGCTGGTGAGGCTCACCCTCAGAGGCCCCCTGCTGCCGACCCGTTGCAGCAAGGTTTTGAGCAAAGCGACGTCGCATATTGCAGTCTCCTGCTTCGCTGAATTCGATATATCTGAACCCGCAACGCTGAAAAGCAGGTAATTTGCTCCCCTTTGGATTGTGCGAACAAAAAAAATGTTCCTCATGTACTTTTTTGAAAGTGGGCCCAAGCTTCTTTGATTCTTTACTCTTCTGAACGGACTCAAGCGAAGCAGCCTGCGTGTGCCCCGTGTTTGACGGCTTCTCCTGACGCAGGTGGGCGTGGGCGGCAGCGGGAAGCAGAGCTTGGCGAAGCTGGCGGCGCACATATGCGGGTACGAGGTGTTCCAGATCAGCGTGACGAGCACGTACGGCGCGGCGGAGTTCAAGGCGGACCTGGTGACGCTGTACACGCGCGCGGGCGTGAAGGCGGTGCCGACGGTGTTCCTCATGACGGACGGCCAGATCGTGAGCGAGCAGTTCCTGGTCTACCTCAACGACCTGCTCTCCTCCGGCTACATCCCCGACCTCTTCGCGCCCGACGAAAAGGACGCCATCTGCAACAGCCTCCGAAACGAGGTCAAGCAGGTCAGCCGCCCGCGATCCACGCACCTCTGAACGGCAGCTTGCGGGTCTTGTGTTTCAAAATGATGAATGGCAGCAAGTTTGCTCGTTCACATGACAGCTGCAATTTTATAAGATTCCGCAAATTTGATTGGACATCTCCCATCTCTTACATGAATTTCCAACGGCTTTGCGATTTGCAACGACTAGCCATACTTCATGCGGTTATCGAGTTTGCTATGGAGTAGTCACCCCCTGACCCTGCCACTTCATTTCCGCGCAGGCCGGCATATTGGATACGCGCGACGCGTGCTGGGAGTTTTTCATCGAGAAGGTGCGCAAGTACCTGCACGTGGTGCTGTGCTTCAGCCCGGTGGGCGACAGCTTCCGCATCCGCGCGCGCCAGTTCCCCGCGCTCATCAACAACACCGTCATCGACTGGTTCCAGCCCTGGCCGCAGGAGGCGCTCGTCTCCGTCGCAGGTCAGCACCACCAGCTCCATGCATCTTTCATGAGAAAGGCTGCGACAAATTCCACACCAACAGCAGGGCGTGTCTCCGTTGAAGGGACTGGTTTATAATGGAGTTCTGTTGAGCTTGTTTTCCGTACTCATACTTTCCTGTGTACTTACAAAACTGGTAAAGGGTGACTGGCAACTGCTTCAAAGGTGCAACTTCCGCTCACCTCTGCTTCGAAGTAGGGTCAGATTTTCCAGCTTGTTCGAGGTCCCGAGCGTGACGTTGGGGCGGCTTTGGCGCGCGCAGGTCGTTTCCTGGCGGACGTGCCGGCGCTGGCGGACGAGGTGCGCGAGAACATGGCGCACCACATGGCGCACGTGCACCTGTCCGTGACGGACGCGAGCGTGCGGTACTACGACGCGGAGCGGCGGTACAACTACACGACGCCCAAGAGCTACCTGGAGCTCATCAGCCTGTACAAGGGCCTGCTGGCGCGCAAGCGCGACGAGCTGCGGCAGCAGAAGGAGCGGCTTGAGAACGGCGTGCTCAAGATCAGCCAGGCCAGCGCGCAGGTGGCGGACCTGCAGGCCGCGCTCAAGCACGAGCAGGCCGTCGTCGACGAGAAGAAGCAGACCACGGACGCTCTCATCGTCAACATCGGGCAGGAGAAAGCCGTGGTCGACGAGCAGAAGAACTCAGCCGCGGCAGACGAGGCCGAGTGCGCCAAGATCGCAACCGAGGTGAGCAGGCTCGAAACGATCATACTCTCCTGCAGTACTTGGCTCGCTGTTGTCAAAAGTTTGCTCAATCTGGAGCATGAGCAGGGCCTACTCACTTTTGAGTAGGCTGCAAGATTTTGAAGGCTTTACAAACGCTCTGAGGAGTTTTAAGGACATATTCCAGTTCAAGCTCTCAATAATCTGCTGTTTCTTTGTGCCCAGGTATCCGAGTTCCAGGCGGCGTGTGCCCAGGACCTGGCTGCCGCAGAGCCCATTATCGCGGAGGCGGAGGCCGCGCTCAACTCCCTCGACAAGAAGTCTCTTGGAGAGCTCAAGTCGTTTGGCAGCCCTTCCCCCGAAGTCGTGCAGGTGAGCCCCACAAGGGACACGTGATGTCAGAAGCCTCCGTGCAGCAGAATGAGATCAGGGCACCTATTCCGCGCCACCTCGTCATGAAACCGTTTCTGCACTGCCGTTGGTTTCAACTCAAAAGGCGTCCTTCTGTCTACTTCTTGTTCCTCCATGAGGGCAGCTCGTTTCGAGGCTTCGAAAGAGTTTCGGGGCTGACTTTGCTCCGCTAAATGCGTCGTGGCGTGCAGGTGGGCGCGGCGTGCCTGGTGCTGACGGCCCCCGGCGGCAAGATCCCGAAGGACCTGTCGTGGAACGCGGCCAAGAAGATGATGGGCAACGTGGACCAGTTCCTGACGTTCCTCAAGGACAAGTTCGACAAGGACAACGTGCCCATCCAGTGCGTGGAGAAGTGCGAGAAGGAGTTCCTGAGCAACCCCGGGTTCACCGCGGACAACATCCGCAGCAAGAGCGCGGCCGCGGCGGGCCTGTGCGGGTGGGTGATCAACATCTGCAAGTACTTCCGCATCTACCAGGTGGTCGCGCCCAAGCGCGCGCTGCTGGACGAGGCCAACAAGAAGCTGGCGGGCGCCAACGCGAAGCTGGCGGGCATCCGCAGCAAGGTGGCGGACCTGGAGGCGCGCGTGGCCGCGCTCGAGGAGGGGCTCATGAAGGCGACGGAGGACAAGAACCAGGCCATCGCCGCCGCGGAGAAGACGCAGCGCAAGGCGGACATGGCGGACCGGCTGGTCAACGGGCTGGCGGGCGAGAACCAGCGCTGGAACGAGGCCATCAGCCAGTTCGAGATCATGGAGAGCAAGCTCGTCGGGGACGCGCTCATCGCCGCCGCCTTCGTCAGCTACGCGGGGCCCTTCAACGCAGCCTTCCGCCAGGTACGGCGCCGGCAGTCCCGCAAACTGTGTGGCACGGAAGCTGCCTCATCTGTTTCTTCGAAGGGCATAAATTGTCAGTAAGTGCAGGCTCTCTTGAGGATGCCGGAGCGCAACAGAAAGGACGGTCTTGTAAACTCGTGTCTTGTCTTTGAAGCACCTTCCACTCCAAAAAGGTTATTGTTGCAATCACAAATTGTCAGGATGAAGTTTAGAGTCTGCGTCATCCAACAGTTTCTTTCAGCACTCCGAATGCGGAATCCAGCAATTTCAGCAAAGGTTAATCTGTTTGACACAAGAGCTGATATCGTGGAGAAAACCAGCAGCTTCAGCAAGATATCTAATCTGCTCGACACAAGAGTCATATCGTGGAAAACACCCTGATTTACTTTTTCGTTTTATTGGCCTTTGCCCCTCGCAGAGGTCTCGGGAGTTTCGCCGTGTTGGTTAAGGTTGGGTTGTAGTCTGCAGGTGCTCTTCTAAACCGTTCTCAAAGCCTCACGCGTCCCCTCTCTTTTCTCGTGTGCGTGCCAGGTGTTGGTTGACGCCAACTGGACGCCTGACGTGGTGGAGCGGCAGATCCCCTTGACGGAGGGCCGCCGCCCGCTGAGCTTGCTGACGGACGACACGGAGATGGCGCGGTGGGGCAACGAGGGCCTGCCCGCGGACAGCCTGAGCGTGGAGAACGGCGCCATCATGTGCAACTGCGCGCGCTGGCCGCTCATGATCGACCCGCAGCTGCAGGGCGTGCAGTGGGTCAAGGCGCGCGAGGCCGCGCACGGGCTGCGCGTGATCCAGCTGAGCGCGGGCAAGTACATGGACACGGTGGAGGCGTGCATCGAGGCGGGCACGCCGCTGCTGATCGAGAACCTGGGCGACTCCATCGACGCCGTGCTGGACCCGGTGATCAGCCGCAGCGTCATCCGGCGCGGGCGGAACCTGCTCATCAAGCTAGGCGACAAGGAGGTCGCGTACGACCCCAACTTCCGGCTCTACCTCCACACCAAACTCTCCAACCCGCACTACAAGCCCGAGATCGCTGCGCAAACCACGCTCATCAACTTCAGGTGCGGGCCTGCCGCGCGCCGGGGCGGCTTTCGGCCTCGAAAAGTTGCATGCGCAGGGGTCTAGAACGACTATTGTGGAACCTGCAGTCCTTGTTGTGTCATGGTTACTTGTGAGAATCTTTGCCAGAAGTTGCGGACGACCTTTTCAGAAGAGACGATACTGAATTCAAGCCTGCACTCTAAGCTGAGGCAATTTGTCGTGGCTGACGCGCGCAGCGTGACGGAGAGCGGTTTGGAGGAGCAGCTGCTGGCGCTGGTGGTGAACAAGGAGCGCGCGGAGCTGGAGGAGGCGCGGCAGGGCCTGGTGCGGCAGCTGAACGAGTTCAAGATCGCGCTCAAAGGGCTGGAGGACAACCTGCTGGTCAAGCTGTCCAACAGCCAGGGCGACATCCTGGAGGACGTGGAGCTCATCCAGAACCTGGAGAACACCAAGAAGACCGCGCTCGACATCGAAACCAAGGTACGCGTGCGCAACACGCTCGGCGCAGAGTGTCATGGCTGTTCGAAACAGCTCCTTTTGAACGTGTTTCGAGGTGGACTTAGCATACAATCGTCAAGAATGGACGCTCATTGAATGATCTTCAGTCTTAAGAACCTTCCCGACGCTTCTTGAATGAGCTGAACTCGTAACAAAGTTCCAAACATTCATTGTGAAGAGCCTCTAGTGTTGCAGCTTCCTTTGCTTCTTTACTTTTTTCCAAAGCCTTTGGTTTACAGATTTCTCAAGGAGCTTACTCATTACGACATTCTCTGATGCCTGACGTCTGCACTGTGCTTCGTCCTTTCAGGTCAAGGCTGCCAAGGAGGCGGAGCTGAGCATCGCTGCGGCGCGCGAGGCGTTCCGCCCGGTTGCTGCTCGCGGGTCGCTGCTGTACTTCTTGGTGGACCGGCTGACGGCGCTGAACCACATGTACCAGTACAGCATGGCCATGTTCGTGGACATCCTGAACAAGGGCATCGACGCGACGTCGCCCGCGGAGGACCCCGCCGCGCGCGTGACCGCGCTCATCGAGTGCACGAGCTTCACCATCTTCAAGTTTGTGGCGGCGGGCCTCTTCGAGAAGCACAAGCTCATCTTCGCGACGCAGTACGCGCTCAGCCTGGCGCGCCAGGCCGGCACGCTGGACACCGCGTGCGCGGACTACCTGCTGGCGGGCCCGCGCGTGCCGGGCGTCTCGTCGCCGCTGCCGGAGTGGATGCCGGACGCGACGTGGGGCGCGGTGCTCGCGCTGCGCGACCTGGAGGACTTCGGCGCGCTGCCGGACGACGTGATCGGGAGCGCGAAGCGGTGGCGCGACTGGGCGGAGCTGGAGCGGCCGGAGGCGGAGCCGCTGCCGGGCGACTGGAAGAAGCTGCCCGACTTCCAGCGGCTGCAGGTCATCCGCGCCATCCGGCCGGACCGCATGACCGCCGCCGTGCGCGCGTACGTGGCCGACGCCATCGGGGCGCAGTACGTGCAGTCGTACCCGTTCAACCTGGAGGCCAGCTTCGCGGACGCGCGGCCGGGCACGCCCATCTTCATCTTCCTCTCGCCCGGCGTCGACGCGGCCGCCGCGGTGGAGGGCCTGGGCCGCAAGCTGGGCTTCACCGCGGAGGCCGGCAAGTACACGGCGGTCAGCCTGGGGCAGGGCCAGGAGGGGCCCGCCATGCGCGCGCTGCAGCGCGCGCAGTCCGAGGGCGGGTGGGTGCTGCTGCAGAACATCCACCTGACGCCCAAGTGGACGGCAGGCCCGCTCGAGAAGTCGATCGACAAGCTGGCGGACGGCGCGCACGCGGACTTCCGGCTGTTCCTGAGCGCGGAGCCGGCCGCGGGCATCCCCATCACGGTGCTGCAGAACAGCATCAAGCTGAGCAACGAGCCGCCGGAGGGCGTGCAGCCCAACCTGGTGCGCGCCTTCGGCAACTTCAGCGACGAGACGTTCGAGAGCAGCGCCAAGAGCGCGGAGCTCAAGGCCATCGTGTTCGCGCTCTCCTTCTTCCACGGGGTGCTCCTGGAGAGGAAGAAGTTCGGGCCGCAGGTAAGCACCAGCCCTTTCACCCACAGCCTTTCAACATGTTCTCGGCGCAGTCCAGACGGCCTATAGACTCCAAGTCCTGAGAGCTGTATCGTCCAGCGCTCCTTGATTTGAACACAGAGGAGAAGCGGGACTAAATCTAGCCGTTTTTGAGATGCCTACGTTTCTCGTCGTATATGAAGCGGACCGTGCTGGTCAAATAGTGATTGGGGGCTTGCGTTGAAATCTGCATCTGCTCAGCCTAGAAGCCTTGAAGCCTTGAAGTCGTTTGAATTCTCAGGTGACCTGCCTACTTGATGCGGTGATTCTGAAAATCTGGGTGCTTCTGATGCGCAGGGCTGGAACATGAACTACCCGTTCAACACGGGCGACTTGACGAGCTGCGCGCAGTGCGCGAGCAACTATTTGGAGGCGGGCGCCAAGATCCCGTGGGAGGACCTGCGGTACATCTTTGGCGAGATCATGTACGGCGGCCACGTGGTGGACGACTGGGACCGGCGCACCGTGGCGGCGTATCTGCTCACGCTCATCAAGGAGGAGCTCGTCGAGGGCATCGAGCTCTTCCCCAAGTTCCCCACCCCGCCCAACTCCCTCACGCACGCCCAGGTGCGCGCGCACGCCGCACCCGCGCTCCCCTGCCAGTCCTGCACAGCTGCCAACAACGTTGCGCAGTTGTGCAGACTGCCTGGATGTTTGAAGGAACCCAGAAGTGGTCGGAAGAAGATTTCGTTATGGGTCGAATTCTTGTGCACGAGCTATCCCGAAAGACGCTCCCTTTGACACGATTCCAAACCTGCTACGTCTTTCTGTTCCCGCAGATCGTCAAGTACATCGGCGAGACGATCCCCGCGGAGTCGCCGGTCATGTTTGGGCTGCACCCCAACGCGGAGATTGGCTTCCGGCTGGCGCAAGCCGACGGCCTGTTCAAGAGCGTACTCTCGCTGCAGCAGCGATCCGTCGACGGAGGGGCCGCCGCCAGCGTGCAGGTCAGGCCACGAGGCGGCCGTCTCCACCTATTCGGTACATCTAGAGCAGGATGCTTGAGACAGCTGACTTAGAGCCTTGACCACTTCCAAACTCGTGTCGATTGCGATTGGACTTTGGGCTGCACTATCTCTTTCTTCTGTTCGTCTCTTGACTGCGAATCCCTGCCACTGTGTATGATGAAATATGAAGACTCCAAGAATATTCTGGAAGTTCGTTTCGGTGTATTGTTTTGATAGAGAGGAAAGTTTGTTTCAGATACACAGAATTCTCGTCCCTGCTTTCTCATTCGGTGATTAAACACGACGCTTGGGGTGCCGTGCAGGAGCGTGCCAAGACGGTGTTGGACGACGTGTTGGAGAAGCTGCCGGAGCCGTTTGACTTCGAGGACATCACGAGCCGCGTCTCGGAGCGCACGCCCTACACCGTCGTCTTCCTGCAGGAGATCGAGCGCATGAACCTCCTGCTCGCGCACATCCGCCGCAGCCTCATGGTCAGCCCCGCACCGCGCATCAGCGGACCCGTTTCTTTGTTCGCCCCTTTAGTCTCCTCTTCCGGCTGACAAGATCCGGCCCTCCTGGCAGTAACATTGTCCCTTTCAGCGTCCGCAACTTGCTGCTTGCTGCCGTTTGTTGTTATTTTTTGGCCTCGTTCTTTGGGTGGCCAGCCCTTGTCGTTTTGTACCGCGCCTGACCCGCCCCCCCGCGCGGCGGTGCAGGAGCTGGACCTGGGCCTGAAGGGCGACCTGACGATCAGCGACGCGATGGAGCAGCTGATGCTCGCGCTCGCGGAGGACCGCGTGCCTGCGTCGTGGGAGGCAATGGCGTACCCCAGCCTGCGCCCGCTCGGCGGCTGGACCGTCAACCTGCTGGACCGCATCAAGCAGCTCCAGGACTGGACGGCCGACATGACGCTACCCAAGGTGCGCGCACCGCTGCCGCCGCCCCCTGCTCTTGGACGAGCCGTATGCATCATCGGTTCTTCAATCAAAGAACGGTGCTTTCTGGTGCCTTGAGACAGTCAGTACTGAGAAAAAACAAAGCGATATGCTGCGCGCTCAGTACATTGCAGCACTTTGTCTGTGGACGATGTTCGATATTGCTAACGTTGGCCTTGGTGGTGATCTAAGCGGTGTCATTTGGTGCAGGTTATCAACCTGACGCTGCTGTTCAACCCCCAGAGCTTCCTCACAGCCGTCATGCAGACGACAGCGAGGCGAAACGACTGGCCGCTCGATAAGACCGTCATACAGACAGAGGTCAGCGCTCGATGCCTTAAGCCTTGAATCTGCACTCACTGTAGGGCCTTAAGTTTGATTCTTGTTTCAAGAATTTTCAGCTTAAACACCAGACTCGGCACTTTGACTACCAAAAAATGGTCAAGACCGATCAGTTCCAGAGGCACTCTGACTCCGAGACCAGAGCTGTCTGTTTGGAAACGTTCGTCTAATTGCAAGTTTGAGAAGCGTGTAAATTGATTTCGATCGCCGAGCTTGTTCTCACACGTCTTTTGCCGCCCAGGTTACCAAGAAGCAGCCGGATGCCATTGACGCGCCGAGCCGCGACGGCGCGTACGTGTATGGGCTGTACCTGGAGGGGTGCGGGTGGGACGAGAAGGGCGGCGTGCTGGTGGAGTCGAAGCCGAAGGAGCTGTTCCAGCCCATGCCCGTCATCCTTATCAAGGCCGTGCAGGCCGACAAGGCCGAGACGCGCGACTCGTACCAGTGCCCCGTGTACAAAACGGCCAAGCGGGGGAACAGCTACGTCTTCACGGCACAGCTGCGATCCAAGCACGGCCAAAATAAATGGACGCTGGCAGGGGTCTCTATGCTTATGGAAGTCGTGTAGGTTCAATACGGCCGTCATTTATTGGACACGCTGCGACTATGCCAAGTGGATCAATCAGACAGATGTAGATTACTTGATTGCAAGCACTCCTTCTTTGGCTTCGTGCTTCTGTCACAGAGTCGGAGCCTCGAGGGCCGCAAGTGTACTTTAGCTAGAAGGGTGACCCTATTCAGCAGTTCGAACCGAGGCCCGGCGTGCTTCAAACCGACCGTTGTCTTGCGTGATATAAGTGTTGTACACAGAAGCGAGCAAAGAGATGGTGCCTAAATTGACTCCGAAGAAGTCTCAAAACCACCCTTTGAATGCTCAATGTGGCAGATATATTGACAGCCCCAGTGACACTCCAGCTGAAGCTGCTTTAACGGCTGCACTACAGTTGGAAAACATGCAGCAGTCTTTTAGAAACCACAACATTGAAGAGCAGGGCGGCCTGATCAGTGCGCCGACCCTGTCATTGTAGATGGTCGTACCATGGTCTTCTGTAAAGTGTACTCGATTGCCTCGATCTATGCGTCGAGACCTCGAGACCAGAAGTATTCCCACTTTCCAACAGTCCAAGTCATACTACAAGCAAGCCCAGAAGGAAACTGTGACTGTCGCCACTGGCAGTCCATGCAGGTCGTTACATACATATACCGTGTAGTGGCTGTCTTAGCTGAGAATCAGGATGTGTAATTCTCTAAGACAGAATTCAGCCATCCTTTTGAATTCTCGACAGCACGAGCTTTTTCTTCGGATGCATTTCCAGCTGCGTGCGTGCAGCATTTAATCGCATCAACTTGCAAATGGTAGGAAGGAAACCGTGCTCCCGGCAGTCCCGGCTTTAGGGTTTCGGTAAACCCTTGATTAACGTTTGCTGAAACAATATGTTCAAAAGAGACTTACTATTTAGAATGCGGCGGTTGCTGGTTCCGCACAACCGAACTATGTAGGATATGAGGCTCATCAACTCGGACCAAAGTTCAATCGGGGCAATAGAGCACGCTCGAGCAAGTGCCGCGTTCTAAACACTCTCTAACACAAAGAGTGTGTCGACGTGGTTCTGCTTCTGCAACTTTCGCAGATCTAGACATCTGTCCGGCCTGGTAGCTGGGTCACAGGGGTACGTCTCCGAACGTCTCTTCCCTGAACGAGAGGGGGCGCAGTGCAGCAGTGCTTGGTTCAGTATATCTTTGATGCAGAGTGGCGCCTGCTCACTGTTCATCAGGCCTACAGAAAGTTTCTAGAACCTCTGAACCTCGATTTGTAATCGAGCTCACTGGACGCTGTGAAGGCCTTCGTGATGGCAGGTGAAGCAGCTCCCGTCGATGTTCCGGCGCCTCGGATCGGCGTTCTGGCCATCCAAGGGTCATTTCGGGAGCACTGTGGCAGCTTGCGTAAGTGTGGGTTGCCTGCAGAGCATGCTGTCGAGGTGCGCACGCCAGATCAGCTGCAGGGTCTACATGGGCTGATCATTCCAGGAGGGGAGAGCACCACCATGGCGAACGTGGCAACACGGAATGGTCTGGTAAGAGTTGGTCTAGCAAAAGACTGTCATGGACGCACTTGGCAGCTGGTTGCTAGCACACAGCTTCCGTATTATCCTCGTCATAGCCCGCAGCGTTTGATTGTTGCCTTGGGCACTTTTTAAATCAGTGTTCAAATCTGGCTTGCGCTTGCTTTTCAGCCTGGTCACCTCTTCTCCCTTTTCCTCTGCGCCAGCTGCCAGCCTTGAAGGACTTTAGCGCCTCCGGCAAGCCTGTCTGGGGCACATGTGCCGGCTTGATCTTCTTAGCTGATCGGGCTCTTGGTGAGCTGAGATGCTTCAACCCGTAGAGTCGCTGGTTGTTGCAGTGTCCTTCAGGTTTGCTTGTGTTACATCCCTGTGGAACGGCTCGACGTGTATTTGATTGGCATCTTGATTGAGGATCCACTGCTTCTGACATGCAGACTCGGACATTGGTGCTCTACCATGCGTGCGCTGGGGAAGTTGATGGTTGTGGCTGGAAACATATGCAGAACTTTCTTACAGTAACGCCGAACGAGTTCAAGCCAAAGCACTGCCGAATGAGTTTAAGCCAAAGGCACCTTAAAATTACAGGAAGTCTTGGATTTGGCTTTTGAGCCCAAGTGTCAGGCTTTTGAGCCCAAGTGTCAAGAAACAGATATGGATGACACCTTTACTGCTTCAAGTCGAAGGCAAGAGCCTTGTTCACGACCAAGTTGCTCAGTGACCCCCTGTCCTTATGTGAACAGGTCAAAAGAAGGGTGGTCAGGCTCTCCTAGGCGGGCTCAATGTCACTGTCCATCGCAACTTCTTTGGAAGCCAGGTGAGAGCTCCTCGTAAGAGACTCTGGCTGCATCAATATTGTGTGTCTAAACTGTTAAATCCTGTTTATCGGTCCTTGCAACTTTTCTTTTGGCAAATTACTGAAAAGGCTGCAACTTCAGGCAACAGTTGTAATCAGGTTAGAAATTACAAGGTGCACAGAATTGCATTTGCACTTCAGACTAAAATGTTCAGCCTTCAGGGGGTCCAGCCTGAGTACCCTGCCACTTGGTTCAGGTGAACAGCTTTGAAACGGAGCTCCCTACACCCAAGGAGTTGCAAAAGTTGGGAGGGGAGGACGATCCCACGTTCCGGGCCATCTTCATCCGGGCTCCTGCCATTGTGGAAAAGGGCCCCAGTGTTGATGTCCTGGCGCAGATCGACCTCCCTGAGGGCACGACTACGAGCACCGCCGACGAAAATGGACAGGAGGTGAGCAGGGGGCAGGAATGCTCAGAGAACGCAGTCGTGTGTATCTGTCTGATGTAGGTACTCTATCCTTAACAGACGGTCTGATCTTTTCTTGTGTTTCTGAGAAGCACACCTGATCAAAAAGCTATTTTTGCAGATCAACAAGGTCATCATTGCAGTCCGCCAAGACCAGCTGCTCGCAACCGCCTTCCATCCTGAGCTGACAGCTGATACTCGATGGTAAGAAGTGGTGCCGCAAAAGACAGTTATTGTTTCTGGTGACTCCTGCCGTGAACAATCTCAATGGCTCCTGTGAAGATTTTTGCCGATAGGATCGCATGTAAGGGTCAGGCCTGAAATCGAATAGCATTTCCTTCCTTTTCTATTGGGGCCCTGGTCGACAATGGTTCGTCTATGTTCGCAGGGGTCAAGGGTCGAACTGACAAGCTCTGAACTTGCTAATCTTCCTCCGTGCTGTCTTCGTTGGCAGTTTGTTTTTTTGATCGACCAACTCGTTGTATTGTCTCCAGGCATTCGTTGTTTTTGAGGATGGTTACAGAGAATAGGGACAAGGCGGATGCCGCAGCTGCTGAAGGCTCGAGTATGTCTAGTAGAGCGAGGGAAGCACCAGCTTCGTCGATACGACCAGCCGATCTACCTATATTTAAAGAGGCGGAGAAGTTGGATTATCTAAAGTGAGGCACCTAGCGCTAGTTTGTTTCGCAATATTCCGAAGAACGTAACATGGTTGCGCAGGTAAGAGCATTTGTTGTCCACAGATGCCAGGTCGTCAAATCACCATAGATAGCAGGAACAACAGTCCAAGAACACTCGTCGCTAGATTGCAATTATGTAAACCAAATAAGCAAAATCGAGGCCCCTGACTACATGACATTCGTTGTCTTTTTTAAGATCCCATTTCATTATCGGCTGCCGCATGAACCATTTAGACAGCTAACAAATTTCGGCTGGTCGGAGGTGAAATGATGCACCACATAGACGGTTCACGACGTCGAAATGCTGGCCGACTCCACCCTCTTGTAATGCTATGCATATGCATACTAGCTGCTACACTTAAGTTGGATATTCGCAACCTTGATCTACATGACTTCAATAGCTGGTCGCCGTGCATGCATGGGCCCGCGGGGTGGGCGGATTTGCAGCAGGCTGGCAACTGTTAGCCAAGAGTTGGTATTAGTACGCCGATCGGGGCGCAACCATGCTCTTAACATGCCAGCGCACTTCCTCCGGCCCTATATAAGTATAGCACTTGATTGTGAACGTCACACATACGTGCAACATATGAAATATGTATAAGTGGCCGGGTCAAGTCAACCGCGGATGAGATCTCTTGAACACCTATATATCCCATGCATTTCTGTCGAATTCAGTATCACAAATACATACAGTACAATTCAAGTGGCGCTCGCCGCTGACCATGACACATGCATGCCGCTTACCACGTTTGGAAAGTACATAGTAAGACATACAGGTATTTCTTCAAGCCAGATTATCAAAAGAGGTCAGACAGCAAACTCGTCTGCCAGGCGGACCCCACGTTGTGATACTGCTAAAGCTTGCGGCCTCGTTGTGAAGGAGGCGAGCTGGATTCTCAGCCAGCATTACTGGTTATGTTGATCCACAACAGGCATATGCCTGAGAGGTTGATATGCAGGTTCACGACGGCAAGTCAATCTTTCATGCTGTGCACTTGAGATACTTCATATTGGACATAAGAAATACATCGGCACAAAGCGATACCTTTTATTCTATCAGGTTCCAACAGCAATTTGAGAACATATTTCCAGAACTTAAGTACCAATTGACTCGTCAAAATTGTAGAAGGGTACCTTGATGAACCCTCCAGTGATACCAACGGCAATTGCCCAGAACACAAAGAAAATGATGAGTGCCTTGTCGAATCCTTTTTGGACTGCAAAAGTGTAGATGAGATTGTCAACTTCAGAATTTGACCAGATGCGAATAGGTACAGAAGAATGTTCAAAAACAGTTCTAGCTGGAAAGGGGCGACCCGCTTGCTCATTCGATATGATGCAGAGATGAGATACCAACAAGCAGGTGACTCTTTCCATCTCCTCTATGACAGATCCAAGTGAACAACGCTGCATGCTCGTCGACAAAGGAAAGAGCGTAGAAAACTCACGCTTCTCATTCCCTTCTGTGTTCACGATAAGCCACTCTCCCCAGGTAATCAACTTTTTCAACCACTCTGGTTGTTCCTCAAAGTTCCCCGCTGTCCCGTCCGGTTCCCCAAAAAGCTCAGCCTCCCGGGCTTTTAGTTCCTCTCGTCGAAGATCATCCTGCATGTGGTGTGGTTGACTTGACAAGAAATACCATCACATGCGAGCTGCGATCCCAATTTTGAAGGAAACATGCTGTTTCTTATGAACACTTGAAGTGGTGGTATTAAAGCTGCAACATAGTGGCTTCAGACAGGGTGGACAACCCCAACTTGATTGGACGCACACCACCAGAATCACAACAAGGAAGGGAAAGCTTGAGTTCTGGCTTCCTGGCAGCCGTAACAGGGACAGACCTGCCAGGACAACCCCTTTTCCAGAGCAAACATGGCCTAGTAGACTTGTAGTAATGATGGCGCCGCTACCCAGCAGAAGCACCACATGGCCCCGGAACACTCACGTTAGAGCTTCTCAGCAGCGATCACGCTGACAGAGCAGGCGTACATGCTAAGGAGGCTTGGCCCTGAAAGGTACCACTCCTCAATCACAGCTTGATTGGACACACACCACCAGAACCCACAACCAGGTAGGAAAAGTTTAGAGTCTGGCTTTTCTCGCAGCAGTAACAGAGACAGATCTGCCAGGACAACATCGGACTAAGAGTCTTGTAGTGATTATGGGGCCCCCACCCAAGCCAGCGCACCACTTGGCCTCCAAGGCTTAGAGCTTCTCAGCAGCAATCACAGTGACATGATTGGGAATACTTGCTAAGCAGGCTTGGCTCTACTCAAATAAGGAATAATATGAGAAAACCTTCTTGCAATGAAAATTCCTGGCATAAAAGTCGTCCAACCCTGACCTGCCGCTTCTCCTTTGCTTCTAAGAGCTTTGTTTGCTGCATCAGCTCCTGCTCCATGTCCAAATTGTTTGAGCTGTCCGCGGCAGTTGAGCCTTCACCATCCCTGTCCCGTGCTCGGAGCACGCCATTTGCGGCCCCTGACTTTTTCCCCGTGAAGGGCCTGTTAAACTTGACTGCTTTCCTTCTTAATCGAGGGGGCTCCGCAAAGCTTCTAACACTCAGGGCCCATCTTTTGCAGGAGAATGATTCTGCCCTCATTTCAGACGCCAAGCTTGTTTGGAAAGACAACAGCACTTTCGAGGCTTGCGTGCACTGCGCTAGCCCCGCCATCTGCGGAAGAAAGTGCAAGATTACTTGCTGTCAAGGCCTTATAAATTTTCTGCAGAAATGCCTAGCACTCTCAAGCAGTGTTTTGTTTGATGCTTGGCCTGGGCCCCGTACGTCGCAGCAGCCCTGAGCTAGCCAATGGGAATGGCTGCACCAATGTTGGAAAGCTCCACAATCTGGTCTGTACCGGTCTAACATCTGATTAATCTCAAACCCTCCAACGCAGAGTGATCGGGGGATGAGCACCGTCCGATTCGAACTTGGAACGCGGTGGTATTAGACTCATGGGTGTCGGCAAGTCGGTGAGTCCTACCGGCTAAAGTTGGTTAATAGCCCCAGCAATCAGGTTAATGTGGGCCAAAAGCACTCCCCCAGCTCGGCGCCATGCAGTCGCGTGCTCAGACGTGTCTGCTCTGAACACTGCGAAACGCTCCTCGTAAAATGAGATCTCGCGCGCTGAACGATTACTGAGCAAGTCAGCCAAGTGAATGAGAGTAGAATGCATTGGCATCTACCCGCGTCTACCAAGAGTGCGCGGGGTTTGCAAGCTTCAAGGTAGCGGAATTACGTGAACCGATTGAGCTGCTTAGGATACTTTAGAACTTTGATCAACCTTGCTCGACAAGTCGAAGCTGCGATGGCAACGGCTTGCTGGTAGACAGTCTTCACGGATTGGATGCGAGTCAATCTGCGTATCCTGTGAAACGCAGAAGGCAGCCCGAAGGCGGGTACCACCATCCTACCTTAATGAAATCTACTAGGTAGGTATGCAGCTAGCGTAGCCCAACCAGCAGCGGGCATGCCTGAAGCTGCAGACCTTGGAACTTTGAAACGCTGCATGCTGGCCCCTCCGAGAGCAACAACTCTGCGTTCGACGGTGACTGCGGCACTTGACAGCATCGATACAAAATCTTATCAATACATCCTCTCATCTCAATCTTCCAACAACACCACGAAGTTGAACGGTCGAACGGAAATTGACTGAAAACTTAGTATTGATGACTGAGAGGTCTACTAATGCCCTTCATATATGTTCGGTCCTTGTTTCCAACTGCTTCATCCGTTTTCTCCTTTTGGGCCGCTCGACTGGTGACTTCGAGGCCAGCGAAAAAGCTACCTGGAAGAGAAACCCTGTCTGGGACAGCCAAGAATACTGCTCAGACAACATGCGGAACGCTTGCAGGTCCTGAATTTCCGGTAAGAGGTGGCGGCCGCAAGGGTGCGGTGGGCAGCCTGGTGGCCATGCCACAACAGCCGGCATGCCGGGGCAGCCATGTGTAGAGCGGCAGCCAGGACCACTCCGTCAGCTGGCATGGGACGCGCAGAAGATCAAGGAAACGGCAGGCAACGGCACGAAGCAGGTACCACGTTCACGTCATAATTGTCGGTAAAAGGCAGAGCGTGTTTTGGTGCCGAACCGTGGCTCTAAAAACAACGAGTGCTCGTACAAGAAGGTGATCGTGGGGGTTCCAAAGTGGGCTTGACGAAGTGCTGCTAGCTTCCCATGCTGGCCATGCAACGAAGCGGGTGCAGTCGTTCGGGAGCATCTGATTCTATTCAAGTTGAGACAACTCTGCTCTTTGTAGCTTTGTTGCAGACTGCAGTGAGCAGACCATGCTCGTCGTCACGTTTACCGCTCTTTCAATCAATGCGCGCGGCCACCTTAATTTCTGCAACCTTTGGGCGGGGCGACGAGGTACTGCCCTCCCGTCCGGGGGCCGATCAAGGCGGGTACGTGCGACACATGTGCGCACCGGGTGGCCGCTTTGACGTTTGCAGCCGAGAGGGCGATCAACGTCTGCGCCGCACAGGTCAGCTCCAGGACGGCCTAGCCAGTGGACTTGTGTGCGGTGCTTTCGCAGCCCAAAACGAAGTAAAGATTGCAGACAACTTTCTCGTACGAGCTTGGGTTGAAAAATCATTGAACATAGTAACATGGCGCCTGATTTAGTATCAAAGTCGTTTGATGCTGGACCTCGACGACGTCTACACCACGAATGGAAGAACGTAAAGACAGAACCGTAAAGTTCAAGATACTCAAGGAGGGGTCTCGAGAGCCCGAAGAAAGTTCGGGGAAACGGACTTAACCAGGTAGCCAAATTCGCACGAGGCATCCCCAAGCTTCCGTTCTGACACCCCTTCTGTTGTGTCTGCACAATCTTGTCAAGGTCGCTGAGATAGTCGAACCTGCCATCAGCCCCACCAGGCCTACTCGGTATTCTCTGGAAAATCTGCTACTGTAGCTACTGAGCTAAGTGAGCGGCCCCCTAACATAAGGCATGTATACCTGAGTTCCGGACGCTACTGCACACTGCATGTTCTGACACAAACCTTAACCATTTTCAAGTCGAAGGCCGGCCAAAATCACTTATCATTTCTGAAAGTCTTGCCAGCTCATGAGACTTGTTTTTGTTGAGGGAGCACCTAATGTCTGAGACGGCCCGGCCTTACTAGTACTGGAGACTTGGGTTCAAACGGCTCCTACGTGAGCGGTCAAGGGCGCTGACATGTCGTCAAGTGGCCCTTGACGTACAGTATATTGCAAGGCAAGTGATTGGAAAGCCTTGAACCTAGCGGGCGCGCACACACATACAATCTGCTAAGTCGTGCCGGACGCCGAATGCGGAACGTTCCATCTATCATCGATGCGCATGGAAATGAGTATATCAAAAGTGCGCAACTCTTAAATTAGCCGCTTTTAAAGCCATGTGTGTGTCCACCTTGAGACGGACCCAATTGAGACAGGTTGTGCGAACGGAAACAATCTCTTACAGTATATTCGCTAGGCAGGTGAACGGGACGGGACGAGGACGAACAGGGTGCGAACTCATCCGTACAATGAAACAGCGGCTAGAAGGATGAGCCGGCGGGGGTCAGGCGCCCCATCGACTCGTCTCCACTGTTTGGTCGATTTCCCTTCCAATAAGTAGGTGCCTGGCTGCCCGTTATCCGTACGTTCAAGCCGAACTGACGTGCAAGGATCCAGTCTCGGCACAGCAGTGGTAACACGTGGCTAACTATGAAGAGGGTCAAAGAATGTTGGCCAAAGAACCAGTGCCGGGGGGGCTTAGGCTTCAGAAGGGTCGCCGCGGCCTGCAGCGGGACAATGAAGAATAGGATTGACAGTTGCCGACGCCACATTGAATCACCGATGAACTTCAAAAAGAAAAAGTAGATTTTTGAAGATACGTTCCGAAAATTGATTTATGACTTGGAGTATGTTCGAATGTAAAGACGAAATTCTTTACGGTCAGCACATGCTTACTCGACAGTTCTAGACTCTCTGTGCATAACTGACTCTACCCGTTGCAAGACGACTTGTCATCGGACCGGTTTGGAGCAAGAGGACAACTCCCCAGGTTATTTACGCAGATCCTTTCAAGTCGGAGTTACGCCGCATTTCTCGAACAGGTCCCAACCTTCAACCTCGCGGTCCTACTCCCGCTCAGTCGACCCAACGTCTCACCTTTTCGGCGAAGACATTTGCCGGCGTCGCGCCTCGCTTGTGCGCGAACACGGCTTTTGTCCGGATTGCCTCCTCGAACGGCGCAAAGTGGCCGTTTCGATTGAGGTGCTGGCGGCTGGCGTTGTTCTGCCCAAGGTTAGTCTCGACCACCCCCGGATTGATCAGGACCACGTCGACTCCAAACGGCTTCATCTCGAGGCGCATGCTGTCGCTCAGGGACTGGATCGCGGCCTTACTCGCGCAATATGCGGCGGTCTGCGCACAAAAGCCATGACGTCAGCATAGCGGTGGGAAAGCCGTCTGCGCTTAACGCCGTGGCCCATTGTCTCAACGGCTCGGTAAGAGATGATCTGTCGATAAACGTGATGTGCACAGAGTGCTTGGCAGCGGTCTTGTCAGCAGCGCAGCATGCGGTATTCGAGTCTAACCAGGGCCGTGACGTCAGCGGTGCGGTAAGGTGCACCTAGTCCCGGTACCGTGACAACCACAGTGCGGGTCTGCCCGCAAAAGCCGCAATGTCCGGAGTGCATCACGTGGCGCTCTGCGACGTACAACAAACGTCGTGGCAGCAGAGAACTCGGCGCTCGATGCACGAAGGCTGTAATGTCAGTATCTCCATGCGAGGCTGGCGGGATTCGCCGTAGACGTAATCTTCACAAGAACGGCAGCAGATCTTAAGAAGATTCTTGCTTGAAGCAGTCTTATTGCCATACCTGTAGCGCTCTAACACAGCCAAGGCCGCCCAACGGTTCTGCTGGACAAGTCAAGAAGTTAGCATTGATTACTTCGCAGCGGCAAGCCTGATGAGACCTCCGGCTTCCAGACGGATGCGGTCTCTCCGTTTGCTTTCGCTCGAAACGACGCAAGGGTCATTGTGTCCAACACTTTTCCAACAAGAAAGTTCGAGGTTGCACGAGATAATCCCAGAAGTATTGGGTAGCTCCAGCTCTCAAATCCGGGTCGAGCTACAATCGTTTTCCTCTGGTCCCGATTCTTTAGTTTCTAAAGGGTGCAAGTTCACGATCTCGAGCCAGAGGACCATACTGTAAGGGGCGTGCACGTCTACAGGAGCCTGCGTGCTCGAACCCGAGCTTTGCTGCCCGCACTCCCCATAAAGCGCTGACTATTCGGATCCCCAGCAAGTCAGCTTCGCTGACAAACCGCGCTAGGTAAAGTCCCTCCGTGATTGGACGGTAGGAAAAGACGAAGAAGAGAGTGGAAGTCCGCGTCGGGCAGAAAGTTAAGTAGGCACTCCAGAATTTTCAGCCAGATTGTAAGCCAGAATCCACACATCCGGAAATTATGGCGCAACTCTGACTTGAAGAAGTGGTGCGGTGAGGAAAGCATCACTCCTCAAACGGGCATCCTTGGGGAGTCTGCAATCGTGGTTGTGTCCTTGAACCCTTTTGTTTCAGCACTTTCACGAAGAAATCAATGATGCGACCAATTTATGCAATTTGATTCAGAATCCTGAAAAGTGAGAGTCGCTGAAGATATCTGGCCTGGCAGGCCCTTCGTGAGGGGTCGCAGAATCACGTCATCATCTGAAGGGTACGAGCAATATAAACGTCCGGTCTCCTCGGATTTGCGTGATATCTGGAAAAGAGAGACAGCTCAAAACTGTCTCTTCTGACAGCCCGCACTTCTTCAGCCCTTGGATAAGTATATTCAAATAGGCTCCTGGATCTGACGCTGAAAGTTTGCACAATCTGCAATGGAGACTTGTGACCACAAACTGGAGAGCCAGGTGGCAAGAAGGTGATCCTCACCCAGGGGGTGGCCATCCATCCAACAATGCTGCCAATATTGGCAATCGTGCCCCCCCCCTGCTTCGCCATAATTGGAAAGACGGCCTGGCTGACAGCGACTGTCCCGTACACATTGGTCTCAAACAGCTGGCGCATGGCCTCCATTGGGAGGTCCATCAGAGGGCCGACGGCGCCGACGCCCGCGTTGTTGACCTGCAAAGCGGAGTGATTCAGCCAGAGGTCGTGCGCTTTCTGTGGCTCTGTGCCAATGTTGTAGGAAGATGAGTGCAGACTGTAATGGAAGTTTTGCATTGCTTTTCAGCCACCACCAAGCCCTCAGTGCAGCAGGCTTCCTTGGAGAGAGAAAGACCTTGGAGGCACGAGCAACTGAAGCACCGATGGAACTAGTGTGCGCCGAGCGCCTAAACCTGACCGGTCAACGTTGAAACCCTTTCGCTCGACTAAGCAACGCCCTTTCCCCTCAGATTGTCATAAAAGCGCTGTCACTGAAGATGCAACGGTTCTGACAGTGTCTTTTCCCTCCTCCTTGAGACAAGGTCACTTGTTACTTGTCAAATGTGAAGAATGTCGAAAGCTTGCATCAAGAAAGAAAAGGGTGTCCGGTAGAACAAGGGAGGAAATCAACCCAGAGAAGACATTCAGTTCGTGTCCTCCACGCAGAATCCTACTTAATGCAAAGTCAAAAGACACCACGAACATCACATCTACGACATCAAGTCCATCATGCACCAGCCCCCATGGGCAGATTCAAAAGCTCCACCATATCAAGGACCTCTTCTCAGTTTTGAACTTTGATCTCGCAAGGAGACTCTTCTAAAAGCTGCACTCTCAGTGACATCATATTTCGCACTCGAAGCTCCCTGCTCACGCTCCCTCACCAGAATATCCACCCTGCCCGCTTTTGCCACCACCGTCTCCACACAGTCCCTTATGGACGCCTCCTCACACACGTCCAGCTGTACCACACAGCACCCAAGCGCCTCCAACTTCGTCATACTCTCCAGCCGCCGCGCGGTGGCAAAGACACGGCACCCCCGCTTGAGCAGGGCCTCGCACAAAGCCGCCCCGATACCCCCCTCAGAGCAGCCTGTCACAAGCGCCACCTTGGGGCCGTCCATACTACACCAGCTCGGACTCTGACTCACCTCTGGATTCAAAGTGGTGCACAGCTACTTCGGTCTAGCTTGAATCCTTCTATTGCATCTCGCTAAACCGCCCTCTATTGAAGAATCCACCTTGAATCTGAACCCCTTGAATCACTTTGACAGTAAGATGATATTGTCAACATCTCAGGGGTGATAGCGCGCTGGCAAGCTACCCGCATTGCCTCTGGCAGGCCGAATTCGCGAAGCCTGAGCTGGTGGCAGGTCGAGCTCAACTCGAGCCTAGCTGGCGCCGCATATGACAGGTTCCGGAGAATAGGGAGCCAGTACTCCTACTAGGAGAATCTCCTTACAGTGACAAATCCAGGGGGACTCCAACGAACCACGACGACTTCTTGGGAGTGCGTGCAGGGATGGCTCTGCCGAGAAAGGTGATCACGTGCAGCACGCTGGTGCGGCCCGCTCGTACTAGCTACCATCATTTCGCTGTTCAGATTTCCAGTAAAAGTCGACAACGTTGACCACTGCGGTAAGCGGCGGCGACCGGACACCGTACCTATCGTCGGAATCGAGCGATAGCGTATGGAACCGATCACCAGGGAACGGTACCAGCCTCAGCCTCTCACAGTACCTACTAGCTTGTGCTGCTTCATACTACAGTACCTAGTGTTATAACAGACGAACAACCAGACTCCGGAGCGTACGGCCGGTACGCGGTCGGTGCAACGACGGACGACGGCCGGGGGCGTCAAGGAGTGCGTCGCGCTTCGCGGCGAAACCGGAGGGTCCGTTGGAAAGCCAATCATTCGCCGGGAACTCCCACATTACCGGTATAGCCATACCCTAATGTACATTGTACAGTGCCTTGAAGTGAGTACTGCCCGGACTACGTACGGCCAGTAGCTGGACTTGGGACGAGCCTTGATTCACGCGACTCGTGTCATTAGCATGTACCGGCTATTTTTCTTGAGCTACACGCACCAAATGAACCAGATGAAAACATTTGAGTACTCATTCTACATCTAGCCCTCAGTATTAAGGGTGTCACTAAACAGATAGACGTGTCCGTAGAATCGTCGACACGCATTTGGGACCACTAGTAGGTAGTTGCATAAGTACTGCTTGATGACTGGGCTCTGCTAATCTGAAATCGTCAAAGTGCCCTTCATTAAATGCCTTACACTGAAAGTAGAAAGAACAGGCGAGTGCTTTTGTCTGCAAACTGAGGCAACCTACTCATCGCACTCAGCACTCTGCAATGGTAACTCCAATGCCGCGCCTCCGTTTATGGTACATTAAAAAATATGTTTAAACGGTAGGTATTGCACATTCCAATTGCACGCATAATTACGACCGGCACTGGCTTGTAGTAGATAACGGGACACCACAGCGCGTTGAGACCCTCCTAGAGGGTCCGACATCTATGACAGGACCTACCTCATGGTGAGGGGTACCACTGTATACGGTATGCTGCCAAGCTGCACATAACTCATCATGAAGATAGGTACCAGACGACCAGACGAGTTAGGCGGTTATTTTCACGGCACTGTATTGCAGGACGCTGATTCTAAACTTTAGCAGTGGTACCAGGCACTGGTATTGAGAAATGGCCCCGAAAGGATAATTCGCCTAGCTGGCGGAATTGGACCCTGCCAGTGGCATTTTATTCTTTCCGTGCCTCAGATCAATTTCTAAGTGAGTGATTCTCATTTTCTGATGTTTCTATACCAGCGAATAATTTTCCTGATCATATGTTTACTATAAATGATGATTGCCCCGTAATGCGTCGCCCTGTGATCGTCAGGATTTATAGCTCTTCTGACCACTTTTCCTTTTGAAAGTGCACAGGCTCTGTCCCCTGTGAGAGCTTGCCCTAAGCAACTGGCTAGTTTACGTTTGCCAGGCTGACGGTAACTCTTCCAAGCCGCATCAAATGCAAGCGCCGTTAGCGCCGTTCATGATCCTAATACCAGTTGAGTGCACGTTCTCTCACTCATAAGCTGGGCCAAATAGTTGCCACTCTCAATTCCACTTGCCAGCACAAGACTGTGAGCACGTTCCTCACGGCAACTCGATGACGCAGGTGATTCCAACGGGCACCAACGGGGGCGTATGCCCTCTGGGCACCGCCGCCAGCGCGGCCGGAGGGCTTTTTATTGGCGTCATCTTCCACGCCGTTGGGTTGTAACCACTTGAGCGTCCGAAGCTGAAGGAACAGCGGTGCAGTGGCGGGCGCTTCCTCTGGCGGCTTTGGCGGAACTGGTCGGGAGCCTCGTGGACAGCCTGATGGGCGTCAGGTTGCAGTACAGCGGGTTGGACGCCAAGCTTGGGGAGGTGCGTTTGATCTTTCGGAGCGAGTGTGCCCCGGGACTGCGAATTCAGGCTGACTTTTGGCTGGCACTTGTCAAAAGAATTGCCTTTCTTCTGCTGATATGTACATGAGTAGTCACAGCTTCGGCACAAAAGGAATCCGATTATTTGGAGACTAATTCAAAATTCCTTGAACCAAATTAAATTCTGCGCTATAGCTCTTGGTCTAAGTATGATAGAAAGCAGTCGACATATGACTCGAGCATCTGCCGTCTCAGGTGGTGCAACACCCGGGCTGCACGTGCTCAATAATGAGGGCATTAACTTCGTGGCTTCGGAAGCCACTGCCGCGCTGACTGCAGGCGCATCGGTGCTGATCTTCTGAGATAGACATCTTTACAGGAATCGTTGATGGATGGCGAGGTGCTAACCGTAACATTGGTGGCCCCATAGCTCAAGGATCATGCAATCCCATGCTATGGTGAGTTATCGGGTGCATCTAGGATGCTGTGTGATCAAAGGAAATTTCATGCGCGCTCCATCCGCATGGAAACGAGCACCTTGCGCATCGGGAGGCCGTATTCTGTTTGGACCCGTTTCCGACGACGGAGGACCTATGCATGGCAGGTGTTTGCGTCAACGGGTTCGACTCAACTCGAAGAGCATAGTGCACCTCAGAAGAGGACAATGGTACAGGTATTGTCGAAAGACACCGTTCCCAACCGCAAGCCATGTTTCCGCGACAGCAGATTGTGCTGTCAAGCTTGAGACATGCGCGCGAGGCTGGAGACACGCTATAAATGTCCAACATGGGGAGAACACGGTCGGGATCCAAGTCCGGTTGAGGCTTCGCCACCGAGCGCTGGGCATACATACCTTTTATCATGGATCACGGCAGTATCTACGCTGGGCTTAAACGGCCGCTCAGCTGGGCGAATACATAGAAAGCCGGCCGGCCCGGGTCCCGCAATCCATTCGCAATCGGACCAGAACCTCAACTGCTTCTCGTCTTGCTTCCGGTGAAGATATTTCATTCTGTGCCATTGCACGCCAACCCAGATTCCAGGCCCTCAAACGCGGGACGAACAACAGGTGTTCAGAAGTGGCTCGGCGCTTTGATATCAACGCTTGGATTAGGCGCGGGTAAGTCCATGCGACTTGGGGCTCTTGGACTTGAGATCCTATGAGGCACAAGACGGGGTCACAGAAGATTCCAGATTCTTCGCGTCAGAGCTTGCAAGCTTCTCCGTATAATTCTCAACAGACGACCTTAGTTTGTTGACCCAAACCCCACACAGGTTTGGGTGAAACTTCAACTGACCTCTGCCAACGGTAACAGCCAATGCCCCAAAACGACCACTGCAAGCGGCACGGTTATGTTATCAACGTCCCGATAAGGGAAGCTCTCAACGGCTGCCGCCGCGAAGCTGAGCACGCAAACGAACAGTGCGGCGCCGCAAAGCGACAGCTCCCGATCAAAGTTCCCCCTATAGTTGAAGTACACCTGCGGGTAGTTTGAAATTTAAATTCTGAGGTCTCAGGTTGTTTCTGTTTCTAGAGACTGCGAGGTTCACAGCGCGCCTGTTTCATGGCAAGCACAAAAGGCATGCAGCAAGAGGTTGCAGCTTCCAATAACCGTGCGCTTGCCCAGCAATTTCGATCGTGCCACCTCGGAGACGATCGCAAGATTCTTGAGGAGCTGGGCACTTTGGGAGGTAGCTTGCATCTTTAGGGGAGTACAAGAATACGAGAAAGTTCTCTCAGCAGCTCTGAACAGGATATCACACAAATGGATTCGTTCGCAGAGGTTGGAATGGCGCCTTTCTGGCGGCTCGCACCCAAATCCACAACGACGTGTGCATTAAACCAAGTGCGAGACCCCGGGTGCGCTCTCGTGCGCCGTACGGGCGGCCAGCACAACCGTCTCAACAAAACCCAAAGACGATGCTTGTAAGAATAATACCATCGCCTTACCAGAGCTGCCAACCCGAAGACGAAGCTCCCAAGAAACATGGCTGACGAGCCGACGTAGGTTTTTGATTGCGACCATGGTAGCTTCGCCCTGCGTTAAATTCAAAGACGCTTCTTAGCTCCTGTTGGCCGGTCAATCACAAGAAGAGCTGCTGTTTCAATTGAGCTGCTTCAACTCAGTCATGGGTATGCTTCAAGCTTCCACTTAGCGTCTGAATTCGACTGGACTTTCGAAGGAGACAATATTTCTCTCTTTAAGTTTGGCCAACAGCGTGCCGAAGATAAAGTAGGCTGTCCAGATGCATAATACAAAAGAGCACAACTGCGTCTGCGTCTGCGCTTCCGTTACATGAAGCGGTGACTAACATTTATCTTATAAACTGATCAGGAAAGAAGGAAGTTCCCAAAAAAATATAGGAAAAAGCTCTCTGCTCGTCCCAAACGAGAAACAATCCGTAGAAGTTTAGTCCGCTAAGCTATGGGGCTGAGCGGCGCCTTGAAGTGAATTCTGCAAGACCCTGCCGTCTGTACGTCATCCACATTAGTATTTCCCAAAAAGACACCGGTTCTGAACCTGACCCTTGTTCTGGTAAGAGGCCCGCTGCGAGAGGAACGCGCGTGCTATTGGGTGGTCCGTCAAGAATCAGATTCTTTCCTAGATGAGGACTCCAAAATAAGCCAGAACACGTTTTCGAAGGCCGCCCACCTTCCATATCTCCTCCCAAGAACCTCCGCCAGGCCATCGCCCCCGCAGAGCGCCGAGAGCCCCAGCACGCCCAGGGGGGAGTTCCGCCAGAACACGAGCTGCCAGGGCGCGTTTGCAATCTTCAAGCTGGTTTGCAACCGCCAAGAATTGCAGGTGCTTCGTAACATGACGAGTGAGAGGTCGCATACGAACGGCGGACTTGGGTGAGAAAAGGTCTGAAATTCTGGAAACGGTGCAAGAAACGGTCGTCGAGAGAAAATTCACCTTGCAGTGTAAAAGAAACTCTCTGCAGGGTACCAATGCTTCGATTCTCGCCTGTATTCTCGGGAGATCTGGACTGCCCTCTGCACGCAGCGACCTGCCAGCTGACGCGCTCAAACAATTTCGCACTTTCCGGCCCAAGACTAGGAAACATCGTTGCCTCCTTTTCTCCACATGCTATTTTCCAAGATATATGCGAAGCTTTTTGCTTCTGAATCGAGAGAGATCAAAGCGCGGCTCCCTGGACAAAGGAGTGGCGCTCACCGTGGCGACCAGGAAGACGATGCCGTAGTATAAGGGGCCCCGGAGCATCTCCGCCGGATCGCCTCTTCGGCTCATGGAGGCCACCGCCCGGGGGTCACGGATCACGCCTGAGCGGCAGAGAGGCCTGACGTCAGCGTCGGTGTCAGCATTGAATCTCAGGAAAAAGTGCGTCACCACAAATAACTTCGTCCTGCTGAAATGAAGTCTTAGGTTGAGTTTGCCTTGAGCTTTCGTTTGGCCATAGTCAATGCCAATGACGCGGACTGCTTACATCTGCGCAGCTTCGAGAAGAATGTGCAGCGAAGTTTTAGCATTTCTTAGTAAGTGGATAAGACTCCCTTCCAGCAACATCTCATGCGGACCAAAGAAGGCTCAAACCTCACAGAGCAATTCATGCATCGAACGCGTAACGACTAGAGCATGCCAATCAGCTGTTGGCAGAACGAAGACTCATTTAGAGCAGCAGTTGGGGCAGCTCGACGGGCCTGGCCAAGCTTCGAGTAAGCGAAGCCAATACGCCCACCACTGCGTCCCGTCCTATGTTAACCTTTTCCAGGTGAGGGTTGTCTCACCGATCCCAAGGAGGAAGAAGTTTGCGGTGACCAGAAGGGGCGCCGCTGCTGCAAAGTAGCGCGACTCTGGGGCGTCGCTACAAATAGGGAGGGCGGCAATAAGTGGCGGCACCGATCAGTCGCCGGCAGCATTATGGAGGGTAGATTTGACGTCGGACGAAGGTGAGAATAGCTCATCAGAGTCTGCCCCAGGAACACCGACCTTTTGGTCTCCGCACGCACACAGACCATCACTCCGCGTTGCCTGACTAAAGACGGGCATAGAGAAACGAACGGCTCCCAAATGGACGGACTCGAGACCCCAATCTAGTTCCATAGAATCCGTCAGGAGGCGTGGTCGAAGCAGCAGGGCGTGGCTGCGCACAGCGCACCTGAAAAGATTCCACGTCAGCAGGAAGATGGGGCCCGTGCCGATGTGGATGACCTTCCGACTCAGTCTCTGTACACGGAACATATCTAGGCCTTCAGAAGGCGGGCTAGGAAGACAGAGGATACGAGGCTCCTCTCTAATGTTGACCTTCCAAGAGCAGCTAAGTCATTCTTCAAAGGGGACGACAAGGACACCCCTTGGCCAGCTCGGAGAGCTTTCCACGGTCATCGTAAAGTCACCAACAGCTTATCTCATCAACGGTTTGGATCCTCTGATAACAGATGTGTCTGAATCGCTGCCTTCTCCAGGTCAACGAGTGAGCAGTCTCATAATGTCGAGCATGTTGAGTGACACGGCCGCGTCCACTCATTTTACCCATGCGACGCACAAGAAGAGGGCGATTACTGATGCGCCCAGATCCTGCAGCACAAAGAGCGGATACCGGGCTGTTCAAGGGCGTGTGAAAGCATGAAGACGTCGCCTTCGGGTCTTGGTCTTGAGATGCTAGTGGGCCGTGACACTCTAAGCGGGAGGCTTGGTGATGGCACCGCATTCCAATGGACGCAATTGAGATAAATCATCAATCTAACGAGAGCAGATTAATTTACTTCGGTGAGGTAGTTGGCTGCCGAGAAAGGATACTTAGGTAGGATGCCACCCTCTAGTGATTGGTTGCCACAAGCGCAACAAGCCTGGAGCACTCTGCAAGCGCAGGACTTACCAAGCCAGAGGAGGAAGAAAAGTAGGGCGATAGCGGAGACCCTGCCATGGGCCGACTCTGCTGGCAAGACCCAATACCAGCGGTTAGTGCAAGCTGATCTTCAGTGCTTCCTATGGGAAACGTGATTCTCCTTCAAAAAGCGTCGTTCGTAAGTTATGGATATGCATAACATGATGCACTTGCAGATTCTTGAGGACTGAGAGCTGGAAAACTGAACTGGAAGCAACTTTGCAACGTCTGTGCCAAATGCCTGATAAGCGGTGGTCAAGTTTAAATCAAAATACCCGCACACCAGCAGCTGATCTTGACTGGTTCACAGCGGTCTTTTCTGGGTTGCTCCTCTATTCATGGTCGGCGGGCAAAAGGCTTTCTTCAATTCACCTAGGCCTATGTATATGATGAAGCAAATTTTCATAGGGATTTGTCTACAGCTCTGTGCTAGAGGTGCATCATGATTGTTCTCCCTTCAGAACTTTGTCCAGTCTCGGTTTACCTTAAGATTAGCCTCCTTCCACAACCATTTGTGTTGCAGTTCGGTGGGTTTGTTGGCTTGCAATGGCATTATGCACCCCAGGCAGCCCTTCTATGCATTCAAGGACTCTGCGACAGGCTGCTTTCTCACAACTCAATGGCGTGGATCCACAATCGAAACCATGATGTCTTTTGTCAGATGCTCTCTTCAACCTCCAGCTGAGGGCATCTAATACAAAGCCCATACAAAAGCAAGCGGGCTGGTTTAGAAGTCATACCATGAGAAGCAAGCTAGCGGGCTTGTGGCCGGTCATCTAAACCACAGAAATTGGAGCCGGCTGGCTCATCCATCTCCCAAATGCAAGCGGGCTTGGACTCGGACTGGAAGCAGGGCTCAGAAACGGCTCTTGATCTTAACCAAACCATGGACACTTCTCTTTCATGCGTTTGCACTCAGCTGCACAGCTGGCGTCGCCACTGAGCCACAACTGAGCCAGCAAACGGATTCTAGTGTTCTAAGGCAACGTAAAGAAGTAAGCAAAGAATTCAACTTGCAAGCGCTTAGCCGCAGCTTGCGGACTACTTACTGCATTACACAAGACACCTGGGCGAAGCAGGCGAAGTCCCGGACTCCAGTACGCCATTGAAGATCTGCTCGCCAGTGCCAGTGGCAGTGTTCTTGCCGGTACCAGTGAGCGAGTCTGCAGTGGTAGTGATATGGAGTGTGAATGATTGCGCTAGCCGGCTGGCCTAGCTATAGCGTATGCATGGGTGACGTATGCATGGACCGCCAAGGGGCGCCGGCTTGGATGCGGTGCCCGGTTCCTGTAACCTGTTTTAAAAGTACAACGGCCAAAGAACGTTCAACGCGGCGCCTCAGAGTACGGTAGTGGATTGCCACTGCAGTGCTTCTTTTGAAGTACAGGGAAGGTGGCGCGCGCACAATCGCATCTGACAGCATTGGCCGTCGATCTGAAGAACACGGACCGATCGGAGGGCTCTGCCAACTTTGAGAGTCTGAGATCATTTCTCAGTGCCCCCTGCTGCCGGGCCTGGGGGCTGCTGCAGGCCTACGACTACCTAGCTGTACAATGTGAATATCATAACTTGAAGGTACGATTGCGGTAGCAACGAAGCGACTTGGCTCCCCAGCAGGGGGCAGAAAGCTGTAAAAGCAGCCCGTATGTATCCAGAATCAGTGGCATTCTGGAAGTGGGGCACCGGATGGCAATCACATCGCCATTGGTTGGAGATTCTTCTAGGCTGCAATGCTGCTTTCTGCAATGCCGCTCATACCTTGCACCGCTTGCTGCGCAGCATTCCACCCATCTCTTTGACACGAGCATTGACATATGTACGATACGCTCCTCTAGCCTATGCTCGCCCGACCATTTTCGTTGTAGTCCACTTTTCACAGAGTACTTCGAAAGTCCAAGCTGCAACAAGTAGTTTCAGTAAAACGATGCGGACCCAATCCCCTGCGAGCATTTGTGAAGGTTTGGAACACTGTCTGACAGATGGCTGCTAACAGCCGTGGCGCTACGCGTGGCGCCACAGGGGGCTCTTATGGCGGCCGCCGGGACAATGCTGTGGAGGGGCTGGAGAGTGTGGGCACCGGCTTAAAAGTAAAACGGACGTCGAGTGGGGTTGCAGCGGCCAGTCAAAACCTGGCAGGTGTGTCGCTGCAGATTTGGAGATTCGCTGCTGGAGAACTTTGATCTGCTATGCTTGTGCTAGCCATGCAAACATAGGCTCAATGTGCAACACGATGTTGCTGACGTTTTGGGGCTGCATGCTCGCTCGTGATCTATGTGACCTTTGCTAGATGGGGCTTCATCACAGGTTGCTGATCAATGACAAGATGAGATGCACTGCCATCCAGTTCTGCGAACACACACCAATGCAACTATTTTGCAGAGCTCACCTGCAGCTTGGCCGACAGACTGCTGTTGGCACAATCTACTCTGTCCTTTCCGCTTAGTGTTTTTGCCACCACATGTACCACCTCAAAGAGGTGAAGTTTTCCATCAAAATCTGCTTTCCACTTCCTTTCCAGTTGCAAGCATTGCAAACCTCCGTGGCGAGGTCCGATGCGCGTGCGTGAGCGGTTCAGCCGTCTTCACTGGGGACCGTAGCGGCCCCATCCTGCAGTGGGACGCCCGCAGCGGCGCCTGCCAGAAGCTGCTGGACCGGCCCCTGCAAGCATGTGCGCTGGCAAGCGTCGCGGACGGTAGTGAGCTGTGGGTGGGCTTGGCTGACAGCGACATCCTGGCCATTGATGTTGCGGGGAGAGTCGCTAAAGGGCGGTGGCGGGCGCACACCGGGGGGGTGTTCTGCCTGGTGGCGGGGAGGGAGTGCGTGTGGTCGGGAGGGGCGGACTTCCAGATACGCAAGTGGGACCTGGTGAGAAGTGCGGCGGTGCAGCCCATCTGATGAGGACCAGAAGCTGGCATGTCCACAAGAAAAAGGCATCTTGTAGAGCTGCTCAATTGCCCAGAATGTTTCACAAATGCATCCACAGCGATTCACTAAAACTTTCGAAGTTGGAGGGCTTTCCATATTAGAAGGCAGCCAGCCTCTGCATCGCATCATACTTGAGAGTCAAGGGCGAAGGTGCGCCCAATGGAAGCAACAGTGCATGTCAGAGGTGTGCAACAATTGGCAACACTGGCCAGCCTGACTTATCAGTGTTGCTTTCTGTGCAGGCTGGTCAGCCCCTGGCTGCGTATTCACACCACCACAACTCGGTGCGCTGCCTGCTGCTGGCCCCCCTGTCTCATGGGCCGGAGCGGGGCGTGCAGGTCTGGAGCGGCTCCAGTGACACCACCGTGGGCGTGCTGTATGACACAGTAAGCCATTCACTTCTGAGGAGACTGGTGGTATCATTAAGGCACCCTTCGAGGAATCGATTTACACTGAGTGATTCGAGGACTCACAGCTCAACCCTCTCGCAGAACTTTAGAGTCTGTCAATGGAGTAGCCACTACAACAGCAATGATATACAGGCGCTTAGAGCTGCAAAGAGTTCCTTGCCAACTTTGACCTAATATGGTCGCACCTCAATAACATGTCAGGAAGCTGGGTTCTATTACATTGCTTTCTCTGGATTTTTCTCATCTCCGTAATTGACTGGTGAGAGGCCCTCGACCAGGTCTAATCTGACGGACTCCCTTGTTCTGTGTGTGTGTTTTAGGATGGGATGCAGTCCGCTGGGACCGCTCCGGAGGCTCAGATCTTGACAGGCCACACCAAGGCAGTCATCACAGTGTGCACAACAGCCGGGGAGGTGTGGAGCGGTTGCGAAGACGGGGTGATCCGGGTCTGGTGTCGGGAGGTGGGGCCTTTCGCCTTGCCCCACAATCATATCGTCCAAGACACTCTTTGTTCAGACGGAAACAGCTAATCGTTGCTTATTTTGAAAGCTTTCTACTCCGGAATTCGTTCGGGTCTAGTTGCCCCAATCCTAGATTCACGGGTTGGCCTGGCTGGCGACTTCGAGACAGGTAAGGCAACCCGCCTTTCTGAAAGAGCGTCCCCCTTTCGAGACAGTCAGAAACACTGCCTGAGAAACATGCCGGGCGCGTGCAGGACCTGAGTTTCCGGTCGGAGGTGGCGGCCCAAAAGGGCGCAGTGAGCAGCCTGGTGGCCATGGGCAGCCACGTGTGGAGCGGCAGCGGGGACCACACCGTCCTGGCGTGGGACGCGCAGGTGAGGGTCTTCTGTCAAGCAAAAGCACAAAAGCAGGTAGTATTCGTGTGCTTGGATTTGAGAGACGAAAGTACTGTCTTTTGCTTTTGAAACGAGATACTGAGGACATCAAATGCTCTACTGCAGAGGTGGGAGTACGCATAGTGGGTTCGAGGAACAGGCCTGCTGGCTCCTCACCCGTGCAACGAAGCGGTCCGGTCGTTGTCAGGATCTCACCACCTTCTTCAGAGGAGTCTGCTCGAAATCAGAAAGCACGTAGACTTTGCTCCTTTTCTATCGAGTTTCAAAATTGTAAAACTTTCTGCTATGTCTTGCCAGAGCAAGGAGGTCCGCTTCTCGCTGGGCGACCAAGGCGGGTACGTGCGGCACATGGTGCGCGCCGGGTGGGCGCTCTGGGCGTTTGCAGCGGAAAAGGCGATCAACATCTGGGCTGCTCAGGTCAGTCGTCGACCAGCGCACGCTGGATAATGCAGCCAGTGGACTGCTGTTGCAGCCCACTAAAATGCAGGAAAATTCCATGAGTTCCTCGTAAGGTTGGCGCATGGTTTTGGATTGGTCCATGGCGGCTAAGAAAGGTTTGCTTCCAGATCGACTCCGGTGCTCAAGTGAAGCTAAGAAAAGTCGACCCGCAGCACAAAGTACGCCGTCGCCAGGGCCATGCTCCACAACGCGCTCGAGTCCATTGGCAGCTGAGACGTCGAGAAGACGTGAACGAATCTCAAGAGCTCAGAGAGTATGCTACTTCCTCAGAGAGGCCTACCCACAAAAGGGGCACGAAACCTGCCCTTCTAAGCGATAATCCTGACTGCGCTTCCGTCGTATCTACAGAGTTTGGTCGAGGGCGCCGAGGCAGAGTGCGGGGCCGCACAGGAGGATAAGCGTCTGGCGCTGCAGCAGGTGGACGCGCGGGACGCGCGCATCGCCGACCTCACCGCGCAGCTCGACCGGTGTGCCTTCGACATGCAGCAGCTCCGACAGGCGTGCGACCAAGCCGCCAGCGCTCGAGACGACGCGCTACAGGAGAGAGACGCGGCCGCGAGAGCGGGCGAAGAAGCGGAGGGGAGAGCGAGGGACCTGGCTTCAGAAGTTGACGAGCTTCGAAAGGCGCTCCAAGACCGAGACGCGGAAGAGTTTAAGAAAGAGGATGCCGTGCGCCAAGAGAGGGAAGCGATGGGACAGGGCACAGAACGGGCGAGGGCGGAGAGGGACCGCGCGATGATGGAAGTGGAGCGGCTGCAGCAGGAGGGGGAGGAGCGAGCGCGCAGTCTGGAGCAGGAAAGGCTGCTCACACAGGTGAGGACCGTAAAGAAAAGAATATCTGTAGGTTTGTACATCCAATCACTCGGAGCACATCGGACTACCATGGGGCTTAAAATTCCTTGGCAATCTAGTTGGTCAAGCCAAGTACAACAGTAGATTTGCAACCTGGATCTCGGCATGACCTCAATCCGAGTAGATTAGCGGGTCAACCCTCATCTCAATGCTGTCTCTTGACTCCCACCTTTGACAGGTAAGAGCGGTATAACGAAGGAGCATGGCTGTGCAGGGTCAAAGATGTCTCTCAACGAGTCCTGCAACTCGACAAGTTCTCTCTGCAACTGCATCTTACAACGTCCTTTCTGTAGAAGTCTCTGTTCTTTCTTGTGAGCAGCTGCAATTCTCAAAGTGCCCTTACATCTGCACTAAGGAATTGTTCCAGAAAACCTTGGTGCATGCCCATGATTTGAAGATTCTGTTGCGCCTTCCAGGAGCTGCGGCAGACGCTGATGGATACCACCCAGAAAGCTCTCGAGCTGGCGGAAGACCTGGACAAGCAGAGGGCGACCATCAGCCAGCTGCAGGCCGACAGGGCCTCGGCGAACGGCGAGGCGAGCCAGCGGGAAGCGGACTTGACGGCGCAGCTACAAGCCTTGCACGCGGAAATGGACGCCCTTGCGGCACGGTTTGCGGCAGAAAGGGAACAAATGACTTTGAAGATGAGCCATGATCGGGAAGCACTCGTGGCCGAAGTGGATAGGCGGGAAGCGGAGATTCAGGAGCTGGTGCGAGAGCGAGACGGCCTGGTCCGCGAGCAGGAGGAGGGCGCGCCCCGGGTGCAGGGGCTGGAGGAGGAGCTATGGGGCACGCGCGAGCGCATGCGCGAGGTGTTGGACGAGAGCACGCGCTTGCAGGCCGACCTGGCGGCAGTGCAGCAGCGCGCCGAGAGCATGGAGCGCGACGCGGCCGCGCGGGAGGCGCGCGCGCAGGCCGAGCTCGCAGACGCGCGCGCCCGCATCGAGGCCCTCGTGGATGCGCTTAACGGAACGGATCAGGAGCGGCAAGCGGAAGTGCAGGCGAGGTGCGAGGCTCTGGAGGCGGACTGGGCGGCAAGAATGGAACATTTGAGAGCGGAGTCGAGCAAAGAGGTCGCCGAGCTTCAGATACGCTTGAAGGATTTCCAAAAAGAAAGAGAGCTGGAGGCTCGAAGAGTGGAGGAGGGGCATGCGGCAGAGATTGACGAGCTAAAGCAAGAGCTTGCAACGGAGATGGCTGCCCTGACGAGTAGCGGCGAGGCAGAGCGGGACCAGAGCGTGCGGCGCGAGGTGGAGGCTCTGCGGGAAAGGCTGGAGCAAGAGGCGGCGGTGCAGAAAGAGGTGCACCAGCGAGACGTGGAGTTTCTGCAGCAGAGACTGCTAGAGCTGCAGGGAGAGGCGCAGCGGAGCAAGCAGGAGGCGCAAGAAGCGGGAGAAGGGCTGCGGGAACGGGAAAGGGTCCTCGAGCAACGGCTGGCCGAAGAGAGAGGGGCGCTGGACAGGGAGTGGCAGACCAAGGGAATGGAATCGAAGGAGAGGGAAGAGGGGCTCCGGCAAGAAAGGGACGAGGAGCGGGCTAGAAGCGAAGCAGAGAGGACGGAACTGCAGGCGGAGATTGACAGGTGAGCCTTAGGAGCACTGGACTCGCGGGACGGCGGGGATCGTAAAAGACGCAAGACAAGTACTCACCGACATCAAGTCATAATTCTACTTGAATGAAGCACAGCTCATGGTTAGTAAGGCTAACCATAAGCTCATACTAGCGTGTTCAATCCCCATTTATTTTGGCTCAGGTTGCGGGGTGTGCTGGACGCGACATATCAAGAAAAGGGCCACAGCCAGGAGTCGTGGCAGAGCGAGAGACAGGGGATCGTTGATCAGATGACGAAAGCAGTGGAGGAGCTTCGAGCTAGACTGCAGGTGAGGGCTATGCATCACGATCTTGTGCTTAGAGGTGGACGCAGGAAATTGTTTACAGAATGCCGTTGAATGACTCATTCTTCCCGTTCGGTGGAGGTCAAAGCCTGGATTTCTTGGCGGCTTCTCCCCGTTTCAAAGATCTCTCTCCCTTCTGTCTCATTTTAGTCAAAGGTGGCTCGACTACTCCAAACCCTTTCTCGCCAGCTTTGCAATCCAGAAGCAGCCACGACAGTCCTACTTGAATCGCACTGTCTCTTCCTACTTCACCATGTTGCTGGCGCTCTTATGAAAATGTGCTCGACCTCTCTTTCCCGTTTCCGCAAGCCAGGCTGTATAACCTGCCGAGATCTATTTGCAGGAGCTGGAGACGCAAAAGGACGCAATGCACGCCGACAGCCAAAGGCTGCTGGCTGACAACGGGAGCCTGCGCGCGCAGATACAGGACCTGGAAGCGCGGGGCGACCAGGACCGGGAAGAGCTGACGTGGGCAGCGCGCACCCGCAGTCAGATGGAGGAAGAACGAGGCGGCCTGCTGGCGCGACAGGCAGAACTAGAGCGGGAAGTCAGCAGAGCCGGCCGTGAAGCGGAGGAGAGGCAGGGGGAGTGCAGCAGGGTTAGCGAGGAACTGAAGCGGGTTAAGGGGGAACTTGAACGGGTTTCGGAGGAAGCGGAGGGGTCTGGTCGGGAGCGGAACCGGGTGGTAAAGCAACTGGGGCGGGCTCAGGAGGAACTGAACCGAGTCACGGCGGAGTGCCACGTGGCGGATGGAGAGAGGAGGAAGATGGATGAGGAGCTGAGGTGGGTTAAGGAGGAGCTGGACCGGGTTACTGAGCAGGTTAGGACCCAAATGCAGGGTCAGGAACAGGCAAGCATGGACGCGGAACAGACAAGGGCGCAACTCGCGGAAGCAGAGCATGAGGCAGAGCGGCTCAGAGCGGCCCTGGCTGACGCGGACGAGAAGCTGAGGCAGACGGACGCCACGTGGCAGGAAGAGATTGGCCGGTGGAGAGACGAGAACACCGGTCTGCAGAGTGACGTGCTCGCCGCAAGTCGGTCGGCGGAGGCGGCAGAAAAGAATCTGGAGGAGAAGCAAGGGTACATAGCCGACTGCGAGGCACGGTTAGCGCAAGCGCAGCAGGAGTTGGAACGGGTTGGCGGAGAAAACGGACGGTTAAGGGCGGAGCTAGAAGCGGCGTACCAGAACGCTGAAGCTCTGACCCACGAAGCCGAAGGTCACAGAACGGATGCGCAGAATGCGCATGGGGACAGGGCGCAATTGGAGGAAAGGCTGTGTCAGCTGGAAGAAGAGAACCGTCGATTACAGCACGAGTTGGACCAGTCCGGCCAGCACATTCAAGAGCTGTCGACCGGCCTCGAAGCTCAAATAGCGGAGATTGCGGACGTTGCGGATTTGAGGGCCGCTCTTGACGAGAAGTGCGCTCTCGTGCACGATCTGCAGACGCAGCTAGCGGCGCTCTCGGCTGAGTTGCAGCACGCGAGCGCACTGCTGCAGGAGCAGTCGTTGGCAGAGAAAACCGTTTTTTCAAACCAGCCAAGACCGGACCAGCAGCAGCCGTACCAGCCCGACGTCAGCAGCGGGCCCCCAAACCCGGCTTCACTGACGTCAGAGGATGCGCCTGAGGCGTTCCGAGACGTCCACGTGGACCGGGTGGTTCTTCCTCAGCCAGGAGCGGGACTCGACCCGGGAGCGTCGCAAGAGTGGGCCGCGGCCGCGGCCGCGGAACGGCGCGAGGCACAGCTGGAGGGGGCGCTGGAACAGGCACGCCACGACTACGAACTGCTGCTCAAAGGTGACCTCAAGCAGCCAAGTGTCTCTTTCGCAGCAGGCCTTTTGACGTAGAAATAGGGGAGCAAGTCTGCCGGTCAGGGACGTCCTGTCTGGGAGGGCCTCACCGTCTGCCGCTTATGTACTCAGTGCGTGGCTTTCAATGAAGCGCGAGCTGGAACTGAAAAGATAGCAAGGGCGCATCAGTAACGATAGAGCTCCCCCTGTGAAACTTCCGTTACCACTCTAGTCCGAGGATTGATCACGCAACGGCAACCTCTGTTGATCCTAAGGTTTTCTTTGAAACCGATCGAGACCGGCAGAGTCTTGACGGACAGGCTGTCCTTGGGCATCATTGTCAACCTTGACAGTGACAGCTCTGAGTCAATGGTTAACCACGTTAACGCCGCCCAAGTGTCCCTTGTTCAGAGCTGTCGGACGTGAAGGCGGAGCGCGCCACCCTGATCAGCAGTCTGCAGCAAATGGCGGGGGAGCTGGGCCAAGGCAGGCGACGGAGCGGCGACCGGGATGAGCTGGCGGCGTCCTTCAACAGGACGGCACTGCAGGTATGGCGCCGAATGCTCTGCTGCCCACAAGCAATCTAATGGACCTACTGCAGAAAAAGTCCTGGAAACGAACGGGGGAATAATATGGATCATCTAGCTCAAGCTCTTGCAAGCGTAGGAACAAAAGCTCCTAGACGAGGGAATATTCCTGTGGCACCACATTTCGCGGGGTCTTCTTGAAAGCCGCCGCCTCTTCTCAAGATCTTCGCCCTCATCACCAAGTCCTTTCTTTAACGTCTTAAGATCGTTCCGCCCCACAGGGCTTTCCATTCTTTTTTTGAGTCTGCTACGACTCGCTTGCGTCAGACATCTTCATGTTGTAACATTCAAATCAAGCCATCTAATAATCTCAGTAGTGGAAAGCAACAGGTTCTGATGTTGCTTACAGGCCGTGGAGAATGAGAGGGCCGCCATGGCGCAGCAGCTGCTGTCCGCCAACAAGGCGCTCGTGAGCGCTAAGAAAGAGTGCGCGGGACTCAGGATGCTGCTCGCGGACAAGAGCGAGATGCTGGACCAGGGGGCGCGCGACCTCATGCGCGCACAGAAGCTGGTGAGATTCAATCGGAGCGCGCGCGTTGCTGCTCGATGGCTCATCTGTACGTATTCCGTATCGCTGATTGGGCACGCGCAACACTGGCCCTCACAAGTAAAGGTGTAACGGAACCGTCTGCTCCATTCTACTTCTGCTTCAATACCTTTCGCTTCTCTGCGGATCACGAAATTCTGACAACGAGCAACATCCTGAGGATATGTATGAGGCCAGGTTATCTACCATCGGCGGATGGCACTGATCTAGATCGAAACGGACAAGCCCTATGCTACATCGAAGCTGCCGGGAGCTCAGAAAGACAGTAGCATTCTGTTTGACCAACAAATATGCTCAAAAAGACCCCTTACGCGTCTGCAGATCAAGCAGTATGAGGCCGACCTCGCCGCGCTGCGGAAGGAGGTGGCGTCGCTGTCGAAGGAGCTGCAGGCAGGCCGGCGGCAGTCCGCGTCGGTGCAGACCGACTTTGAGGGCCTCGCCTTGCAGCGGTCGGTCAGCAAAGAGAAGGAGCGGTACCTGTCGGGGCGGGGGCTGTGGCGGGAACGGTGACGTCTTGACAAGCCCAGTCAATTTGATCTAGACATTGTTGTTTTAACGCGCCGCAGTTAGATAAATCGTCCCGAAAGCCACCAAGCGGTGCGACTCCGGAACCACGCGAGATCCCTTTGAAATAGGGCGCGCGAGCTGCGAGCGTCCTAGGATCATACTGTAAGTATACGTCTCGATGGCTACACACGTCATTGCATGATAACCTCTTTAGAATGATATGTAAGCATCGGTTCCCAAGTTTGCCGGGCACCTCACGATTCCGTTGGAACCATAAAAGGGTACGTCTATTTGTGCAAAACAGGTGACATCGGCGTGCACCGTTAACAAGGGAGATTTCGAGTCGGTCTTCATGAAGCGCACTATACAGAGACACGCCTCAAGCTAGAAGCACATCATGTATAGCAAGCAGGTAGAGAAGTTTGTAATATTTTACCGACACTACAGATAAAGGTTGGCCTCTGTATACAGCTATCCATAATAGTATGCATGACAACATTTGAGCATGTCACTCGGGTCGAAGATTTCAGTAAACAACTAGCTGACGACCTGCAAAACCCCCAGTGCAATCGTAATAAAAGGGTCGGCCGGAATCTGTCCGGCCCGGCTTCAAAAGAAGACTCATGCAATGTGACTCGCATGCATCATAGCAAGAGCGGCCTTGATGCATGGCCGCGCGCTCGACAGCTATAGCTTACAGAACTTACAACAATAAGAATTCGGAGGAGATGAGAATATTTTTGTAAGAATCAAAAAGCGCGTCGAGCTAGCAATGTAAAAATTGAGATTGATTCTTCTGTACTTAATCTACAGAGCCCAGACCTCGCTCCTATACCTGAAATTTGATAGTATGGTTGTCAATCTGCCAACTCGTGGCAGGCCTGAAACCGCGAGGCGGTACGTGCGGGATTTCTAGCAATTTGGCAAACAATCATCATCTATGAGGCTTGGACTTTCCTGTACCTATTGTCTTCAAAGACACGTGTCGCTCGGCGGCCGCTGCTTGCCTTGCGAGCACTCGTGCTGCGCGCAATTTAGGTCCGACTGCTGTCCGAGGCGGCCGCTCCCCGTAACGGACGCCTTTGGGGACGGGGGTTTGGGAGCGGCGCGCGCACTGGAAGAACCTGATTGTGGCTGCTGCTTCTGGTAACGTCGAGGGGGGACAGCAGTGTCGGACGTCCTGAAGAGGAAAAGCCAAAAACGTCAGCAGCAAGTGAGGCAGATAGAAAACATCCTGCCGCTCTGAGTGATCGTTTCTCCATACGAGGATACACACTTCGCAGGGTTGTATACGTAGAGGTAAGCTTTTGCATCGGGTGCCTGTAGTATATGTCAGGAGGGCCAAACTTCTATACATTGTCTTCCAGTCGAAGCTGAAAAGCCGGAGTCGCTCAGTTCCACCGGAATACCAAAGTGCTGCCAGCAAGGTGCTAGCCTGCCTCACCTTCTCCGCGTCTTCGGCTCCTCGAACGGCCTGCTCTGGCCAGGGTTTGTGACCGGCGCGGGGGTACAGATGACGAGTGCCCATCTCCAACCCGCGGATCGCCTCGACCTGCTCTTCTGGAGACGCGAGGGGGTCCTCGCGGGCCGGTGTAAAATGGGAAACGACTGTGAATACCACAATCGCTTCGTAGCTCGTTCCATTCGCTGCTCGCATGTCGATGACCAGTTTACGGGCCGTTCCTGCATGTGCTACGAAGTGACGGGTGTTCAAGAGACGAGCGTTCCATCTGAAACGCATATCCTACCAGCGCGCTGCTGCTTTAGCTGAGCTGTTTGCGCGCGCAGTATTCAAAAAAATTCAGTCAGAGGCAGCAGTCCGTACCTCGGGAGGGCGGTGTCCCTCCCTCGAGGTCTCGTCCCGGCCCTGGTCGCTGCGCGGCCACTCGCTCGCCTTGAGGGAGACATCCCGGGGGGGACGGGGCAAGGGAGACGCGCGCGTTGACCTTTGAAGGGACCAGCGCGACCAGCGGAGCTGGGATGCACGGCAAGCGACGTGCTCGTCGATTACCTTGAAAGATGGAAACAGCCCGGACTTTCTTCTATATACAACTGGGAGTGTCTGGAAACTCCAGGATATCGTCACAAAAGGTATCTTTAAGCCAGCGCGACACTGCTTGAAAACCTGACCAAAGGAATGCACGAAAGGGCGGGCGCAATTGAATCCCAATATTACTGTCTGCAAGAGAGAACAATTTCGGTTCTTCTTTGCTGCCAGCATTAGATCCTTAGAGCTCTTGGACAGACAGCTCGGGGATGCTGATAATAACAGCATGGACCGGCCCCTCATCGACCTGGCCTAAGCCAGGGGGGCCGCTCGCAGAGTGATGTCATCATCTGTAAGGGACGGTGGGCACGAGTGAGAGCTTTTCTGGCAGGATAAAGCAGTGATGCATAGTTAGTCATCCAATGCGTTGCTCGTCAGACGTTGCTCATTCATGCGAAGCTTTGTCTTCCCAACAAACCCAATCCTAACTTTTTGAGCGAGACCAGCGAGGAGACTACCCCTCAATCGAAGAACTGGACATGAAGGGGAAAGCCCCCAAAGCATGCTGTGCAAATCTGAGAGGACTCTGCCATCGCATCAGGCAGCCATATGACCTCGCCTGCAGATTCGTGGCGTCCCCAAAATCGCCCAAAACGAAGTAGGCCGCAGCGTCCATGTCAAACGCCAGAGGATTCAGGCTCCACGTCGCCTCGGATGCATGGCAAATTGGTACGCCCCGTGCTCGGGCCGTCATTGTTCTCTGTAGCGGTGTGGGGCCAGCTGCAGGAGAGGAGAGGAAGCAGATTAAGTATGCAAAAAACCTCGTTGATCAAGTCAGCTTGTCGATACATTTCCAAAGCACCAGCTCTTCAACCTATTCATTAGCTAGTACGCAGAAATAGAACAAGTCAGAACTTAAGGAGTCCTTCACAAAGCAGACACTTCCAACTCACCCAAGACTAACGACTACGAATGCGTCTCACCACTGTGCATGCACAGCGGTTGCAGACTGACCTGTGCACGGCGATATCTCCTCCTTTAGAGCCTCGTGCACTGCAGCCTCCACGACAAGCTCCTGGCTGAATCCGGCTAAGCGGGAAGTCAAAAATGGTCAGACGATTGGAGGCAGTTACTTTCTGCAAAGCTCCTAGGCACATTTTAGGATCGAGCAATAAGATCATTATAAGGGACGAAATTTCTGCTGATCCCGTGCATGATTTCATAAAAATCATGTCTATTGAGAAAAGTTACGAAAGGGGATATCGCCTGACTGCAGTTCAGATCGATGGTGCCTGGTGTTAGCATACATAAAGAGGCAGGATCTAAGCCGGAATCATTACATTGATGGTGGCACCAACGCTATCGGCAAGATTCGACAATGGCTGAGCTGGCATGTCCTTGCACAATCGGATGCATGACGCAAGCCACAACACACGACTCGCCCCACACCGGCAACATGGGAACAATCTATCTATGGCGAGCACATGCACCAATCATCAGATGACTTTCGACTTGTGTAATCTGACTACATGGTAGTGGATAGATTGACTGCTTTGGCCAACTAGCCATACGTAGGGAAGGGGAAGGCTTTTCTTATGTTCGGCAGGTTGTTCCCGCCATCAACAGTTCCTTCGCAATATGAAGCAGAATCCGTGCACCGCCGAAATTTCTTTCAAAGACAGAGTGATCGATCTTCTACTCCGCATTGGAGCTGAATTTCAAGCACAAAGTAGCTCTTGACCAGCCTTTCAGGATAAACTTTCTTGGCACCTCAACTAAGGGAAAGAGCACATCAAAGACTGCAAATACTGTATCAATTGCAAAGCAGCCGGAAACAAAGTCGGGCCACGGATTTATCTCTTCGATCACTTGAACACCTTTAGGATCAATAGACCAAGTCACAATCAACCGATTGTCGGCTCCATATAGCTGATACTTGGCGTTGGGATTCAGGAATTGTTGGATGCTGTAGATAGGCGTTGATGTAGCCGTAAATGTGTATGAGGTGACCTGCAAGGTAAGTGACTATATACTTTACTACATGTAGCTGATGTCATTCGTCCGTTATGGAGTTTGCAGGGTCAGCCGTACAATAGAAGACCGCTTGTAAAGAATATGCCTAATCAATGATCAACAATCAACATAGGTCACAGCAGCATCAATTTTAGCATAGCTGGTTGCAGATTCCCACCTGTTCCCCATTCAGCTTGATGCGGATCGACGGTGACAGCACCACGTGATTCCACTGATCAACAGCAAGCCAAAGTGCCTGGAAGTTCTTTGGGCAACTGGCAAAGAATCCCCTTTTATCATCTACCAGGATTATTCCTCGAAAGGCGTCAAAAGAAGATCCAAAAGTCGGTCCTCCTGGCCGTATTATTGTGCTCCAATTGAAGCAATTCGCGTCAGGTCCGGCTGGATTCGGAGCAAGGGTGAAGTACAGATTTGTGTGAAATGCTTGGGGTCTACCAAATGGACTCCTCCTACCCTCAAAGGCAAAGTGTACGCATGGTGCCAGAGCTCGACCACATGCGTGAATGTCCTGAAGGCACTGCAGGTCTAAAGATGCATTACAATTGCTGTTTGGTGTCAATGTAAGATTCTTGCTTCCAACCGATGGGAACTGGGAACTGAATTCTGCAGAATGAACAGGGTTCAGATCAACAAAATGCCCAGCTCGAAGAGTCTCGTCCTCGTCGACAACGTCGACAAGACACTCTGCCTGAAGGTCCTTGAATAGGACGGGAAAAGTTTGTGGCCCGATTTCAAAACTCTCTAGACACACACGTATGTCTGGCAATTGAAACGTGCCCGCAACGTCGTACTTGATGCTAACCCCAGGATTGCTTGTTTGGTGCAATGCCTGTAACAAAGCCACGCTGATCAGCATGCTAAACTTAGAAAGAAGGGCTCAGCTGCATTTTGTAAAGATGTCCCTGGAGTAGCAAAAAGGCCACTGGCCCAAGCAGCAGCGTGGCGTTTCACTGGCACGTGGTTGATCATACTGAATATGGAGCCACAGGCAATGAGGTCAAAACCATGGCACAGGCTCATGTTCAGCTGTCATTCCGAGCAGGACCAGTTGTACGACGGAAGGAAGATTGAAAGATTAGTGACTGCAAAATGCTGATCGGCTGATGCTCACCTCAGTCAAAAGATAACCTACTCCTGCAAGAAAAGCACCGCCAACCAAGAAGTACACAACCCAAGCCCAGCAGCGGCCCTGCTTTTCCACGTCCCAAGGCGTGGCCATTGCCCTGACCCAGCTATAGCTGCGGCCTGGCGGTTTCAGGCTTCAATTTCGCTATGTACATTGTTGTGTAGTGTGGGACTGTGTGGCACTTCCTTCAGTGAACAGTGAACACTTTCGTTGCCAGAATCATAGACGGTATTACCTAGCTGGTAGGGGTCGGCCTTCCGACTTCTACACCGTTGAACCTGGTAAGAGTCTCGCATTCATTGCACGGCTGAATCCTTGTAAGTTGTGGTTGACAAAAAAAATGTACCGACCGGTCTAATCAACTCCTAGGTCTTCGACGCCCAAATGGCCGAGCATTTGGCTGGCGAGTCCAATAGGCCCGCCCGGGCTGGTTGAGGCTGCCGGGCGCAATCAGAGTTACCAGTATCACAAGCCGATCAATGTACTACTAAGGTACCTAGTGAAAAATAACGGAGACGGGTAGCTAGGGCTAGTTTAATAGGGGGTTAGGGTGGGTACGGGTGCGGAGCGGATGATCTTTTGGGTTTAAGGGTTTTTAGTAACCCCAAAATGCTTCCTGTTCACTGGGCTTGCTGTTACACCGAATCAAGAAATTAGTACCGGCGCAACCTGACCGGCTCAGCGGCCTGACCGGCTGTAGCGGCTAGCCGGCTGCCGCTGTACGTGCATTTGATGCAGTGACGTGGACTGTACGGACGTCTAAAACAGTTGGAACCTTGACATCATGTTGACCGTCGTTCTCCGGCCACACCCATGTATGGAAACTGGCGACATTTGTGTTCAGTCAGGGCCGTGTTCACTTAAGAACAGGTCCCGGGGACTGGTAGGGTTGGTTTTGGGGTTAGGGTGGGTACGGGGCGGAGCGTGCACGTGAAATCCTGTTACTTTGGACTTCTAGTTTGTTTTCGCCCCGGGCGGATACTGAACACAAGCTTAAGTGAATACAGATGTCGCCAGTATGTATCCCTAAACCCCCAAACGAACGCAACCAGTGTTCGACACGAGCCGCGCCGTCACACCAGACAAACGTCAGCCGACCGTGACGGATTTGCCACCGGGCCGACTCAACCGAGGGGCGTCGGCCGAAAAGCCGGTACAGAATCAAGGTAATTTCGGCTGCTTGGCTGAGGTCCAGCCGACAGACCAGAGAGAAGTCGGCCTTGGACAGTGGGAGCCGACGTACAAAATCGAAACTCCATGTCGAACGCTGAACCCAACCCGTCCGACCCAGGGTTGAAGGGTTTCCCACAGCCGGCAAGAGAACCTGGACCTGACCGGCCGAGAAAAGAACCCCGGCCGGTGCCGAAGGCAACCCCGCCGGCTGCTCAGCCGGCTGAAAATGCAGGCAAAAAGTGGGCTCAGCCGGCCGGTTAAGCCAATTGGCCGACTACCGAGCCGAGAGAACCGGGGGGGCGCCGGCAGCTGACCGGCCGGGACGAAACTCCGTGGGAAACCCTGGTCCGACCCCCGGGCTTTCCCAGTTGGTCAACATGTACCGTAGGTAGCTACAACAAACCACAGTGTACATGAGTGCATGATCACATGATGCGCGCCTTGCATGTGCATTGTGGACTTCGAGTCTACAGTGGATCGGATCGTAAAGCTCTGCGCAGCTTGCAGCTTGAAATTTAGACCTTGAAGGCTCGAAGGCTCAGGCAAGATGATGATGATTTTCGTGTGTTGCGCTCCCGTTGCGCTATTACACCGTCATACCGCATTTCAGGCATGCTGCACGTTTCTGGTACCTATTTAGGTCGAACTTAGAATTTAAATAGGACCAATGTTAGGACCACTGCAGATCAAAATACAAGTTATTTACCATTGACCTGAGGCGGGGCCCGGCAAACGGCTAAAGGCTCCATAACGAGCTCCGATGCCCACTTGTCGCGACGACATTGCTGCCAATGCGAGTCCATGACAATATTATGTGAAGCTGCAGCGGCTATGCACCAGTGGTCACCTTGAGAAGCCCAGAGGGCAATCTGCTGAGTCGCTCCTCTAAAAAGCGGCTTATCTGGCAACTGTACACAATTTGAACCCCACAACTTAGCCATCCGTGAAACCCAACAGGCACCCCATGAGGCCGCTGAACGACCTTCACTTACTCTTGGCGTCGGCCCCTGCATCTTCGTCATCCTCAGTTTCCCCTTCGTCTTCAGGGGGGAAAGAAGACGTCTCGTCTGCCACTGCCAGCGCCCCGGCAAGCAGCGCGCACGCATGCAGCCGCCGCAATGGTGTACCACGCCACTCCGCTGAAGAGCATCCTTGGCACCACCCCAGTGTTGGCCGCCAGCATCGTCTCCGAGATCGGGTTAGTTCTGACAAGCCCAATGCTATGTCGGGGCTGCCGCAAGATCAAACAGATGATAGCATTCTGTTCGACCGACAAACATGCCCAGAAAACTTCTTCCGTGTTTGCAGATCAAGCAGTATGAGGGCGACCTCGCCGCGCTGCGCAAGGAGGTGGCGTCGCTGTCCAAGGAGCTGCAGGCGGGCCGGCGGCAGTCCGCGTCGGTGCAGACCGACTTTGAGGGCCTCGCCTCGCAGCGGTCCGTCAGCAAAGAGAAGGAGCAGTACCTGTCGGGGCGGGGGCTGTGGCGGGAACGATGACGCCAAAACAAGCTCAGTCGAAAACGAAAGAAAGATGGTTAACCCGCCGCAGTTGAGTATTAGGCTTGTATCCTTTTAGGGTGGCGAAGTCGGGCTCACACAGAACTTGTCCTGAAGTGCGGCGCGCGAGCTGCGAGCTTTTTAGGTTCCTTTGTACGTACGTCTTAGTCGCTCAAACCGTCATGGAACACCTTCACTGATCTGTAAGGTCGGGGCCCAATGGTGCCGTTCCCCTCACAATACTGTACGACACTGTCGTCACATGGGCACGGTTAGTAAGTCAGTCGCAGGTGCTTTTGAAGCGCACTATACACAGGCCTGAGGCTAGAAGTAGGATTGAGCACTGCAAGAAGACCTGTCGCACCAGCGGCATCGCCAGGAAGCCACGTTAGTATGAGCCGGACGATGCACAAGCTTCATCGGAACCAAATTACCATACCCACGATATAAATAGAAGTTGGCCTTCTGAATACAGGTTCATAATCCATTGCTTTCAGAACGTTGATTACGCAATTTGAGGAGCTGCAAACCGTGACCTAAGCCGATCCGTCTACGTCTGCTGTAGATGAAGAGTCAACAGCAATTTGACTTGCACTTATGCATGGCCGCGCTCGACAGCTAGCTCAAAGACAACAAGAGTTCTTGATAAGCTCATCACTTTGGTGTTTCGCACCGTATATCTGAGCTCGCGCGCCAAGCCCGTATGTTTCCAGCGGTTTCCAGCGGTTTCCAGCTCGCGCTTCCGTTGGCAGAGCTGCATGCAATCCAAAATTGAAGTAATGGTTAAGCAAATCTCTCTGTTCTTGATCGGTATATCATTGAACGTATCTGATCGAGCCTGCGTTTTGGTCGTCACGCTGTGAGAATGCATGGTGCGCAAGTAGGATTAACATGCCAGTCTCCAACTTCCGTTTCAAAACCATGTGTGTGTGCGGATAGGCTTTGCCGAATTCCCCATCATTGGAAGGGCTTGAAGTCTTGTCGTGCATCAGCTCTATGCAATTGAATTGATGGTGGCAGGACCCCGCTGAGGCAGAGTCCGATTCAACTTCACCACCAGACAGAAATTGAACATAGATTTGAATACATTTGAAATCAATTGCGCGCAGCTAGCAATGTAAAGAATAAAAGAATGTTTTAGTGTCTTTTCTAAAGAGCCCAGGCCTCAATCCTATACCTCCTGAGTATGTCTGTCAATCTGTCAACTCGTGGCCGTTAGGCCTGATATACAAGCGGTGCAATTTAGCAATTTGCCGAAAAATATCAATCTCATCTACGAGGCCTGGGCTCTTCTATACCTACACTGCAGAGACACGTGCCGCTCGGCAGCCGCTGCCTGCCGTGCGAGCACCCGTGCTGCGCGCAACCTACTGCTGTCGCGGCCGCTCCCCGTATCGGATGCCTTCGGGGACGGGGTTCCGGGAGTGGCGCGCGCAGCGGAGAGGGCCGACCACAGCTGCTGCTTCTGATATGCTCGAGGGTGGGCAGCAGCGTCGGACAGCCTGAGCGAAGAGAAACTCAGAAAGCATCAGAAGCAAGTCACTGAGGTGGGCGGAAAACATTGGGCCGCTCTGGACGTTCGCTGTTTGACCCCAGAATCTGTACTCCCTAGAGTCTTGCGAAATGAACTCTGCCTGATGTGTCTGTGAGACAGGTTAGACGGACGAAACACACGTTCTGTCTTGAATAAAACCTTGAGAGCAGGAACCGCTCGTTTCACTGGTTGCCAGCAACGGGGTAGCCTGCCTCACCTTCTCCGGTTCCTCAATCCTGCGGACGGCCTGCTCTGGCCAGCGACCGGCGCGGGGGTGAAGATAACCAGTGCCGGTCTCCAGCCCGCCGGCCGCTTTGACCTGCTCCTCCCAGGACGCGACGAAGCCTTCGCACGCCTGTAAGAAAAAAAGGCAACCTTGAACATCAACACTGCAGTCTTTCTGTAACTTGATTGGTGGGAATGAATGCCAAGGCCTCGTTTACGGGAGGTCCTTGCATGTGCTCCAAAATGACGGAATAACATCTGGGTAACGAACGTTCCACAGAGACGCACAACCATCAGCACGCTGCTATACTTTGTTTCGACACACAATCCTTAGAGGAACCCAAGGGCAGCAGTCCGTACCTCGGAGGAGCAGCGTCCCTTGGGGTATCGTCCCGGCCCGTCTGGTCGCTGCGCGGCCCCTCGCTCGCCTTAAGCAAGATAGCCTGGAGGGGACGAGGCGAGGGGGACGCGCGCGCGTTGACCTCTGAGGGGGTCAGCGGGACCAGCGGAGCCGGGGTGCGCGGCCGGAGCTCCTCGCAAGCAATATGTTCGTCGAGGACCTGGAAACACATGTGGCGAGCATCTTGTCAGCGAATGGAAAATATATGAGAAGACGATTTTGTCAGCTATCCAGACACTCCCCATATTCGTAAGCAGCAGAATGCACGAAAGGGCGTGCGCGGCGTTTTTGAAAGGGTGTCTGCAAAAGAGAATACTTCATTGTCGTTCTGCAACAGTGGTAGAACCTTACCAGGGAGCTCTCGGACCGCTCGGGGATGCTGATGGTCAGCATGGACCGCCTCATCGACCTGGGCTTTGGGGAGGGGGGACGCTCGGAGAAAGATGTCATCGTCTGCGAGAAACATCGGCATGAGTGAGGACTTTTCTGGCAGGTGAAAGCAGAGATAAAGAGCGAAAAGTAAAGATAGAAGGAGATGAACCGCTTGTCAGACGTTGCTCACTCGTGCCAAAAGCAAAGTCCCCAATCACCCCAAATCCTGACATCTTCAACAAGGAATCTCCTCACACAGACCGAATCGGATCCTCGCTAAAATACCCAAAGTATGCTGTGCAGATTCAGTGAGACTTTGCCATTGCATTTAAAAGGTCATATCCCCTCACCTCCAGATCAGTGAGGTCCCCGCAGCCCAGGTCGAAGAAGGCCACCGCGTCCATGTCGAGCGCCAGAGGATTCAGGCTCCACGTCACCTCAGATGCGATGGCATTGGCGTGCCAGGTGACGGGGCCGTCATCGCTCTGCGCAACTGAGAGGGCAGCTACAGCAAAGGCCGAGAAGCACAGTAAGTCCAAAGGTAAACCTACTGACCACTTAATCTCAAACATGTTCTGAAACCAACATTTCAATGACCAACAGGAGGCAAAGATAGAAACAGGGTAAGAGAATGAGTCTTTCACAAATTGAAGACTGGGTTACCCAAAACTGACACGAAGGTAATGCAATGACTGACCTGCGTGCAGCGCGCTCTCCTCCTCCAGAACCTCAGGTGCTGCAACCTCCACGAGAGGCTCCTGGCTGGAGCTCTGCTGAAGTAAAAGAGTGAAACTGAGTCAGAGACTTGGTGGCAAGTTTGTTCCTGCAATCCTCCTAGTCACACTGCGAAATCAGGAAAAGCACTAGCGATGAGTTGAGCATCAGCTTCGGACCCTCCTCTGGACAAACAATCCAAAGGTGGTTCACTCCAGACAGCCACGTTGCATACCTGGAGGAGGCTGACAGCCTCGATGACGAAAGTGAGGCAGGCGACCAGCAGGGCCACCGTGACGGCCATGCACTGGAAGAGCACGCCCATCATCTGAAGTAAGCAGGCACGAGGTGAGGGAGCGGTCTTTCCATCTTAAGTCACAATTAGACAAAGGAAGCGCCCACGCGCAACCGGAGCACCAATCTGTAACCCTGAGCGTTAGAGGCTTTGGCTGAGTGCCCATTCTGGCTGCCTTTGAAGATGAAGGAAAGCACCTGCTTCAGAACTGGCACAATCCCCCACACGCAGTGCAACTTTATCTCTCTGTGCCAAATTGCATTCTTGTTTTGTTCAGCAACACTTTGAAAGGACTTTCATGACATTCTGTGCTGCCCATACCAATAGCCAAGTCTTTTAGTATCTCGACACGGCGAGCGGAATCGTGGGTCTAACACCGTTTGGTCAAAAACCTGCTACACAATGCTTGCTTGATCTTCTGTGCTCCCTTCTTCCCGAGCTCTGACAACCCAAATATCGGTCACCTCATCGTGAAGTCTTAAGTGGGACGAGAAGAGCAAAGAGCTATGTTCTGAACAACCAGGTTCTGAACAAAAGTTCAACTCACCATGACCTGGAGGCGCCTGCCGCTTGCGGCCGCCTGCTGTGGTGCCTGCGTCTGCGTGGGAGCAGCGCAGAGCGCCATGGTGCTCCCAAACTCAATGCCCGCTGCCACGCTGCACTACTAGCAAACTGCAGCTGGCGGCGCTGGACTGCAGGCGTCAAGCGCTGAGCGCCAGTCAACGCTAACCTCGACGCGGAGGCTGAGCGCAGAAAGCAGGCACAGAAAGCACTAATATAGCTGAGAGCGGCAAGGTACGCTGAGCGCCAGAATGCTGGAGAGCTGTGTAAGCAAAGTGACATTTGAAGTTTTGCAGAGCTTGAACATGACCAGAGAATTGAGAGCTAGTGTGTTGTTATCGATCAGCGCCGCATTGACTTCGCCGGGGGGGCGCTTTTGCAATATTTATTTGAGACCCCCAGACGACGAGGAGATGAACAAAGCCAGCTAGGTAGTCCCCCGCGCGAGACTCACTTGGCGGAATGCGCGCGGCACCTCATTGCGCAAATGAGTCCTTGGCCTTGGCTGACTCAGCGCGCAGAGTCAATCAACGTCTGCCACGTGGACAGGGTTGTGTCCCAGTGCCAGGCCGTGCGCATTGAACTACCGGCAAGTATTCTTGATAGCGTTCCTTGACGTATTATAGGTACGCTATCGATTGGTTGTACCTACTACAACCACGCAGAAGTGGATCTACGCTGTTGCATGTAGGTGAAAGGCTGCAATGTTCCAGAGCCACATCTTGCATTAATGAATCAGATCATGAATGGAAGGTAAGCATTCCTTCCACTGAATGCAAGTCTCAGCTTTAGCAAGATAGGAGCGGCTGATGCAAAGAAATTTGTACAAGGTTTTACAGTTTTACAGTAGAGACATCTAGCTATCTCAAGCTAGCGGGTTTCAATAGCTTACCCTACCTTACACGGCAGAATTCATACCTTGAGGCATGGCTACTATGTCTACCGATAGCAACAAATGTTTGCATCCAAGCGAATCCAATGTAGATTCACTGAACATAACGTATACACTATGCTTAAGCCGACCGGGGCTGTATGCATATGTGCACATCTAAACCTGGTGGAAACTTCTACAGAACTAAAATACGAGTCATATACCTTTGACCAGCGAGGGCCCAGTAAACGGTCATAGCTCTACAACATGCGCTGATCCCCCACTTTGTACGCAACCATTATTGCATGCTCGATTCGATCGAGTAAGCTGCAGCTATGCACTGATGGTCCCCTTGAGAAGCCCAGAGGGGGCACTGCTGAGTCGCTCCCCTGAACACCGGCTGATCTAGCAACTGTACACAACCCCACAAACTCGCCATCCATCAACAGCGTACAGGCATCCCCATAGAACTGCTGAACGACCTTCACTCACTCCTGGCATTGTCATCATTCTCGGTTTCCCCCTTGGTATTCAAGACGCGAGTCTCGTCTGCCACTGCAAGCGCCCCGGCAAGTAGCGCACACCCAGCTGCCGCAATGGTATACCACGCCACCCCGCTAAAGAGCATCCTTGGCACCATCCCAGTATTGGCCGCCAGCATCACTTCCGAGATCGGGTTCAGTTCGTGGGCAGCAAAACTGGTTGCTTCCGCCACCTCCTCGAACGTCAGCCCCACCCTCACCGCCTGAAAGAGCGCGACCAAAGCAGGGACGCGGGAAAGCCACTCCGACCCCGCCCGCCTCTGCAGACTCTCCTGGAAGCTATTCACACCCTCAGGGGCCCTGCTCTCGGCGCCCTGTCTCGCGCCAGTGTCAACGCGCTGGCCCACGACGTTGCTCATGGCGTGCGCCTTGGCGAAGCTGACGCGCCGCTTGACGCCCTGCCCGGCTGCGCTGTACTCAAACACACTCCCGGCCGGGGTTATTCTCTCAGCTGGATTGGGGGCTCTCACTTTCGGCGCCTGCCAGTACTCATCCTCCAGCCCGTCCGCCTCTGCGCTCTGCCTGGGCTCCTCCGCCCCCCCCTGCCGCCTCGCTGCCGCCTCCTGCAACGCCTTCAGCGCATCCGATGGCCGGTGCCCCTCCACATCAGCCACCCCGTCAGGAGCATAGTACGGCAGGGGGTCGGACCGAAGCCGGTCTTCTTCCTCCCCAAGAACCCCTTCTCCAAAGTACTTGTAGTCGACCGTCTCTCTGTCCGTCTCCCTTCCCCCAGACGAGTACGCTTTGGCCCAATCGCTGGCGGCCGCTGCCGCCTGCGCCTCCTTTGCACTCACCCAAACCAAGGCCTGCGTTGTCGAATCTGCCGCTCCTCTGTAATCGGAGGCCCTGTTCCGGGGCCGGTCATCGATCTGCTGACCCATAAACCAGGACAGGTCCATCCCGCGGAGGCTTTGCGTCGCCTGGATCGCCTCTGCGGCCCTTCGCCGAGCAGCTTTCTGGGCGGGGGTCTCCTCCTCTGCTACAGGGCCGTTCTTGGCGCGGCGCTCCCGCTTGGTGAGGAAGCGCTCGGTCGCCTGTTCAAAAGCAAGCAATTGAGCTTCGTTCAGTATCTTTAGAGATATATCTCTTGGAAGCCAGTCGTCAAGCTGGCATTGACAAGTCATTTTTTGAGTCTGATGCAGCCACGTTCCAAATCTGATTCAAGACAAGACAACGACAAATGGTGCCTCTGTTGAACATTACGTTGTCAGATCTGCGGGCTTTTCGTCCTATCAATCTTGATAGAAGCGAAATGTGTCCAGCTCGGAGGCTAGATAATGTCGAGCTTCTCTTTTGCAGATCGACTGATGCTAGGCGACCACTTTTAACAGCTTATTAGCTGATGGTGTCACACGAAAGGAAACAACCAGAAACACTCTTGAAAGCTTACTTTCCAGATTTACAGCAACTACAAGTCTCGTATCAGTTCCGCTCTCAAAAGTCCACAAAAAGTCAGAAACAAAAAGGTCATTCAAATGCTAAAAGGGTTCACGTTCCCGACATTCGTTCTTTGCAATGATGCAACGAGCCACTCCCGATCTGGGGCATCTGGACCTCCACTCTGAAGCAAGCCTCTGCCACACAACGTCCCGGATTTAAAGCCACTGGATTCACAGAGGCCCCGCAATTGGGCAATATATTAACACAATCATGACCACATGCTCACCTGGAACACGTCCACGTTGCCTCTCTTGAGGCCCCCCCCGCTGTGCACCTCTACTCCTACGCCATGCCGCGGGAGCTGCGCCATGACGTACTCCAGTGCCGGCAGCTTCTGGCGCTCCACCAGGTGGATGCAGCTGACAGGGCAGGATGCAATCGCGTCGCTGATGGTGCGCTCGTCATTGGCCCACTGCCGCAAGCACCGGGCGCGGCCATACTTGTTCTCGATAGCAAACGTCTCGCCTGCGGAACAATGGTTAGAACCATGTAAGGAGAGAGAAAGCTGAACCTCTTCTTCAGGATCGCTTCGTAACCCACTGTCGAAACGACCTTTTCCATTGGAAATGTCAAAGAATCACGAAACTGACTTCGATGATGCTTCCACAGCGCTTGTTCTGCTCGATTGATACAAGGCTTGGCAGATACAGACTGGTCAAGTGACACTCACTGGCGATGAGTGCGCAGTTGAGGCAGCCGACGCACGAGGTCTCGTCCACAAACACCGCCTGCTGCTCGTCTGGGTGGCCATGCCAGGTCGAATGCAGCGGTTGGCCCGTGTATGCATCGTCCTCTATCCACATCACGCGTGTCTGCAACGACAATGGTAGGGGTCAGCTTTAAAAGATTCCTCTACGAGTTACAGACTGCTGGTCAACAGTGTAGACCATGACATTTTAGCCGATTCTGAACATTGATGTTTTTACATCATCCTCTCATCAATAGGTTTGCAAGAATCTTCTTGAACATGCAACTGCAACTTTACTACTAGATTGGCACCCTGGTCAGCACTAGACGAAGATCAACGCCCCAAATGCGAGCTTGCAACCTCTCGGCAGGCAAATTGACAAAAACTACCACACAAAATGCAAGCTTACAATATCTGGGCTTGCAGCTGGCCCAGGAATCTCTAGATGATGGTTCCAGGTAGGAATCCAGTAACTAGAACTGCCGGAAAGTCCAGACTTTTCATCCTTGCTATGTTTGGGGTCAACTTTGATTTCAGGCATGTGGTGCATGACCCCTATCTAATATTCTCTGCAACTTCACTGAACAGTAACCAGCTGCTTGACACTTACTTGATCATAGGCAGCCCGCAATTGTTCGTCTGACAGAATGGAGTAGGCCTCGTTCAATAAAACTGCCATGTCATGACCAAGCTGATCGCCGGCAACATCAGGGTGGCAGCGCTTCTGTTCCAAGCAAGCAGTGAAATTGTGAGACTCGCACCGAGAAAATATTGGCCTTTTGAGACTGGAGGTTGGATTGGATGAATGGAGGTGGACGCCAGAATTATTTGGTTCAATTGCAAAGGTAGCGGACCGCATTTCTTATCGCAGGGCAAACAGTCAAGAGACGATTGGGTAGTTCACAGTGATTTTAAAAGATTACAGTGATTTCAAAATGGCAATTGTGCTAGTGACCATTTTGATGATTGATGATTACTGCAGGTAAGACTGCATAGGCTACCATATCTGCGTGCACTCACCTGCAGCCATCTGTAGGCCTGCTTGACCTGGACCGCATCAGCTGCGGGGCCAACCCCTAGGAGCTCATAATAGTCATATCCATGGCTTGGACGGGCTTTTCGAACGCCCCCGGCAACTGCGAACACTCTCAGAGATCTTCTTCTGGCGTTCTGCTGTGTGATCCTAGCGCCTGAAAGTGGGACTGCTCGGTTGATGAAGAGTTGACCGCATGCTCCTAGAGGGGGGCACTTGACTGACAATTGGATGGCACGGGCAGGCGCCGCTGGACGCAGCTTGACTGCAATTGAGCAACTGCGGGAGTTAAGAAGGGGCGCTGTGCCCATGGCAGCAGGGGCAGCTGAGAGAGCACACGCCATCGCAAATGCACAGGGCCCCGAAAAGAAACAGCCTTGCTCAAATCAAGCCCTGGTTCTTGGTCCTTCATGCAGCAGCACAGCGCTCCCGACGAATCAAAACATGCCTATCTTCAGCTAGAAAGTGACAGGAAGGGAAAGCAGGGAGATTGGCTGCCAATGAGAGGAACAGCTGCACGAAGAATAGCCTCAGCAGGTTAAACTTGAAGCCTGGTTGCTGCAGCAAACATGAATGCTCCGCCAACCGTCCGCGTGTGGCGACGCAAAAGTGCATGTTCTTGACGTGGGAAAAGCGCACTTTTCTGTGACGTGGCAAATTGTCATTGCGCGTGGCGGACCAATGTTTCAAAAAGTGAACCACGTGGTCACCATAAAGGTACGCGCATTGCGCATCATTGATCCTCCGGCCATCCTACAGTACATTCAAGTTGTGCGGCTTGTTGGCAGACCATCATGCATGCAGGCAGCCATCTATCAGGCCTCTGAAACTTTCTATCTCCATAGGTACGCGAATCCACTGCTCCGAGTCCGTGCTTTCTTGCGTTCTTTGTCATGGCGGCGTACTCCAGTATTAAGGGAATAGGAGCCCGGGTGGATCATGCACAGACAGCGTGGCATCGCTTGCTAGTTTTCAAATCAATTCCTGGTTTACCATTCCAGATATTCCTCACTTGAGAACATACAATCTTTTGGGATGCACTTTGATTGCGACCAAAATGATCCGATGGAGGCTTCCCATGAAAAGGATACACTATGCCGAGTGAAGATATTATGAAACCCAAACCAGCTTCATGACCTCCTAGGGCCGGGACTGTCTGTGATGGTACTGTACTACGCTAACTTGACCCTGAGGATTTGCAGCTTCGACCTACGAAGTACGAATTACTTGAAGGCTTGCAGTACTGCATTGTTTTGCGGTCCACTTCTCTCGTACAACTTGGTGGACTTGTCAGAGAGTGATAAACCTCTTTGAAACTCAACGCGTCCACGACAAACTTGCAATCCGTTTTACCACCTAGCTACAGCTTGGAATACACAAAACACCATAACAACACCCACCCTCTAGGCAGCAACCTCGCCTACCACAAGAGTGCCAGTCAATAGATTACTCCTGCTAATATACAGACCCGTCATAGATCAGTATTCTCGTGTTGATCAGTGTCACTGTTTCTGTGGTCGACAAAGCATCGGCCAATCACCCAACTCGCTCCCAATAAAACACTAAAGCTGAAGCTTGAAGTCGATGTAGTTGAAATTGACATCGCCCGAGTCAAAGACGAGGCGCACCAAATGGGGCCCCGCACTAATGACAGTCTTGGTCACCACAGTTGAATCGGAGAAGATCTGCAAGGATTGAGGAAAAAGATGCTCAAAGACTTATGCATGTGGTTCTCGACCGTGTTCGAGTGCCAAACTGATACGACGACAGTGATGCATCCGAATAGATACCATGTTCATTCCAGCAAAGTAAACTTAGGCCACTGGTAAGCATCTGACGTCCCCCGTTATCATAATCTGCCGAAGTCGGCCGATGAGCTGTCAGACTATCCAACTCAAAGAAACGTAACCAGTCAGTGTCGAGCCACTTCCGCTTCAAGGTTCTTCTGGTCTGATGTTCGTATCCGAGCTGTGGGAATTGTCGAACACTAGGGGTTGGACGCTGGCATCCAGATGCTGGTGCTCCCAGGCCAACGACGAGGTATAAAGCCAATAAAGTTCGAGAAGATCAGAGAACCTTCGACCGTCAGGAGAGGCCACTTTTGGACAAATTCGGGGACTGAGCCATGAGTGTTGCGCAGTCTCTGACCTGCCAGCTGCCCATAGCCGGGAAGACGACCGGGCCGGTGATGTCTGCCCCGTCCACCTCAAGGTGCGCCTGCTTGGGGTTGGTCGAGTTGCTGGCCGTGCGGAACGTAATGCTGTACAGGCCTGCCGTGGCGAACGTTACGTCGTACTGCAGCCACTCGTGGGGCAGGATCATGCCGACCTGCAGGAAGGAGGGGCCCCCAAATCACACCGACGCCTTCTGATTCTTGGAGTTGCTACCAAAATGGAGCAATCTGTGAGATGAACGTCTGCACTTCTGCAGGTTGATCAAGTCAGCGTCTTCTGCAAGAGTCGGGGAGCACGCCGAGTAATGATTTTCCTAGTGTTATCGTAAACGGCCATGGCCATGGGGATCAACCAAGTAATGAGTAACCTCTTCCTTCTCCAAGCGGTGCCCAACTCGCGATGCTAGATTCTTTCCATGTAGAAAGGAGAGATTGCCCACCATGCATCCGGCCTCGACGCCCTTCCCCGGGACGACATCCAGAGCGGCTCCCACGTCCACGTCATCCCCGTTAGTGCAGTTGTTCAACCGTGCGTCATCTCCGAAACTGCAAACAGAGAGGTCGGTTTCAATTCACGCTTCGAAACTGCGTTCTGCAATGTGCTTTTGGGCGAAGCCTCCTGAAGTAAAGACTCAATAGCACGAGGCCTCAATTCCGCCGAGCTGCCACATCTCAAGTGCCCTCTCCAATTTTCTACATTCGGATTTGTATTATAGGGTATCCCACTCCTTAGTGATTCGTTGTTGCATTGTTTCGTTTTCTTTTGTATCCGATGCAAAGGGGCAGGATGTAGAGGAGACTTGTGAAAGAGGCTCTCCGCTGATTACTCACGCGTTGCCCTTGGAAAAGTCCGAGTACCCGATGCCCTGTCCCCCAGCCCGGTAGTTCTCAGCTTCGAGCCGCCCGGGCAGCACCGTCACGTTCTTTCCCGGGACGTAGGGGGCAACGGAAAGGCCCGACACCTTGGCCTCACCCACCAGGGGCGAGAACAGGACGTTGAGCAGACCGGTCGTCACCGACGTGCTGCAAAAACGAAGGTCAAGATTTAGGTTCAAAAAGCAAAGGTTGCGAATCTGCCGGAAAATGACTTTGCACAGGCGTAGAGTACGCAACGCAGCGAACGAAGTGGGGCAATAATCAAACGGCCGGCTTGATCGACATGAAAGGCAGCTGCTTTCCCGAAGATACTTCGACGTCAGCTTACGGGCCCTTCGACAAATACAGGTCCGCATGCGGAATCGGACATCACCTAAGCTGACTAATATGGCAAGATTCATACAAAGAGCGGCTTCATCTCAGATCTGGCCTGATACTACTTCTAAAGAACTCACGTGCGGGTCAGAACGAGTGCCCGGTGGTTCCCCCCGGTGGCGTTGAAGACGTCGAGCGCCGAGATCTCCTCCCGGCCGTTGATGAAGACGTCGAAGACGCGCTTGAGCGACGCGTTGAACACCGTCTCCGCCTCGAAGATGCTCACCACGTAGCTTCCGCTGGGGACCGGAATTTGGTACGAGAAGTTGGCAGCGCCGTACCGCTCCTTCTGATACAGAGCCTGGAGAGACACAAAACAGGAAGGTCACGTACTACGTTTTGTATCCGTGCTGTCTGCAAGATTTGCCTCGGTTGTCAGTCCGAAGTCTGGTCGCAGGTCGCTAGGGGCCTAAACTCAAGCGAGTCTGTTTGAAAACCATGATTGAGGTCACGCCGACGCATTCTTACGCCCCAATCAGCAGCATACCCTTGATTCTGACCTCGCAGAAACACAGTTGGTAAGTGTAGCACTGAGACGAACTTCTGCGCTCGACGGAGACGAGCCACTTGAGGACGTTTTGCATACACCGTAATAGATGGAAGAAGCAAGCTGGCAAAACATGAGAAATTGCAGCACAGGTGACTTTTCCGGATGTTATACTGTGCTTCTCTCCTTTTCGAAGATACCTAGAGATGCTTACCTGGTCGGCCGTGCCGGTGAAGGTGAGCAAGTTGGTCAGCATCATGCCCCCCACAAAGTAGTTGTCTGCCGCAAACACCGTCCCGTCGGAGAGCGTCAGGTCCAGGCCCGACCCGCAGTTGATGGCAATGCTCGCGTTTCCTGCGGTGCCGTTAGGCGCGCTGTTTGGCAGCACGGTAATCGCACCAGCCGTGGTTCCGTTAGCCGTGCCGTTTGGCAGCATGGTAATCGCACCAGCCATGGTTCCGTTAGCCGTGCCGTTTGGCAGCATCGTAATCGCGGCCGCGGTGGCGTTTGCCACCCCGATACTGGTGGGCGCGGCCGCCGAGGAGTTGGAAAACACGGCCAGGGGGTCGGTGAAAACGGCCACTGAGGACGTATTCACATTGAAGGTGTAGGGCAGCGTGAAGTTGCCGGTCTGGGGCTTGGGGTTGACGGCAATCCCCTGGCCCCCGAAAGTGATCCGGTTGATGCGGAAGAGCTCTGTGGCGGGCAGCGGGGTGCCCTTGGCCAGGAAGACGAAGTGGAGGGAGACCACGCCGGAGCGCTGCGTCTCGCCGGAGCCCCACCTGCAGAGGGGACCGCGAGGGGATTGTTAGTCCTTGCCAGCCCAATCGTAAACTTCGCATGCTTGGCGCTCTTGAATAAGCAGGCGCCTCGACCGCTCCAGCACGAATCTCGAAAATCGCGTTGCACAGCAACATGTTCTTTTCGATATCATCGCAGAGGCAATGTCTAGGTCGAACTCCTCGCTTTCTTGTTGAGAACCCGCACTGACGGCTGCAAACTTAATGTCCAGCACTGACCGACGGCTTCGATTCATACAGCCACGCAGCCTTGTCTCTTACTTGGAGGTGAGGTTGCCGTCGAAGGCCATGCTCTCAGTGAGCTGGGACCCGCTGGAGCTGGCGGAGGCGGCCCAGCCGGAACGGTCGAGGAGCGCGCCCTGCCCGTCGAGCGCGTACATCTCGTGGATGGACCACCACTGGTACTCGCTCGCGCCCGCCTGCACTCAGAAACGGTTCCCGTGAGTGGGGCTGGAAAACGACAGATCTACCGAGCTCGCTGCATGGCTCAAGGGTCCTTCTCTAGAAACGACAATCATGCCCTGTACAAATCCAATGATTGTCTCTAGTAAGAAAATCTGGAAAGACATACTTTACAATGCGAATGAAAGGAGCAACAGATCAAGTAGCCCGGAATTTAAACCACGCCTTTAGTACATCGAAGTTGGGTCTTCACGAATGCTGATATACTAAGGCACACTTGCTCGCCCTTGGATTATGCTGCTTCTCACCTGCACAATCTTGATGAACCGGGTGGTCACAGGGGCGGGGAAGGTGATGGTAACAAGGGACGAGTCGCCCTTGCCCGACAGCACAGAGTCGGAGCCGAAATTCCTGCCGTCATCCGACACAAAGATGATGTAGCTGCGAGGGTAGTCGCCGGGGGAGCCAGTCGAGTTGAGGAGGAGCTTGGAGACGGTGGTGGGGACGCCGAAGTCTAGGATGAAGTACTGGTTGGTGTCGAACACGCCCACCGTGAAGTCCCTGCAGCCAAAAAGGCGGAACTGTTTTAGCTCTTGAAAAGTCTGGAAGAGGTTTACCTCGTTGCATATCTACAAACAAAATTCGATTCTGGAGAGGGCGAGTGAAGCGCTGGACAGTTGTTTTTCAGCAGCTTTGGAGTCAAGGCTTTCCTTGGCGAGTTGCACACAGTAGCCTATGGTAAAGGAGCAGAAACTTCAGACCTTCACAGCATGTGATGCAACTGACTGATGTAAAGAAGTCGGAATGAGGCTCTAATCAGCAAGACTTTCAGAAATCATCTCTATCAACACCATACCCCTTCTCTCAAGGCTCACAAATCCAGCACGCTCTGCCAGGTGCCCACCTGTAGGTGGACCAGTTGCCAGTGCCAGCGATGTCGCCGCGCGCGATGCGCCTGCCGGTTGGGGAGTTGACCCGGACTTCAAACGACCCAAGGGATTGCAGCGGGGTGGCCATGCCTGAGGAGGCTCGCACTGTGATGCTGTCAATGTTGTACAGGTTCCAGCCGTCGTAGCGCACGGAGGTCCCGTTGGTGATGCCAGCCAGGTCCTGGAAGGAAAAGAGGGACGACGTACATAAGTGGGTGAACGTTGTGTCAGGGTCAGACGTGGTGAAATCAAGGGAGTTCTCTGTTCTTGGAAAGCGTTTGGGAGGAGTGATGCGCATAGAATCAGTGAAAAGCTAGAAGGTACTTGCATGCAAAGCCCTCCCACAAGATTGCAAAGAGAGCAGGAGGCCATTCATGTTGAGCTGGTGTGAAGCTGAAGATCAGAATCAAGGAGATGTACAGCTCTGTATGTTTGACTGAGACATTTCTCACCAGGCCTCCAGAGACGTCGAGAGTGGTCTGGTTCTTAAGGGTGGTGCCATTCAGAGCATCAGTGTTCTCTGCTTCCCACACTGAGGGGTTGAGCACGGCATAGCTGATGCTGTCAGTGGACGTGTCCTTGGCTGCGGAGGTGACATTGCTGGAACCCACCACCTGGAGCACAGTAACACAGTCACTACAACTGTGCTTCAGAAGTTGGTACCTGGTTTGCATGCTTAGAAAAGGAGACTTTCCTGGACGATAAGAAGCAAAGTTACCACCTGCTTTTGGATGCCTCAAAACAGAATGCAGAAAACTGTTCTCTGGGTCTTTGGAACTTGCCTTGATGACAAAGTTGTATCTGCCGCTGTTGAGAGGCGCAAGCGGCGTGTCCACAGTCCCATTGCAGGGGGAAAGAGTGGTCAGCCCGATGGACAGGTTGCTGCCGGCAGTTTCATAAGCAGAGATAGTGGCACCGCTGCAGGAAAGAAAGGAACCACAGGTAAAAAAGACAGCTTGTATGTAGTGCCAACCTTGGCTTTCAAGGGATACTCTATCAAGTTGTTCATCAGATTAGACTGTTTGGAAGGCGGTACTCACTTTCTCCGTCTTAAGAGGTGAAGAAGCCCTGAACGATTGTCATGTTCAGCGGAAGGAGAGTATCACGTCATAACTTGGAATTTGCAACCACTGTATAGAGAGTGAAGGCACACCTGCAGCTGGCTTGATCCACCCGGTAGTTGACAGTGTCTCCCCAGGTGAACACGGTTCCAGGGAGGGGCCAGGCCAGCAGTGATGCCAGGGGGTCAGTGGGAAGGCTGATGTTGACTGCAGCAACACTGCTCACCTGCAAATCCAATAAGAACATGCATCACTTGGTGGCAAGGGGAGGGGTCTAAAGAAAGACAAATGTCGATTGGGGGGGGAGCGAAGCAAAGAAGAACTCTACTGGCAATCAACTTGGAAAGGTTCCCCAGTTAGCCCTTTCCTGTTCAACGTGCTTCGACTTGCAAGTTGCAACATAGTCGACCGAGCAGCGCAGAGCAGAGCGTTTCAATAGGACCCATCTAATGCCACAGGTTATAAACACTTGTTGGAGGATTTCCACTTGGAGGGACTCACAGACAATAACATTTTGCAATTGAGGCTATCCTCGCAAGAGGACTCTGCTTTCCCCAGCATTGCAGCTCACTCAAGCCACGCAATATAGAATGGTCACTGAAAGAATCAAACGAAGAAAGGAAAGGAGTCATCCTGAGCCACCGAAACCACAGTAAGCTGAGCTTACCAGCTGGAGCACCAACATCCAGCAGACAGTGCAGCTGGCAGGTCGCATTTTCCTTGTAATGTTGCTGGGCGCCATTATGGAGCAGCTTCAGATTGCACAGGAACTTGAAACCCAGAGTCTTTGGTGGGCTGTGCAGCTAACGTAAGCCCGATAGCAAGCAAACAATTGTACACCTACTAGGGAGCGCTGCTATCCCTCTGGCGAAAATGGATGAAGACGAAAATCTTGGAGCAGAATAGAGCAGGATAGAGAAAAGGGCCAGCAGGTTCTGCAATGGCTTCTGTCAAAGCACGCCGTGAAATAGGAACCCATTGACCACTCGACGCGATAAGTAGCAGAGGCTACCTAGGTACTCTAGAGTCTAGAGGCTAGCCGACAAGTCTCTGTCGCAGCTCAATGCTCTTGATCAGACTCAAGCTGTTTCAATGATGCTGTGGACTGCGGCGCCGGCGACTCGGTCGCAGACGGCGTTTGAAATTCGGTTGCCGATCTGCTGAGCTGGTTCCGTATCGTTCCCCCATCGAACGACCTACAACAGCCAACTGCAGAATCGGACGATAGTTCGGCCCTCCAACTGTACCTCGCGCTAAGTTGACAACGGGTAGATCAACCGCCGCGTCATCATTCAATTTCTTTGGTCGCCCTGCTTCTCTGGATAGCTCCCGGATGCTCTCGGGTCATCAGCCCACGCCCGGGGCAGTTGCCAGTGACGGTGAGAAATAAAACCGTCTGAAAGGGAGACCCATTTTAAGTCAGAAATGGAACCCGGCCGGCCGCTTCGGTGAAATGCCGGTCATGCCAAGCGAATGGTATCTACCCCGGTAGTACTTTCCCGGCCAAATCGACCGCCACGGTAACTGAGGGTTTGCTGCCGCCGCATAGGCGGCCGCGACTGCACACAGGCAAGCGCGGCCGCCGCACCCGACCAGCGCAGCGGCCGGCGCGTACGTACGTGGCCGCGGGCGCCCATGCAAGGGAGAAACCTTCTCAAAAACCTTCATCAGTTATGCAAGCTTAGTCGCACGCCCGCGGCGCGCCGCACGCGCGGCGGCCGTGCGTAGTAAGTAGTCAAACCATGTTGTGCTCCCGACTCTCCCGTCAGACTCGTATTCTTATGCACCTGCATCACTTCATCAACCCTTTTCAGGACGGCGCCAGGAACCTGTTCTGACAATCCTTTAATTTGACAACCTGAGGGGGCAAGAGAGGGGCAAGGGGGACAATCTGAGACTCCAATGCTCTAGGAACCTGTATGGAGAAGATGTGTTGTTGAGGCTTTCTGAGGCAACATGGCGCATCTGCAGGATTTCATTGACCTAGAAAGCTTGGGAGACTCAGCTGGTAAGTCATAAGCACTCTTTCAGAAGAAGCTCGAGTCCGAGTAGGACTGACAGTCTGTTTCAGCAAGACTCGACCATGAACAATATTTCTATTGAAAGATTTTAAGACGTAATGGCGAGGTGACTGTTGCACAAAAGACGGCACGATTTGAGGTGGCATCAGTCCTTCACAGCTCCACTTCTTTCAAGGCTTGTGCAGCCAAACTTGACACATGTAAGAACTCATCAGAAGGCTCCCATTATATCTCCAGTCATGTCTCCGCTTGCATCCTAGCATTATTCAATATTGGAGCGGTGTTGCAGAGTCCCTGATTGCCACCTACGTAACCAGAATCAAACCAATTTCAATCATGATCAACCCATCTCCATCAAACCACAGTGCTGATAATTCTTCACAGGACCTGTGCTACCATCGCTCACGTCCGGCAGAAAAACAGCTATGAGCACTACAGCTCCCCTTCAACGCTTTTTGAAAGCGAGAAACAGTGCAGAGGAGGACGAGGACCTAGTCGAGCTTGATCCAGCACAGTTTCAAACGAAGGCAAGCAGATGACACGTCTCAAAGTGCATCAGAGGTTTGAGCTTCTTAGATTGCTTAGGCTGCTTATTGTATTGGCTGAATGTGTCAGATTGAAGAGCTCCTTCCACAACTATTCTCACATTTGTAGAGTCATTAGACTCTTTCAGACTTTACTTATCGATAACCTCCGAGTAAGAGGTGGAGGAAATGTAAGAGACTCGAGTACAACAAGCTTCGTCATTGATGTTGTTATTCGGCGAAACGTTGTGCTTGGATTTTCTGGAGATCTGCTGTCACAAATGCTGACCAGCTTCCTGCTCTTCCCTTCTGCAGGTTGCCCGAGCCAACTCTTACCCCATCATTCTAGATGGCCCCGAGAGCCCCTGTGGCATCAGCACTAGCGTTGGCATCAAGATGTTCTCTTTGGGAGGCAGCGCTAGCAGCAAGCAGACTGCGGAGAGGAGAGGTCACACTCTGAAGCAGCAAGAGAAAGCAAGGAGACCAGCCCTGACAACCATAGTCGACGATGCCAGCAGCTCGCAAACAGGATCAGCTGCCGCCGTCCTGTCCCCTCATGGCAATCAGCAACTGACAACTGGAACCGGAGGAGAGCGCAAGAGACGCAATGAAGGTCGGCTTGACAAGGAACACGACACGGATGTCCAGATTCTCGGGAGCTCGGCACCCGTCTTCGATGGAACCCGGGGCCAGCCTGAACGGAAGAAAAAAACGGTCGAAAGCTCCGGCTTTGCTGCCGGCCAGACAAACCCTCTCCTGGCGACGAACGGCGGCCCGACTGTCTCGCGCTCCACAAGAGTCGCGGCCGCCGCGCGCATCGCACCAAACCCCACTGCGCCCGACTCTTCGGGCCGGAAGAACCACTCAAAGCCCCCGATACCTGCTGCCGCCGTAAGGAAGCCCCCCGGCAGACCAAGGAGAGTGCGCGCGCCTGCTGTGGCAAGGGCGGGGCTTGGTCTCCCGGCTACTGTCAGGAACGTCATGGCCGGAGTCCTGAGTTTGAGCCCGGGTGAGTCATTAGTTCTTTGCAGAGAGTCTCGAGTGTCTGCGAGCGAAAGCTCTCTTGGGCCCAATTCTAGTGCAACGGCAGACGTCAAGGGTTGACGTTCAGAAATGTCTTGAGAATTTTCCGAACAGCGAATTACGGTTTCCTTAGGGTTCAGAGTTTTGTTTTCCAATCCACCCGCCTTCGAGCCTTCGGCCAGCCCACTTTCTACTCAAGTCAATGGCTCGCAAAGGTCAAGTGAAGTTCTGCAGTCGAAACTTATGTTTTGACTCAGCCTCTTCATTGATAATTCCCGAGAACGTCTCTTGTCGTGCATTTTCGGACAAGATCGGTCCCTTAGCTTGCAACGATCTTTGGTCCAGGTGTATTCCCCCCGGGCTTCACCTTTCCGGCCGCTCCAGCGTTCCCCTTTCCAATGGCTCCAGCCTTCCCCGGTGGCCCCCAGCCCGCCCCGCCCATCCGGACCGCCACGAAGGACGCCTTTGCCGCTCTGATCGGGAGCAAGCTGGCCGTCCTCCAAGCGAGAGACGACGAGTACCAAGCGGTGGCCGCCCTGTTCAAACAGGGCGACCAGGTAGAACCCCCGTCTCCTGCCTTGCGCCAAAGAGTCTTCAAACGTGTTGCCACGTCGTCCACTGGGCTTTCGACAGATTTGACTGTGCTTACTAAGTCAAAGCTTGAGGAAGGCTCTGCAGAGAGGTGAAAAGTCTACGGAAGTCATGTCGCGCACGGTTGTGAATCTTTCATACATGCGTATTGTGCCGTCTTCCGAGTTTGATACTCTCTTCCTTCCCATCATACGTCTCGGGGTCTCTTCTTAGGGACACGTGGTGGCAGTCCACAAGGTGCTGAACGGAGCCGCGCGCCTGGCCGCGTTCGAGGAGGAGGCGCGCGCGGTCGCGCGAGTGCGCCGGCAGGGCGCCAAGGTGCAGCAGTGCTGGCACGGCACCAGCCCCCAGGCTCTGCTGTCAATCCTGAAGACCGGCTTCACCGCGAGCAGAACCGTGAACGGAAAGTCTTTCGGAAATGGGCTCTACATGGCGCCGGGACAGCACGCTCGCACCAGCAGGTGAGACGATCAGCAAAGTACTTCGATTCTGCAAGTTCCTTTGAAGAATCCCAGGCTCAACGGTCATGCTTAGGCACGTTGGTAGAGGCTATGTCCGATTTGACACACTTTCTCGAGGATGACACTCTCGTATGCAATTTCCCTATCGCCGTCATCAGACCTCCTGCTGATATTCTCGGAAATCAGTAACAGTCAATTAGCACTCGGAGACGATCGCAGTCAAGGTTATACTCGCGTCCTGTTTTCCAACTGTTATCCCAGCTTTGTGTTTCTGTAGGGGTTACTGCCAGCCGGACGACTCTGGGGTCCTGCACATGTTCCTATTGAAGGTGATCCTGAGCAGTGTCGAGACGGGCCGCCCAGCGATGGACCTTCCCAGCAACCCGGAGAAGTACGACTCCGCTGCAGACCGGCCAAGCAATCCAGCCATGTTTATCATGTGGACGCCGTTTCTTTACTCCAGAATTTTGCTGAAGTACGTTGTCAGCTTTTGCTAAGCACGCAGGCTACCGCCTGCCATAGTGCTTTCGTTGAGACTGATCAGTTATATTACAGAGCGTCGAGGAGAGTCCTGGTGGGACTGCCCATTGCAAGTGCTTCCTGAACTACTTACGCAGTATTCCAACCACAATATGGTCCAACGTGTTTCCGTAAGAAACTGTTCTGTAGGTTTCATCAATTTCTCACCCGGCTGGGGTTAGGCTGCATGCAAGGACTGGTCGAGCAATGAACTGATGCACAAAAGCTCAAACGACTTCTTAGTCTTCTGATATTTAGGTGGATACACATTACTAGGTGATGCCCTGGCTCGTGTCGGGTATATACAGCTTGCATGTATCTTGTGGAACATTTAAAACGGGGTACAAACGCAGATGTGCTGATTATATCTACGGTATGAATGCGATCGGATTCTTGCGGCTGCAGCCAGTAGTCCTGTTGGTTGATCGTACGTGTAATGTTGACTTAAATCGCGGCATGTCGCAGTTTGCTTAGGAGGGGCTACTGGAGCATTACCCAAGCATGCTGCCGCAGCCCCAGCGGATTCCGTTTAATCAAATGCATACCTATCAATGTTGTCGTACGCAATATACGCGGGCGATCTAGCTTGAATACCATCTTGGCCGGTCGAAGTACCCCCACTCAGTACGTTATTGAACGTGCAGCGCTCAACTAATGCGATGATCGAGTGTGCAGAACATCTTCCGCCGCCCGGCCCACGATCCATGGCCCGCCGATGGACTTAAGGAGTTGCAGTCTAGGTGATTTTCCACCGCGGTGGATCGACTTACGCGCGCGCCGTCTGCAGCGGTGGATCGACTTACCGCCCGCGACGTGCTGGTTTTGACTGATCGCCATCCTCGTGTATGTACCGTACAGCATAAGCTGCTTCTATACCATGTATGCTGGCATGATACGTACCCAGCTCCACAAGTGCATGCAAACGCAGTGCCTATATACTAGGCGCATTATAATAAGTGTTTCTCCGAGTGGGGCAAAACATGCGCGCCAAACATCTTCTCATCATGTCGGACCACCTGATGGAATGATAGATATCCATTATCGCACATGCAAAATGCACCCGCCGGGTGTACGTGTAAGTAGCTTCCTTTAAGTCCGGGGGCCGGACTTGTGCCCGTCCTAGTTTGAAGCTTGACAGGCGTCTTGCTCTCTACTTTACACCCTCTAACTCGAAATAAACTGCATGAAGCAGACTGACATGCAGACTTATCTGTGTCGAGAGCAGATGCAAATTTTATCAGAGGGTTCAAAGAAGCCTGCACTATTCTCACTACCAACATTACTTGCGTCGCAGTTGCGGCCCTTCGCTCTTTCGTTGTTGTCCTAGAGTGCTGCTCTCACGTCTAGCTAACATGAAGCTGGCATGCGCATGCAACCAGTTGTAGTCCAGCGACAATTACGATATGGTAAGCGCAACGGGTCGTCGACTATAGAAACTCTTCTCGCCAAAGCGAGCACGTTTTCTCTCTATCATTCTTGACGGCCATTCTAGAAGCCTTTGTAAAATACCTTCGTGTCACCTGCTAATGCGCGCTCGCCTTCGCATATCCAACGCATTCCAAATCTGTTCGATCCGGTTTTTGATAGAACGGGCCTCCACGTCTCCGTTTTGCACGTTCGCAGCCAGAGCGTCCAAGAAGTTAGTGGCAGCTTCCACATCCTGCAGAAAGGGGAGAGGCCTCAGTCGGACAGCTTTTTCGTACTCTCTCGCATGATCCCATGGGCGGCACATGCATCCTTCAGGTGCCTATAGAAACAAAGTGCTTTTGCAAGAGAGCACGCAGACGAAGGAGTTTCTTCGACCGAATTCCAAACTCCTGTCAACCACGTTCCACACCCTTCCAAAGTGAGGGTTTCCCCCAGACAAACTGGCAGTCCTCATATGCTAACCGAGGGAACTCCGAACTCCATGGCCTCCAGGTGGCCGGTGTGCAAGTCGTCCAGTTCCGTTCGCAACACCACCAGCCGCTTGAACGCCGGCAGCAGCTCATACTCGTTGCAGAGAGCGGTGCGTACCCTCTGAGGCATCACACTCTCGCGTTTAGCAATGATGACATCTAGAGTACCTGCGACGGGCGGGAAGGCGGCTGAATATGCAATCGCGTTGTTCAAAGGAAGCAGGGAGGCCTCGAAGAGTGCCGAAGGGGTTGACTGTTGTTGCGAATACCAAGGCAAAAGCTCGACAAAAGAAGTTTCCAGAAGGTCCAGGAAGGACCTTTGCGCTGCGCTACAATCTGATCAAGAAAGCCCTCAGCAAGATAGCAGAGCTAAGCGCACAAGAAGGACTATTCGGCTGCATAAATTCGACGGACAAACTCTACGAAAATGACGGGCTGAGCGCATTCCTCCGCCATGGTATGTGGTTTATTAACCATATTCAGACTGGCATGTCTTACCGTACTTCTTGAGCAGGTTGGACGCTGTTTTGGGCCCAATGCCGAACACCCCCGGGATGTTGTCGGCCTGGTCGCCCATCAGCGCTTGCATGTCTGCAAACTGGTCTACGCGCAAGCCCTCGAATTTGGCCTCGAACTCCTCCAAGCCAAAGGAGTCGATCCTGGGCATTCACAGAAAAGGTGCTTGTATCTGTTGCTGGTTCATGAAAAAGATGCTTATATATGTTGCTGGAATAGATGACCGTTTGAAGGTCAAGCTCAATCACTCACGCCTTCGGAGCTCTGCGAACCCAGAATTGGTATGAGGAGTGTGACAAAACCTTGTCCCTGCTCCTTTGAAGGTCAACGCAACGTGGTATCAGAAGAGGCAGCAAGCGCAATAGGTGCACCTCTGTATGACGAAGCATCTACCGCGACAAGCCCACAGTGAAATGACATCCACAAAAGATGACTCACTTGCAGGGCGTCGTCAAAACCGGGCAGTAGTGTAGTGAAGAAAACAAGGAAAAGCGCCGTTTGTAAGCGGGCATCACAAACTTACCCTATTCCTTTGGGCCGAGGCCGGAGAAGCCTCAGATTGGGCCCCAGGATCTGGAAGAAATCCTTGTCAGGGGACGCGACTCGCACTTCCATGCCGGCTTTCACACCCCTCATTGCGAGGCTTGCAATGACGTCATCTGCCTCAACGCCGTGTCTCTCAATGATGGTGAGGCCCAACCCGCGAACAGATGACTGCGGAAAGGAAGAAACGACTATAGAGTCACTTTGATATGAACATTCTCAAGTTCGGCTTTCTCAAACAAGAAGGTATGTCACGGCTAGCAAAAGTCGTCAGGACAGGCTGGGGTGGCAAAGAACCCCGACTACCACAGATCTTAGCACCTGGACGTTCTCTCCACTGCTGAGCCACATGGCTGAAAGTTGGATTGGAAGCAACAAGTCCATTGTAAGAAAGAGATCAAAAGAAAGGAAGACGCCGCTGGAAGCCGCCAGGCAATCTCGCGTCAAGAGCCAGGTTCTGCAAACAGCATTGAGAAGGTTTGCCTCCTTCAGAACGCACCTTTATTAAGCCCATGGAGTTTCTAAGCGTGTCGGGCATAGCCGCGCGGTGCTGCTTGTATTGGGGGAACAGCTCGTGGCGGAAGTTCTTGCCCCCCGCATCAAACACCACCCCAACGTGAGTAGGCACCAGGTTGAGCAGCGTCACCAGGTTGGACACGAACGTTAGTGTAGTAAGAATCTCCTCCGCCTCGGGGTACTCCTGGCTGGCGTGACGCGTCTCGTTCCACACTAGTTTCGCCTGGGAGGAGGGTGGGGGCCAGGCTAAGACCCTTCTAGCTTATATTTTGAAGCGACCCCAACAGCATTGGAACAGGAAGCAGGGAAAGGCATTCAAAAGCCAGTTGAATAAGCAAAAGGGAAAGCAAGGAGGCAGAATGACAGTTTCGTTAATCTGTATCAGGAAAAGGTCGTATGGATGGGAGAGAATTGTACGTTTTTGGCTGCCCGCTCACCCCTATCTTGAAGTACGCTCGATATGCGACCGCCATGCCGTCCACCAGGAGCAGCCTGCCTTGCCGCGGCTGCAGCATGTCGTCCCACTCCTCATCAGGAGTCCAGGTACTCGAGTCAGCACGCGCAGGCGCCTGCTCTTTCAGGATAGGTTCTGGGCCTATGACCAGATTGCTGCCAGCCTGGTGAGGACTGGCACTGGCCCTCCATGTTCTTGCTAGGTGATGGAAGGTTTTGGCTGAGCTGCCAAAGCTTAGGGCAGTTCTGCATTCTGTAGTCTTGGGGTGGTGCGATACCCATAACCCCTGTGTAAGTACATGGCAGCATGACAACCTCTGGCCTTGTGAGAGCTCTCTCTGACAAACCCTGCCCGGAAATTGCAAAGCGGGCTTGCTTAATGGGTTACTCCTCAGGAACTCAGATTTTCTGTACAATGCTGCCTCATAAAAAGCTGCTGCCTGGATTCCCTGGCTTTGCATGAAGACTGCTCTTGACATGGTGTGAGCACCAGTGAGTACAAATTGACTGATTCTGCTTTGCTTCAATAGCCGAGAGACAGCCAGGTGCATGCTCAATCAAAATCTCTTTTGGCGTACGGCTTGCCAGATTTGATGTCAGTTTTCTTCGTGTCGCAATGGTTAAAGCAGGGCACCTTTACCATCAGGCAGCAAGACAGCCGATCTCACGTCAACCTTCCCCCTCCTGTAGTTTCTGAATCTTATGCTTCGTATGCTTCTTCTCGTCCTAGAGCGGCTGCATCCAGCACCTGCTCACACCTTTTGGAGTGCTCAGTCTAGTATGGATTCTGCTGCGTGTGGGGCGCTTGTGTGCAAGCTTGCTTGGAGGAGACCTAGCGCAGCTTACAGGGACCGGATCGACGGCTTTCGACGGGTCAAAAGAGACTTTGAAGGGTCACGATGCTTGGATAGTTGACATGTGCAATCCACGTGGCTAAGCGAAGAAGTTGAGCCTCGCGCGGGGGACTCCCCAACTGCTTGAATCCATTCAGGGGGTCAAGCCGAATCATCAATTGTGGCCCCCTATCGAAGTTGTTGATCAGACTCGTTTCGAAAGGCTGGTTGACCCTTGCAGACTCGTTGCCTGCCAAGTGACGTGCTGTGCGTCGTGTGCTTCACTTGCTTTCGCAGTTGTTCAGCAGTTGAGGCGCTCAGCGTGCGCTCGCTTGCTTTCAGCTGTAGCTGCGTTCAACGTTCAGCATTTAGCGTTCAGCGTTCAGCGTGCAGCATTTGCAATCTGCAACGTCCAGCATTCAGCGCTTGACAGCAGCTTCCCTTGCTGTTCAGAGCTAGAGGCAGCCCTGTGTTCCCAGCATTTAGTTTGGGAGCATTATGGCGCTCTGCGCTGCCACTGCGCAGGACGGTTCCTCTGCAGCCGAGGCAGATGTGGCAGCGCAGCAGGTGATGGCGGGTGGCCGATGGCCCTTGCTTGCGGTAAGTTGGCATTTTGTTCAAAACTTTGCTGCTTTGGGCATAGGGTCTCTTCTAGGCTCATTGAAGTGATGTCGACTGGAGAGCAGCAAGCAAAGTTGATTACCGTCTTAGTTCTTTCTGCAAGCAGCTTGATGTCCCTGTTCTTGTTCACATCGGTTTCAGGAGGTACTGTTTAAGCCGCATGATGCATCACTGAAGCTGTGGCTTGTTCAACCTGAACAAGCCACAGAGTAAAGCAGAGATATACAAGCAGAAGACCTCTGTTGGTATTGATGATTCACATGTGAGATAATGAGGACATAAGCTGAACAAAGTCTGCTCGGTTGACCACAGATGCTGGGCCAGGTGTTCCGCATGCTGGCCCTCCTGATGACGTTGCTAGCGGGCTGCGTCATCGTCATCATTGAGGCCCTCAGCTCCCTACAGGTACCTATGCTAGCATGCCTCTCCTTTCAACGTCCTTGGCCTTTCTTCAGCAGAAGTTTCGAAGATGCTGCTGGTTTTGTACCTTGTGAATTCTTGTGACACCAAGCACGTTGGCAAATTGGGAAAGCCTGGCGTTCTACCAGATCTGTGATAAGATACCTTGTTCTGAACCTCTCTGTACTATCCATCTGGCAGAGCTCCAGCCAGGAGCCTGTGGTGGAGGCTGCGTCACCCGAGACTGCTGACGAGGACACGGCGCCACCCGCAGGTCAGCCTTTATTGCCTCTCACCTACATAGGCAATTTCTGTTGGCTTAATCATTCCCTGACTTTGGAAGTTTGAAGGACCTTGGACCCTGTCTCTTCTGCCACATTGATGGTCAAGTTCTGCTAGAAGCTAGCGGCCAGAGAGAGAGAGTGAATGGACATGAAAACGACAATTGCTAGCTTCTCACCGACCTGAAGTCGCAGTGAAAGCTTATATGCATTTCCTGCAGCCGTCTCTGAGGCTGCGCACAGCGAGGCGGGCCCCATCACCTGGCACACGAATGCCATTGCATCCGAGGTGATGTGGGACCTGAACCCGCTGGCGGTCGACATGGACGCGGCGACCTTCTTCGACCTGGGCTACGGGGACCTCACTGATCTCGAGGTGAGGAAACGGAATAACTGATCTGAAGATGAAGTGATCTTTGAATCTGAAGCTTTTGCATAGGAGGAAATTTTTTGACTTTGCCTTGCTGAACATGCTCCCCTCCTCTTGTAGTTCAAAAGTCTGGGTCGAGAGTAAAAGTGCTCTGTTCGAAAGACCAAGAGTGACAGTGTGGAAAAACTCTTTGATTCAATCAATACGCAACGTTTTCGAAAGGAAAAGTCATTTGCTGTTCTCATGCCTGCCTGATCGGTATCCTGAACCACAGTCGTTGTTTCCTACAGATGATGACATCTTTCTCAGAGTGTCCCCCTTCTCCCGAGGCCAGGTCGAGCCCGAGGTCCTCACTGACCATCAGCATCCCCGAGCGGTCGGAGAGCTCCGAGGTGAGTCGTGAAAAGCAATCACCTCGAAACGTGAATGCTCTTCCTAGACAGCCCCTGACTGTTCTGACTGCACCAGACTGTCTGATGCTGCGTTTTGCAGTCGGGGATCCTGCGAACTCCATTTGAGAGAAAGAGGTGATTTGCTATAAGTATACACGCATGTAATGTCAAGCTTCGTTTCCACAGACCTTTCAGATTATCCGTACTTATAATCTTTGCTTCCTTTCCCCCAGGTAATCAACGAGCAAATCATTTACCTGGAGCTCCCGCCGCGCGCCCCGACCCCCCTCGTCCCGCTGACCCCCTCCCAGGTCAACGTGCGCGCGGTTTCCTCGCCCCGTCCCCTTCAGGACAACCCTCTTACGAAGGGTGAGGAGCCGCGCAGCGATCGGGTGCAGGACGAGACTCCGAGGGAGATTGCCCCCCAGAGGTACGAACTGCTTTCTCTCTGCCGGTTTCACTGTGATATCAGTTTCTCAAGAAAGCATGAAGATACTTGTATTGTTAGTTGAAGTATTCCTTTTTTCGGGAGCAGCAGGCAATGACACCAAAGAACTCTCATTTCCTGACCCATTTTGCAAACGGAATTGTTCCGAGATGACGAAATAACACTCGCTAGATGTCTGAGGACCTCTCTTTCATCCCTCAGGGGCTCTCGAAAGCCGTCAAAGCGTCTCGCGGGGGGCAGGTCGAAGCGTCCGGCCGGGCGGACACCAGCGGGGATCGCCTTTACTCCCGCGCCGGACGCGACGACCTTCCTGAGCATGCCGGCCGCAGGAACGAGGAACCGGAGACGGTGAGGCAATTAGACCTGTTCTGAGCAGTCTCAAGCAAGAGCGAGTTTGAATGATTTTCTGAGGCGTTCTGCACAGTTAGCAAAAAACTCTTTGCAGGTCAAGTTCCACAGATTTCTTCATGTTTTCTGACTTGTTTCTGGCATCTATATTCTCACGCGGTTTCGCGTTTTCCAGGATCTCCGCCGCGGCCGCCTCGCCTCGGCCGTTCAGAGGGCAGAGGCTGCGGCTGATCCCGACCGGTGCGCGCGCCGCCCCCGCAGTCCCGTCCACGAAGGCATTCGATGCGGGGAGCGGCCGCGACAGCAGTACGACGCGCGCAGCCCGAGTGCTCGCAAGGCAGGCAGCGGCTGCCGAGCGGCACATTTCATTGCAGCAAAGACGTAGATGAGCCCAGGCCTCTTAGAAATTGATTCTTTGGCATATTGCCCCTTCTGGTAGGAACTGACGACAGCTGACACGATGATGGCTGGCCGGTGGGCCTGAATTGCTGAGTTGATCACCGTAGTAACAGTTATGACCCGCGATTAGGACAGAGGCCTGGGCTCAGTGCATAATTCTTTCATTTTTACACTGAACATACTTATTCTTTTGGAAAATTGCTTGCTGCGCGCATCTAACCAACAATTGACTTTTCTCATCCGCTCTCAATCTGACAAGACAAGCAATGATGCAAAGGATCGATATACCAAGAAAGTCTACTGCGTGCTGATGCATGCTTGCGCCTGATGCACAGTGCGAAACGCATGCATGCTCTAGCGGCGCCGAGCGCAGCCAGCCAAATTCTGAGAAAGCCGAGGCGAGCAGGCAGACACGTGCGTGTGAACGTCCGTGCAAACGTCCTCACGTTTATATATCAGTCAGGGTTCATGCACGCCCATGTTTATCTACATTTGACAGACCGCATGGAACGCGTAAAGCTACGCGTATCGGCAGTTAGTGGAAGAACCCACCGCACTTTTTTCTAATGATCCCAAGGTATGGTACGCCAGAATTTGTACGTTTGAGACTTGTTCGAACGTGCCTAGGTGAACCGCATTAATTGGCCTAATCGATTCCATATCGAACACGCATGCAGCACAGCACTCTGCATGTTGTCCCGGCCTACAAGCCCACATTTTGCGCAGCACTAAAACTTGTCCCTTGCTGTTGATCGTTTATTTGACAGTCGATAGATCGTGCGCGCGCGTTTATCGTTTGGTTCAAAGTTTTAAATTCTCGAAATATGTACGTACCAATTCCGTGTACCAGACCACCTATGAAACGGTCCTGCCACTAACGACATGGGGGGCCCGTTCACAACGAAACTGATGGAAAGTCTATAAGTGACGTCATAATTATAGAAGCATGCATGTATACCAAGTATATGCGATA